ATGGGGGGGGCCTCATGCTCTACTTTTAGACCAGCCCCTTTATTTTTAGACAGTACATAGTATGTAAGAAGATAAACTAATCACCAACGAAAATCTACATGGCCAAGGCCAACCAAGATATTATATAATTTGGCATTTCGTATGGAAATGTTTGATAATCGTTTAGAACTTCCTAAGAATTGATCGACTTATTAGATGTTTAGGAAAACAACACTCACTAAAACTAAATAAAAGAATACTGATGCAAAGATTTCTAAATGTATGTGTAACAGTTCCACACTTTCCACGCTCTTGGACGTATCCTTAAGAGTATTGAAATAAAGATTTTAAAAGTAAAATAAAAATTTTAAATCATAGTGTCAATGATTGGAAAAGTATGATTTTTATCTATTTTCATTTGTTTTTAAAACTTGCTTTCTCAACGCTATAAAAATGTGTTTCAGAAATGTTATATTATGCTGATACGTCAATGGATTAGTTAAGAAAACGTGTCAAATTGTTTTCCTTGTCTATTTCACTTGACAAAATTATATCGTTTTTCGACTAAGGGTAAGTAAATCTGTCGTTCTCCCAATAGATAATTACATTTTAACCAGCATGAATCACGTTTTAAAAGATTTACTTGGATTGAACAAAGCTATTTATACTACTTTAATTGAGTAAACCCTAGCTTAAATATTGTTCTCTCCTGAGTTGAGCATTACACTTGTGTATTGCATCCAAAAGAACCCTATTAATTTAAATTAAAATCCACAAAGTATTATTAATTTGTGCTTCCAGAATATTTTACTAAGCATCGAACAAACCGTAACGCTTGTGATTCGTCAGGATTTCTGATTGCCATTCAGATTTACTATGCGGCTTGCTGACACGCATCGTGTGTGACCTTCACACGACCTTGTCTGTTATCAAGGTCACCACGTTATCAGTTGAATGGTTCGCCGATCATTCTTGTCACCTATAACTGGTCACGAAGTTTTAGGTTAGGATGAAATGGGTCGCAAAGATTAATTGGTACACTTCATTATGGCATTATAGCCTCTGTATTAATAATAAAGAATATTTTTAATTAGCCTTTAAATTTAATTACCATGAGCAGAAATTTGCTTTACTTATTTCTTGTTTATAGCAGCAAACAGTTTTTTTTCTTGGCCTCTTTTACAGAACTGTGAGTAAACGTTTATTCATGCAAGAAAACATGCAATCACATAAATGAGATCTATGTTATAAATTAATTAATTAACTGAATTTTCATTGAACCCTCATTATATAATACAGTATGTCATTGTTTTTAAAGCCTGTATGTTTTATATGCATCAAAAGAAACGAGTAAAGAGTGATAAGATAGACACTTCAGTGACCCAGTTGCAGTATAATAGCGGTTTATGAAGGCATTTAATTCTCACTACGGGTGGTTGGCGAACCTGAGCGCGGCACAATAAACAATCAGCTGATTTGACCTAACCTAACCTGACCTGTGGTTGCGTAGCCTAACCTCTCCATACAGTTGTAAACAATGCGTAGGCCTATAATATGGACTCTAACGTTTGCGGTATCTAGTACAGTATTTTTGCACATTTCCATTTTTTTTGTAGACCTTTGCCTTTGAGTTTTTTATTATATTAGACATTCTCGAAAAATCCCAAAACGGCACAGATTTTCTTGTTACAGTGAAAAAAATATTTTATTCTAACGTTCGTACACATTAGAACCACTATAGCAACCAAGCGCTTGATGTAACGTCTTGTTCTATTTGGCACATTCAAACTTCTTTACCGCGTGCAGAAGGATTAAATGGTGATGTATTGTGATGGAAATTCGGGGCTGTTCGATTTAAGGCTACATAGGGTATGTTTGTTATCAATATGCTCCCATTAGTGAAGCTGTCAATTGAGCGTAGTTCCGCCGTATACATCGCTGCGGACTGCGTCCCGGAATTCATAGGATCTTTAATACTTTAATACTTTCTTATTAAATTGCGACCATACGAAGTAGGGATATATATGTCTTGGTGACCACCAGTTCGAGTCCGTACTCGTTATCCATCTATAAACCCATTCAATCGTATCCATCATCCATCATTTGAGCTCATCTGGCCTGATCCCAGACTCATTATAGTGATGACAGCAGCTACGTCTTGGGTGTAGTTCACGTGAAAAAATGTCTTGAGGAATGTAGTAGGAGACATTCCACAGGTTGGGACCAAGGATGGATCCTACACCCGACTCAGATCTGACCTTTTTGAATTTCCTCTCCTCTTTTAGCTTCAAACAGCAGTTGACAGTCCTGCACAACTACTTGGAGGTGTGGTGGCACACTGAAGTTCAAAAGTAACGCCTCTAACATGTCATACGCCTACTGAGCAGATTTGAAGGCATAAAAAGTGGATGAGTGCCACCAACAGTACAATTGGCCTGAGATACTGAGATGATGGCCAGCGCTGGTTCGTCCTGCTGGCAATGGTCACATATCTATACCTAGTGGCATAGAGTTGAATGTCGTTTTGGAAAGCTGTGCTGCCGGGGGATAAGGTCTCCCCCAATGGCTTCTATTGTCGCTCTTCTATTGGATTTGGAACTCAGCAACCTCTCACATGGCAGCTCTATTAGTGATTCCCCAAATGTGCATGTCGAGTGGCCTTTACGGCGATGAGGCGTATGGGCTGCTTTTCCCCTTAGCCAGTGTCTAGATTATAGCGTCCAGTGTGACTGGAAAATTCTAGCCACTTAGCACTCGTTGTATATGCGAAGTATAGCTGTTGTATACTGTATGCTCTGTAATGTTTTATGCGAAGAAGCAACTTTGTGTGGCTTCCTACTGCTGGGTTGCCATCATGCCATAAAGCTTCGTTTATCTTCATTGCAAACACATAGTAATAATAATAATAAATCTTTATTTCTCCACAAGAACTACAAAATTACAACGATCTAAGAAACAAATTGTTTATAAACTTACAATGTACATCAAAACTTATTGTTAATTAACGAAAAACAGTTTGCTTTAACTTGCGAAGAAATATACACACCCAAGAGAAGACCAAATATTCTGTGTGTGGGGGGGAGTCTCAACTAATACTTAAAAACAACAACAAAATTCTCCTGAAAAGGATAACAAAATGAATTATAAATTAAATTAAACATTTAGTCCAACAATTTTTTGGAAAAGACAACAAAGAAAAACAAAATTCAACAATATCCAGGAAGTATAACGAAATGTATGTAATCATAATAATGACAACATTTTAAGATGTGGAAGGAAACAATGAAAACACATGACTCTGAAATACAGATACTTACAAAGATAACGCAAAACACTTGGAGCTAGTCATGACTTAGAACTAGTTCTATTTCATCATATGACCTGGTTTTAAAAGCCACTTTTTCAAAGATTTCTTCAAAACAATAATTGACCTACTCTGTTTTACAGAAACAAGAATGACATAAAAAAAAATTTAAATGATAAATAAATAAAACACTTCTTAAACAGGGTACAGTTTGGTTTGGGTACACGTATAATGTTATGTGCAGTTTGTCTGGTTGAATAATTGTGAATGTTATCAACTGTTGGTCTATTGAAAAGCTGCCCAAACTAACAGAGAAATATATAAAACAAGCATTTAACAATAATAAATACATGAAAAGCAAGATCTAAATAATACAAATAACGTAGCAATGAATAATAGCAATCAATAACAACACAACCAAACTAAAAAATACAAACAAAATTTAACAATAGAATGGTAAAAAAAAACACAATAGAATAATAACAATAGGTAATCATATAAACTTTTACCACTTTTAACAAAACTTTCAACAAAAACCTCGATTATTTTGTCAACCACAGCACGCCAAATCGCTCCCAAGGAGGCAGATAATATAATATACCTATAGGTCAACTGGGCTGCTTATGGTATCTCGTTCCCGAAGCGCATAATCAGGGGAATGGGATTAGATCTATGCGCAGTTGGTCCCAGCATGGTGGAGCTCGAAGAGGCACTGATGATGTCTGGTGATTATCGCAAGAAGGTGGAAGTTTATTATTTCCAGTAAGAAAGGGACGGTTGCCATGGTTATTTATTAGTTTGAAAATAAAGGTCACAACAGCCACTCGCCTCCTGCATTCAAGACTCAGAATGCCGTACAACAGATAGCTCGACAACTTGGACGTCACGAAAACTAAATATAAGTTCAGCATGACATCCCAGGAACCTGAAAATACGTCTTAGCACCGACTGGAGACCTAATCGAAGCTTCTGGTTGGTTGGTTGGTTTCGAGCTTGACGCGCTCTTGGCTCTTTACGGTCGGCGATTTCTTCCGTCAATTAGTAGGGTCAGTGCGACGGACGTCCCCGATACAGTTTTTTCCTATGCATAGAAGTGCAAAGCATGATAACTCATTCTGATGCATTGTGAGAGTGAGAGATCACTTAGTGCCGGTAGGCTACAATGCACTATGTTTGATGTTGACAACGTACCTAGTGCTGTACCTAACTTTTAATCTATGGTTTTATTTTTGATATATATGGAGATTTCACAAGTCGAGACAAGTCCATTATAGGTTGTTTCAAACTAGTTTTCAGAAATTAACATTGACATTGTCTGTAAATATTCAGCGGTCATATCTAAAAAGCCCCATTTATTTCCCTTTATTTATATAATTTGAAACGTTCTAATACAGTAGGCCTACACCAAAGATTGATAGCTATGATTAATAATCTACAATAGGCCTAATACTCCACTAAAATGTTCTAGATTTTATTTTGTAAATCTTCTTCGGCTTATTTTGTTTCTAGAGAATGACAATGTATAAAGAAATCATAACTCCTCACTCCTCCAATTTGCTCGCATTCTCTGATTTAAAACAACGAAAAAATATTGCGCTGTAGTACAAAAAACATCTTCACTTCACTATGTCAGCTGACAAAGTGCGTCATGAAAAGCATTGAATTCTAAGAAATTCATAAAATGTAATCATCATAAATTTAGTGTTTCAGTGTTTGTGTTAATGTCTTTTCTTTTGTGTTGTTAAGCAGAAAATCAATTTCGATCCAAGAGTGTTATTCCTTAATTGTGGGGAATGAAGAAGGATATAATGTTAATTAGTTGGAGAGTGTGTAGTTTTAAACAAACTTTATTAACTTTACAAAACCTTAAGTCTATTACTTAATCTTTAACCTACAAATTAACTTGCACAGGCTTTTTATAAAAATGGCAGCAAATTATTTTTGTAGTAAAGCTTCTGATGCCGCTAACGAAGATTGGCAGTTACCTTTGTCTTTTCTCAAAAAGCATCATGTGGAAACTATTGAGGGGGCAGCCACAGAATTTCACAGTTGGAGAATGAAGGAAAGGGTAAGAGGTTAAGTATAACTAAAAGCCCTAGGCCTATGTTAGGCAAGGCACTAACGAATATAGTTAATGAAATTGCATTGATAGACTAATTGCAACAATAAATGACGTAGGGCCTATAAAACAATAATAAGTTTGTGTTTGAGTTAAAGTTGAATAAGCTCAGAAGAAAAAGCTGCAGACAATTTAGGGCCTTATTGTGAAAACAAAGTGGAGCGGCGAGGCTAGAGCGTAACAGAAAGCGTAGCTAAGCGGGTTTAAAATCATACAAGTAACTTGTAACGTAGGTGGACTGAAACATAGTGGAGCAGGAAGTGTAGCTTCTGGTATCCGCGCCAACACGTTTGCCTCTCCACTCCCATATTCTACCCCGATTTCTTAACCTCAAGCGTATGGTCAAGGGTCTAGCCTCAGGTCAAACTATGCATTGTCTAACCGACATTAATAATAGGTATAAGTTTGAGGTATTTTGCCAGTTTGAACACTGCCGTCCTTTTTGGGACCAGGACTAATTTTATTACAATGTTTGAAATTATATCCAAACGTGTAATTATTTTTGTCATAAAGGTAAATTGAAGTGTTCTCTTTTGGTGAAATAAATGTTATAGGCCTAGTTATGTAAGTAACACGTTCATTGCGGCATTCAAACAGGCGCTTGCCAATGGCGACGAGGCACGGGCGAAGCCCCGCTGCGCAATAAACCGGCGAACACAATTGGCATTCAAATATTTCAGTCTGACAAAGAACAAAAGAGCAGCGGTAATTGTGCTGCCTTACCCTGAGAGTGAACGTAGTTCATTGAAACAACCAAAGGTAGCAGCACTGCCTGGATCTGTAGCCACTGTCTTTGTAATGTAGCTCGAAGAGAGAAAATCACCAAAACCGGAACAAAAGCATTGCCAGACGGGATTTTACGTTAAATTTTAGTACCAACCTACACCAAAATAAAGCTTGCGTTCTAAGCTTCAGGCTGGAAACGATTTAACTTATAATGTTCCCCGGCAATGGCTGAGCTCATATTGAACTCATACTGTTTGGGAGAGGCACGACTACATCGATTGATGTAGGCCGATAGGAGCGCTCGTGACACACTACATCAATTGATGTAGGCTGCACTGAACATGTTAATCCAATAAACACTTAAGTAGTTTTTTAAAATGTTTATAGGCCTAAAAAGGAGTTTCAAATAGGTAATACAAATACTATGCAATTTTTATCATTAGAGTATTTCCTTATACTGTCTATTTACTTAAAATTTTAGATTATACTAGCTGTACCCGCGGGCTTCGCCCCGTTTAGCTTCATAAGTATTCGCATGGCTCATTCACGTCCTGGTTGAAGTTCGTTCGCTACGCTCACTCACCTTTAGGTTGGAGCTCGTTCGCTGCGCTCACTTGCCTTCAGGTTAGCTAGTTCGCTACGCTAACTCGCCTCAAGGTTGAAGTTCGTTCGCTACGCTCACTCACCTTTTGGTTGGAAATTAGCTGTTGTCATAAATTAAAAGAAAAATTAATAGTGCTGCACCCTGTTGGTAATCCTTGTAACTTTTATGCTGTTGAACATCATAGAACAGAACCAACTTGTTTAATTGAGACAGCTGTTAAGATTCATTAATTCCTTTTAAATATGAAAAATCATAAGATTAACATGGGGAACTACAGAGCCACTGGGGCGGAGCCCGAAAGGGTCTTTGAGATTAGAATATGCTTTAATGTTAATCGGGAATGTGAGCTATCATCATGCCAAATTTCAGCCCAATCCGTCCAGTAGTTTATGCGTGATTGAGCAACAAACACACACACAAACACACACACAAACATACACACAAACATACACACAAACTCACAAACTTTCAGATTTATAATATTAGTAAGATAAGATAGGCCTATATATGTCCATGAACATGATAATTTGAGTATTTTTTGTCCAATTTCAAATTTTTTGAAGTTTGGACTTTTGATTTAGATGAAATTTGGCTAAAAGATGAAAGACAAGATTAACTTGAATGAGTTCTCAAACCAGCATTCTGATCTGTCCATGTAGGAACAGGGTTTTATGGGGAATTTTATATGGTAGGGCCTATAAATACCGGTAGTTATTTTCTCATTTTAGACCCCCAAAACAAAAAAAATCTCAATTTCTCTTTAAACCACCAAGAAATTAAAATAACTGATTTGTCTGCACTGGTCAACTATTGTCTAATTCTTGATGCATTTGACGTTTGGGCTAATCTTAACACCTCTTTGGCATTTTTAACACCTTTTACCGATTTAATGAACCCTCTTCTCCTTTCATAATCTCCTAGCCTCTTAGGCTATAAATCCTCTCCTAACCTCTCTTTCTTTTCCAAACCTCTACAATTTTGGAATGATTCATCCCGAACAATTAGATCCCACTTTGCATGGAATTGCTTGTAGTGGTTTTGTTTGTTGTCTAAAGCAAAACAGCTGTTCACCCTCCACATACCTTCCTCTAGAACACACCGCTAGAACTTGAACTTGTCCAAACCACAATGAACTCTATCTAAACCACTATGTGGTCTATCCAAACCACTCAGTGAACCCTAAATTTATAATTTTTTATTTAATTTTCTTGACTCTTAAAACCGATAGAGATTAGATTGCATTTTTGAATTCAGCGTTAAAAAAACCATGGTGGATAGGCCTACATAAAAATTACAATTTTAATCGGTGAAAGTATAACTTAGGCTATTCAATAAGTAGATCTACCCCCTTGACAAACCTAAATTTGACTGTGTCATAAATTTTGAAGTCAAATCACATCAGTATTTAAAATCTGAAGTCTTGAAGTAGGCTTGAGTAGGCTAGTTTAATTCTAACTCATTGTCCCCTTTAATACTTTTTATTCAAATGGCAACCATACAAAGTAGGTATTTTAAGCCAAGTATGATTGGAAATGAGTGTAGGATGAGTGGCGCGATCTTGTAGTTTTGTTAGTGACTAAGGCCGACATATTCCTTACAGACAGCTGTTAATTAATAGCCCACAGCTAATGGCAACCGAGGGACCTACAGTTTATAGTGGAATCCAAACCATATTTTTGCCTTGGTATTAACAAATTGATCTAATTATCAGGATAGTACTGCAGATAGTCGTAGTACTCACTAGTGCAGACGTTAATCCACACCAGGGAGTATCATATTTCTTTATACTGAAGTAGGCCATTCTTTTAGGATCATTTCAGTCCACCCAATTTAAAATTATTGTAGAAAATAGTATTAAGCAGCATGAAGTAGAAAGCATGTGTTGGTCTGCTTTAAGTTTAAGTGTTTTCTTGTTCCAGATGAAGACAGTGAGCGTTGCCCTCGTGATATGTCTCAACGTTGGAGTCGATCCACCAGACATTGTCAAGACTCAGCCTTGCGCCAGGCTAGAGTGCTGGATCGGTCAGTATAAAACCGCTCAACTTAACCTAACCCAGTGCTAATTAATGTCCTGCCTTTTTTTTGAAGTTTAGATGTAATTTTTTGTTTGGTTGATCCATTTTAGCATCTGTTTTTTTGGAAGAACAGTTTAAACCCTGGTCTATACCACCAAACTTCCCTAACCTACACAGAAACAACCCAAACTTTCCTAACCGACACTCACACAACCTACACTAAAGTAACAGGTACATTAATTACTTAACCTATTTAATCAAAACCATACTAACCTAGCCCACACCAACCTAACCTGTAACTAAACTAATCTACAATAACCTAAAGCTTAGTCTAACCTGACAAGTAAATTTAAATTACCTAACCTACATTAACCTAACCGACACCAACACAACTTACACTTAAGTTCCCACTAACCTAACTTATTACAAGTTATTATGTATACTATTAATCTACATTAACAAGCCTTTACTGACACCGCCTACTCCAAACTAATCTACTTTTAAGTTAATCGACTTTTACTTAAAATAATCTAACCTAAACCAACCTGTTACAGACCCGTTGTCCATGAGTCCGCAGAAGGCCCTGGAGAGCGTAGGCGCAAGTCTGCAGAAGCAGTATGAACGTTGGCAGCCCAAGGCCCGCTACAAGCTATCCCTCGACCCCACAGTGGACGAGGTCAAGAAGCTGTGCACTTCCCTCCGTCGCAACGCCAAGGAGGAACGAGTGTTGTTCCACTACAACGGACATGGTGTACCCAAACCTACCAGTAACGGGGAGATTTGGGTGTTCAACCGGGTAATTGAATTTTAGCAGTTTCGCCTGCCGTTTTAGTAGTGAACAATGTTTTGAGGCTTGGTAAAAATGGAAGCGTTATAGGTCCACACCCTGATACCAAAAGAAATCTGACAGAGTTATTAATTTTCCATTATCCTACCGTATTAAAAAAACTCTGAAATGTTGTCTATGGTCATTCACTATTTTTTAATTGAATGAATTCACGTAATCAATTTTGTCTGCTTCTTTCTTTGCTGGCGTGTGATGTATAGCCATCGGTGTTCGTGGCGTAGTGGATAGAGAATTCGGCTGATGTGCGAGAGGTGTCTAGACTGAATCCCATCGGTGACACTTAACTTTTTGTCAAAGATTTTGCTTAGAATGCCATTTAGATGACAATAACGTTTTCGTGACCGCGGGTGACGACAATGACGTTTCCGTGACTGTGGGAGACAATGATGACGTTTCCGTGACCGCGGAAAACGATGATGATTGTCCAAAAAATATTGCTTGACGATGATGACTATTTGAACTAAGCTACAATCGAGGAAGATGATGATTACTTCACTGTGATCGCGGGAGGCGATCCGTTACTGCTGAACAATATCAGGATTTTGTGTTGACCACGGAAGATGTTAATGATTTTTTTTACTGAGTGAATTATTCAGAATTTTTCAGTTATCGCAGAAAAAAATGATGGTGTCACTAAGACTTTAGATGATCATGATATAACCTCGAGTTTGGCTTGACCAAAAATTTCCTAATGGCACACTTTTAGAAAGTTTTATTTATATATTTTTTGCAATATCTTCATTTACCTTTATCGTGGTATTTATTTAATGTGTTTAGAAGGGTTTAAAACTTAAATTGACTACGTGAAATTTTTGTAATTTCTGCATTAATTATTTTTGTAACACTTGAAAAACAACTCCAAAATTACATACTATATGAAAGTCATAAAGATGGGGGTCGGTGTAGCAATCCTTACGGAAAATTTGGTAAAATTGAAGTTATCAGTATTAAGAATCTATTTTTCTGGTGTACGTACGGAGATTCGATAAATTTTGGTATCGACATACTACTTTTTTTAAGAAGTTAGGCTATTGATAAATTGCAGGTTTAATGATTAGTTTTTAATTTTTGGATTATTTAATCAGTATTCAGTAATATATAAAAATTGAATACTTGTGTCAGGCAATATTACAGTAATCATAAATTTGTTCTTTAACTGAGAATGCTTTTTCCGATAACTAAAATAGTGAGCTGTGTTAGCGCCAAAACAGCATTGCGGGAGTTGGCGCAAAACACGTTGGAAAGTTTAGTATGAAAAGTACTACCTGGATTTTTTTTACCCATGAATTACTCATGAATTTTTTCTGGTTGGCCTGGTGGACACCCTGATTATTTCATTTTGTTCATTATGGTTGTTTGAAATTTATGCTTACCCATCCTGTTGCAAAATTGTTGTTAGAGATTATTTATACTGTACTGTTGCTGTGAAATTTTAAAGTTTCTATTTACTAGGGATGGACGAGATTGAATTTTTAGTTCGAGACGAGACGAGACGAGATTTTTTATTTCTCATAAAATTTCGAGACGAGATCGAGACGGGATTTCCCTTCTCATACACAACGGGAAATGCACGTTCAAAATTTTTACCTGATTTTGTAACATTGTTAGATGACTGTTTAAATACAAAAATAATGATAATAGGCAAGAATATTTACAATCTTTTATTAAAAAACATCAGCATAACATTTTTTTATTAATCACGCCTAACTTATTAAAAATGCCTACAATTAGGAAACATAGTGATATCAGTTAGGATAGAGTTGAACTTATCCTAAAATAAAATAAATCATAAAATAAAAGCAATATTAATTTTTATAAAATAGTTACTTGTTTTGACTTTTTATAGTAATAAAACATTCCTCACATTGCTTACACTTAAACTTCTCAAATTTAATTAAAGTAATATTATTAAAATAATTAAAGTAATATTTATAGAATTAATTAAATAAGAACGCCTTCGCAAAGGAAACACAACTACAACACGCTCCTGTATTGCGGGTATTGCATTGACTTTCTGCAGGCGTTTTTTTTTTTTTTTTTTTTTTAATTCTCGTCTCGATAAAAATCTCGGCCAAAAAGAAATCTCGTCTCGTGTAACGAGATTTAAAATTTCCCGAAAATTTCCCGAAATTTCGAGACTTGACCATCCCTACTATTTACGTAATGTAGCACTATGACCGACACTCAGTATTGCAGGATTGTAATAAATGTCCTGAAAACCTACCTTGGAGCAGAAGTCCTTCCTTTCTTCCTAACAATCCAGTAAGTTCAAACCCACACACTCCTTAATACCTTCAAACCTAGTAATTAAATTTTAGTACAGTAGAATGCTCATACAGTGTTTTCATAGACCGGCTTTTCATTCAAAAAAGCCTAGTTGATCGAACTGTGAATTTAAGGAAATGAATGTGGGGATGAGCGGCAGCAAGCAGAGCATTAGGTCTGCAACAGTTCTACCAGCTCGACAGCACTAGTGTTTTAAGTTTACGGAAAGTAAATAAAAGATACGTCTTATCTATCTATAATATTAAAACGAAACAGGGTTTTTTTATTTCACGATTCTGAATCAACCACTTTACGGATATTCATGATTTTTGTGTTGAAAGAAAGATAATTTTGAGAACTAGGGAATGTCGAAGCCATAACTTTAGTTTAGGGTTTCAGTTTTTTTAGAAATTAAGTTTTAATTTTTTTAAAGTCTAGCAGCCGACGCTAGCAATTTAAAGTATTTTCAATACTGGTTTAACTAACAGCTGGTTTATAACTGTCATTGAAATGTTTATGTTACGAGGTGTTTGTTTACAAAAATATTGTTCGTTGGTGTTTGCCTACATACTATTTCACTTTAAAATGTAGGTAGGCTAGTTTTTCCCCTACCGTGAAGGATCTGCGTTATCAGGAAATGTGTTACATTGGACTAAACATCTCAAACACTTGCGTTTAATCAAGTTTTGTCGTAAATGCAATCTGTGTAAGTATTTAGTTTATGCATTGCAAATTTCAACTCATATTTGGGAAATATTTTTTCAGCAGTTTATCGCTTAATTGTTTGAGATATATAAGTGGTTTACGTGTTGATACTTCTTTTTCTGTATGTTTGAATGTGAGTATGTCGGCATACTAAAATTTTGGTTAGTAATGAAAGCGTCAATCAGTGTAGTAGGTCTCTATAAAACTGTCAAATAACCTGCAGCAGAAACCAAAGTCGACCTATACCATACCAACTATCCCCGTAGTACTGATGATTCAGAAACTTGGGCACTGACCAAAGAACCGAAAAACCTTAATGCTGGGTTCGATAATAAAGTGCAGAGAAAATATATACAGACCAGTTCAAGATAACGGCCCAGAGGTCGAAATAAAAAAGAACAGAGAGCTAAGAAAAATGTGTTAACACCCAAATATAGGGATGCTTTCCAGAAGTAGGTACAGCTTGGATGGACAGGCTCTGCATAAACTTTTAAAAAGTATATTCCAAGGAGTACCACACGATAGACGGGAAATATTAAGTTATGAAATGCATCCTCAGACTGGGATCTAAATTTTGAAGAGGCAGGTGATAGAAGAGAATCCTCATAAAAGTTCCAGTGGTCACGGAGGTAAGATAAGGTACGGTAAGTACATAAGTAGTACAGTATGCAATTAGAGGTGGCATGCAGCTACTCTACTCAAAACCAGTGTGAATCTGTCGCCAATCTCACTTCAAGATTTTTCAAATCGACACAAATGCTGTTTTATGGTAAAATTATCGGATTTAAAATGCATATCGCCATATTTTAGGTCTATATTTGAATGGAATGAATAGGTGGTCACGTTACATTTGTTTATAAGGTGATCTTCCCCATTAAAACTGCCAGAATTTGTGTCTATGCGTGTAAACTAGATGTTCTGAATTATTCCGTTTTAGTTGACAGCTCGATTCCCGTACGTAGGACGGGCCACCAGCTCGTAACACTTAAAACATATATTTACGCTTATACTGTTACTCACAAGACGGTAAATATACAAAAAAGATGGTAAGTGGTGATCGATTTTGATTAGACACTCCAATCATCATTCATCATTCATTCGCCTATTGGGTCTGATGATGATTGGAGTGTCCAATCGAAATCGATCACCACTTAAAACCATCTTTTTTGTATATTTACCGTCTTGTGAGTAACAGTATAAGCATAAATATATGTTTTAAGTGTTATAAGACGTATCTTTTATTTACTTTCCGTAAATTTAATAACACGTACAATGCTGATCAAGAAGTTATTTATTGTTTTTTTTAAGTTGGCAATACTGGTTTCTAACCGACAGTGAGGTGGTGAACCATAGCAAGTGCACATCACTCCATGATTTCCTAGATTTGTGCTGCCTAGTTGTTCCTCATCTCCATTTTGAATGTCTACAAAGTCACATTACTGTGAACTGTTGTCAGCAAACAGGATTCTCATATTTATTTTACTAGAGGACCGATGTAACTGGCCTTTAAACAACTTTTTGACAAATAGTGGTTCAATGTTTCCATATTTATCAATTTTTATTTAAAAAGAGGGTCATGTGGCCCGATGACCAATAATTTCCGACCAAATGGTGGCCTCCCATGTATTGAAGCTACCGAGTTCTGTAGTTTGCAGCCAGGGTAATAACTAACATAAAGTTTATAGCTTATGTAAAAATTATTCACGAGATCGCCACTAAATCCATACTGTCATGTTATCAGGTGAGAAATTTGTTGTCTCTAATGTACTGAATGATTTAGTAGTTAATAGGTTACCTATGTTTGTTGTAAAACCTTTGAAAACTGTGTGAACATTCACCCTGTCCACAGATGTACACACAGTACATTCCACTGTCAGTTTATGACCTACAGACGTGGATGGGAGCTCCGTCCATCTACGTGTATGACTGCTCCAATGCTGGAGTGATTGTCGATCTATTTCGACAACTAGCTGATCAGCACGAAAAGGAGTACGAGGTTAGTTAAATTTTGTAAGTTTTTTTTTTAGGTAGAGCCTACTTTTTCATAATCTTAAGCATGGTAAATTTATATTGTTAATTTCCTGTCCATCCACGTCATTGGCGTTGTTTAAAGATTTTTTGTAAGGGATTGGTCTATATTCTATATCCTGGTCTTGTCTCTAAACATTGACAATTTGCTTGATAGTCCAATGTTGAAATTGACCCAACAACCTTTAGATAGGAAGGCGGGACTTATAACCACTGGGGTACCTAGATAGTTAATAATTAATTGTCTATTTCTATTGTATATACTTTTGGTCAGATAAGGTCAAACTAATTTTTTTTTTATTTAAGGGCCCCAACCTAAGCGGACAAACTGTATAAACATTGTTTTGTTGAGGTCCAAAAATATTCATATAGCTGCATAAACCTTAGAGAAAAGGTTTTCTTCCATTACTTTGAGGCAGCAGTAGACTTCTGAACTTTAAAGATATTTGGCATTGCTACGTCTCTTAACTATGTCTTTCAAACCTACTTTCTATTGTTCATACATATTTTGAAAGAAGTGCCATTTACCTTAAAGTGAACCATAAATGAGTCGACTCAATTCATCCCTTTCACTATCATATTGGTATTTTTTTAGCAAGCGAATCCCGGTGCTGGTAATAGAGGTGCAGTCTCGTTCAAAAACTGCATCCAGCTGGCAGCTTGCGGAGCAGATCAGATTCTTCCGATGAATCCTGATCTCCCAGCCGATCTGTTCACTTCTTGCCTCACAACGCCAATCAAGATCGCTCTACGATGGTGAGGGGTTATGTTGAAGTTATAAATGTAAATGTCAAATGTGTAAAAGAAAGAATGACAAATTCTGGTAGTTTTTTTCCTGACTGAGCTGAGAATGTGTTGGCAAGACTGATTTAGTTGAATCAAATAATGTCCGTTTTGTAACTGCCATTTAACTTCTTTCTTCTGAAGAACCCTTTAGGAGCGAAATATCAGGATTATTTTGTTGTGATTTTTTTTTTTTTTGTGTGCTTTAAACTGCTTGTAACTCTTTTCTTGGGTAAGTTAGCTGTGTATCCATTCCTTCTTTCTTAATGTATTCAAGTGCTTTACCTCCAAAAAACTATCATTGATAATTTTATAATTTTAGGTTTGTGATGCAGAATCAAAATCGTCTAGAACCAAGAATCACACTGGATTTAATTGATAAGTAAGTTATGTTACATTTTTATTTTAAAATTTTAAAAGTTTTTTACCATCTTCTAAAATATATTTTGACATGCATTTGGGTACTTTTCTGTTGTACCGACCCCACCAGGTTAGATAACAAAACATTTTAAATGACCAAATGTATTTTTAATGAACAAACAAAACAAGCTTTTAAAAGAAGATTATTTATATCTTTGTGGTTTCTTTCTCACACGAACAATAGTTTTCAATTATACGTGTATACAAGTCAAGAGAGAAATTTTATCAAGAAAAATGAAACGGAAAATTTTTTTTTATTTTCATTTTTCAGGATTCCCGGGCAGTTGAGTGACAGAAGAACCATGTTAGGAGAGTTGAACTGGATCTTCACAGCCATAACAGACACGATAGCATGGAACACCTTGCCTCGAGGTATATTATTATTATGATATAGTATATGTATACAATATAACCCATTGTAGTATAACAATCACCTTTGAAAGCTACCAAATTTCGCCACAACACTTTGGACTGAGATCCATTTTGTTTGCATTCAGACCCAAAGTAAAATAGTCCAAAATGAAGATTTCTACAATAAAGTCAATATACAATTACAATAAAGTAAGTGGTCACTTAGGTTATTGCTTTCCTAATTGTTCAAGAGTTAGTACTGGAATGATCGTTGCCATTAGCTGTATGGGCTATTAATTAACAGCTGTAGCAGCTCTAAGGAACATGTGGGCCTTAGAAACTAACTAGACTACAAGCTCACGCCACTCATCCTACACTCATCCTTCACTCATATTTGGGTTAAAATATGCACATAGTGGTGTCCCCATCTTAAATACTTGATAAATTGATAGATCTAATTTTTAATCTGAACAAAATGTATCATTGTTTGCTTTTTGCTGCTTATAACTTACAATCAATCAGAAACTGTACATTCTGATAGATTTGGTACAATGTGATCAGAATAACCATTTAATAAAACATTTTACAGACCAATTCCAAAAGCTGTTCCGTCAAGACTTGCTAGTCGCAAGTTTGTTCCGCAACCTGTTGCTGGCCGAGCGTATTATGAGGAGTTACGACTGTACACCAGTGTCGTGGCCTGTACTGCCTCCCACATATCAGCATCCTATGTGGCAAGCGTGGGACCTAGCCTTGGACCTGTCATTGGCTCAGCTACCTGCTGTAAGTCACTTTTTTTTGTCCCACCTTCACATCCTAGGACGCTAGGTTCTAGCTCGGAACTGTTATACAAATTACTTCAGGCTAGTCCTCGAGGGTCGTGGCATAGATAAAATCCATATGGCTGGGGGCGAGATTTGAACCCAGGACCCGTATTCCAAAGCCCTGAGCTCTACCACTAGACCAGTTCGCTCCCCATTAACACACTAACACCTGTTAACTTACCATAACACACTAGCGTGTCTCATCGGTAGTCAATCCCAAAACAAACACCATTGTGAAAGGGTTTCCGACTCAAAGAGACTGAAGAAATTCTCCTTTTAATTTTCCCTACAGTACCGTGTCTAGATATTACCTTTTTCACGTAATTTAACATTTAAACGTAAATGAAATGTGATATTTACAAATAAATGTGGTGGTTTTAACCACAAAATTTTTAGGCTAATTACAATATCCATATTTTATTTTAGGACTGATAAATATGTTTTTTATTTTTATGTAATCAGGTTTTGGCGAATGAGGAAAGTTTCACCCATTCACCTTTCTTTGAAGAGCAATTGACAGCCTTCCAAGTTTGGCTTCAGCATGGGTCAGAGCATCGAAGTCCACCTGAACAACTACCTATTGTTTTACAGGTTTGTAAAGTTTTCTCAATATTATCACTCTTGATTCTTATAATGTTTTTGGAAGAAAAAGCACTTGTCTTGCATTTCCTATCTCGGGATCAGCTATGTCATAAAACAAATTGTTAAACATTCAAATGATTAAAAACAAATAACAAAATAGCAGTGAATGTTTTCTGGCTAATTAGAAAAAAACATACACAAAGAGCTTGGAGAAGATACTATCTCTATCTTCCTTCAAAAATCTGTCTTAACATTTCTGAAGTCACTCTTGTTAGCTTAACTCAACTACGCTAATTATTCTAAAACTGGCTACAGTTTGAACATCTAGTTTTATTCATAGTCAAAGCGTCTTTCCATCTGTCAATCTTTTCTTCTTCCGTTGCTTCATTCAATGCATTCTAAGTATCATAATAATTTGAGATGTCTTTCTAACTGCTCTGATGTATGTTTGCAGGTACTGCTCAGTCAGGTCCATCGTCTGAGAGCGCTGGAGTTGCTAGGCAAGTTCCTAGACCTCGGCCCGTGGGCAGTCAACCTCGCATTGTCTGTGGGGATATTCCCTTATGTCCTTAAACTACTGCAAGGTGCTAAGGAACTGAGGCCTCTCTTAGTGTTCATCTGGGCAAAGATATTGGCTGTCGACATCGTGAGTCTTTAATGCTGTTAATTTTGTTGTAGCCTATTTTATAGATTCATAGGATTATAAAGTTTGTTTAAAGTCACAGTAGAAAATAATTAGTATCTTGAGGGATCAGATGAACAGATGTATCAGGGAAGTTGGAGTGTTAGATTCATTTATTTTTTGTGTAGTTGGTAGTCTCGATTAAAATTTGAATTTTTTTGTTGACAGACATGTCAAGTGGACCTTGTACGAGATAATGGACACAAGTATTTCTTGTCTATCCTCCAAGACACTTCAGTACGGGTAAAGTATCATATTTTACATTTTCACTTTATTAGTCCTTAGAAAAACATTACTTTAAAACATCAAAAGTAATTTTAACCGTAATATTACATCAGAGTCATATTGCTGTTATCCAGACAAATCTTGGTTCTTAAACCTAACAAAGACCATGAATCGTCAAAGAAAGGAAGATGAGTGATTCAGTTTTTGTTAGCAAGACCATTCTAGCTGGAGTTCAATGGAATAAAACAGTTTGTTTTTGTGCCAATGATTGTATTCAGCTAGTATCATGAGTGACAGTGAAGTATACAAGTGTAATGAAGCATATCTACTTAGTTGGCTTAAAAAAAATAGACAAAAGAAACATGTGTCACCCTCCAAATAACTCTTTTAGGACATTGTACATAACCTAATCTAGCGCAATTAGCTCAACCTACCTAACTTATCTAGCCAACTCAACCTATCAACTCAATGTAAAGAAAACCAACCCATCTAAACTAGCCTAATCAAATCAAATCAAAACCAAAGATTTTTATTCATATCTCTGTAAATACATATTTACATGAATAGTGTCAAACAAGTTAGATATTTAAGATGTACAACAATAATATTATATATGTGCAGCAGCTCACTAAGAGGCGGTTTGGGAGCTCGGTACTAGCGCAAGGTCCGCGACTAAGAACCGGATATTTCCGGTATTTAAGCTGCTGCCTAGAAAACGGGTTTGTGAGCTCGGGATCAGTTAGGCGCGCGCCTAAATATTGTTTGTTTGGGAGTCTAGTAGACTTAGGCGCCAGTCTAAGAGGTAATCTTGGTGTATTGTATTGTATTGTGCATTTGTACTGTGTGAGATAATACAGTCTACCTACCTAACCCAACCTGTCTAACCTAGCCTACCTAACCCAATCTAACCTATGTAAACTAACTCATCTAATCTTGAACTAACTATCTAATCTAGTCTTCCTAAACCATCCTACCTAACCCAACCTCCCAAATTCAACTTACCTAACCCATCGATCATCTAACGTTATCTACCTAAACCATCCTATCCTAACCTAGCCTGTCTAATCTAATCCAACCCAACCTAACTAACCCATCCTAACCAAAGCTGATGTTTCAGAGCGATGACCGGGTGATGTCAGTGTTAGTGTTGGCCAGCATTGTACACAAACACCCGGCGGGCCAGGACGTGGCTCGTGCCAACAACCTGGTGTCAATCTGTCTGGAACACCTACAGGACTCGGACGCAAGGATGCGCCAGTGGCTTGCACTGTGTCTGGCGCGTCTCTGGGACAACTACGACCAAGCTAGGTGAGCGATACTGCTGTTTGAACACTGTATCTAACAAATTTACTATGGGTCATTTGACTTCAGTTGGGCTAAGTGTCTGTTTTTTCCACACCATTGGCATTTTTTGACATTTCTTTTAAAAGAATAGTTTTGATAGCACAGACTTAAAATCATTAAAATATAACGTGGGTTCACATCTTGGTGTCGTCTTCACTGACATTTTTCAGTACAGATCTTGGGACTGTATTGGTTCACCCATTGCTATGTTCGCAAATTTGTTTCTAGAATGAATGATAAAGCATTAATCAAAATCTAGAGGAGTAACTAGTGTAGCCTACATGATTTAAACTCTATGTTCATGTTCCTGAAATAAAAGCCAACTTCAAAACTTTAAAGCAAACTGGTTATAAATTAACAACCAAAAGTATATTGCCTATACTGTGGCTTACAGGCCGTAACACTTAAGTATGGAGCCTTTATGCAATTTAAAATGAATAATGATTTATTTAGTTATTGAGGAATGCTCTAATTTTCTAGATGGTGCGGAGTGAGAGATGTGGCCCACGAAAAACTTTATGTTCTTCTCAACGATCCTGTACCGGAGGTAAAAATAATCTCATTTGTATATAATATTAATATTCTATAAGTTTTTTGTTTTGACGTAACTGTGTATACAAAATACTGTAAGGAGTTTTTTTAGGCTGTGCTATGATGGTGCTATTATGATAACAGACAACGCTAAAAATATGAATAAAGAATATGAATGATATGAATATGAATATGAATATAACCCAGCGGAAGTCTGTACTTAACACGGTTAGGGTCATCTGTCATCAAAACTAATTAGGAACTGTAAATGTGTTGATTAGGTGTATGTGTGTTGTCTTTAAATGTTAGTTTTTACATATTTTAAATATGAAGCTTTTCATATGAAGAAAGAAAACGTCCTTGATGATTACTGAAAGTACCGCTTGATGATTGCTCAATGTTGAGCTGAAACTAGTTGTTTAGCAATTTAAATGTATTACCATTACCTAATAGCAAGTATTTAAAAGTTTTTTTAAAAGTTCACTTGGCCGTTACAGGAGCTCGTTGAAGATCTTAATTACATACAACTCACGTATTTTATCTTCAGTATGGTGTCCCTAACAATGCTACGTTTTCATGTTAATGACGACAAATTTTTAAAGAATGCCTACTAAATGACTAAAATTATTGTCGTAACTGCATATTATAAATACCTTCTCCTGTACAGGTGAGAGCGGCTGCGGTTTACGCCCTCGGAACATTCATCAGCTCGGTAACCGAACGTAGCGAGCACGCCAACAACATTGACCAGAGTGTGGCTATGATGTTGATCAACACCGTGTCCCATGATATGTGTCCCCTGGTTAGAAAGGTGAGTTGGACAGTGTTTTACTGTAGTCAATTTTGTACTAGTCTATGTTGTTTTTTAGCGAATTTCCCATAAGGAATACGCTAAATTACTGTAGGTCTAATGGTAAGACCTCAATCATAACCAGAATGTAAATTTACTTTGACAAACATTAGAATAATAACGTGCACTTAAATATTGGCATTGACTATTAGATACTGAAGTAGACATCCCATGGACTAGCTGTTGTCTATTTTTTATAAAAAGTACCTAGTTTGTGTGAGCCAGTCACAGAATGCGATAGTGTCAAAAATTCCATGTTGTACCTTATATTTTGTTGCTGACATAGTTGATGGGTCAAAACAGTTGCTATAGCTCACAATAAGTCGTTTCACAGGTTTGACTTAGTTGAAAAGTTCTTGTATTCAACAGAAATCAGTAATTAAGATCAGTGCAATCTGTTGGCGGCTCATATCTACTATGACGATTATGATCAAAAACTGGCAACCACTTTTACATGGGGATGGAATGTCTAGTTATATAAATAGTCAAAGATATCGCGTTTTTTTCAACTACATCGTGAAATACATTTTCAGGAGCTGGTGGTTGCATTGCAGTGGATGGTGTTGGTTTTTGAAAACTCCTTTCTCTCAGTCGCTCTGCATGAGTTGAGGAGGGATAGCTCACAAGTAGATAAGGCTACCGGTTAGTACTAAATCTAAACCGGTTAATTACTCTGAACATATTAATAAGTGTTGGGGTACTTTACTTAACTAAGTGTCTTTAAAATAAAATCATTTAAAAAAGTGTTGATAATAGTAATACACTGTTTTTTCCTGAAATCTATGTGGAATCATTGGCTAATACTCGTATACTTTTTGGTTGGTAAATAAGAGAGTCAAAACATTTTTTAATCATACCATTATTGCAGGAAATAATCCATACATATTAAAATATCAGTTTTATCTTAATTTAAATTTTAAATTGCTATGTGTCCAGTCAAACGAAACCTCTGTCGTTCAATCTCTCCCACTAGTCCCACGATATATTCAGATCTTTGTATTGGGTGGTGGATTTAATGATAATGTTTAATCCTTCAAAGTCATCTTTTTGAAAGTTGGACCAAGGATCTTTCAATATCCTTGTTTTCTAAATATTTTCTAACTCCTAGAGTTCATCGTATAGGTTTCCCAACTATAAAGCTGTACTGGGCTAATAATTGTTTTGTAGATTCATATTTTCCAAGAATGTGAAAAAAGCGTTGAATTACTGCTATTATTCTGTTAGTAACTTCTAGTTCTACCAAATTACTTTGTGTGTACTCCTAGATTTTATTTTTTTTAATTTGAAAAATCACCTATTTTCTGCATCTTAAATTTTTGCTGTTGTCTCCATCAAAGTTCTGCTCATAAGTTCAGGTTCTTTTCATTTTTATTTCCAATAGTGTTCTGTTAATTTATTCCTAGTCCCACACAATCAGTTAATTCAATCAACATTATTGCTAGATATATCAAGGCTTATACACTTAATGCAAAGGCCAGTATTACCTTTGTCCCAATCTTAATTCCTCTGCCCCTTGCAATACTTCTATGGTAGTTTTAAACAACATACCGGGTATTTTAACTTATTACTAGACACTTTGGTTTGCCACACCAAACTCCACTGTGTTTGACCGATGTGTGTGCTACAACTAGATGTTCTGTCAGACGCTATGTTGTCACCGACGTCCTCGTTGAAGCGCAACGTATCCCGAGAAAGGATCAGGACGATCAGCAACAGTCTGTACGCGAGCGACCACAGCGACTCCAGTGGCCACGGATACTCGGCTCAAGAGCGGCTGAAACGAGTCTCGTCTAGTTCCTCTATCAGCTCTCTAAGTAGGTGGACAGCTGGTGTCTGACCAAGCTAAAATAACCTTGATCTAGAAGTTAAATTGTGCTAATATAGGTCAGTTAGTAGATTGTGTAGAAATTATTGTGTAAATTAAATATCTAACTAAAAAAAAAATGTTTTACATTTTCAGAATTGTCCATAAAATTATTTTACTATCAGCTTAAGCATATATCATAGAACGAAACTAGTTAAAGCAATCAGTAAAACAGTAAATTGACAAACGGTGTTCCTCAAGGTTCTATTTTAGATTTATTACTATTTATTTATTATTCACATTCCTAAGTTGTCTTAAAATATTAACTATAAATTCACACTTTTTGTAGAGGATGTAGTCCAAATTGTGTCTAACTTCAATTACTTAAAGCTTACATATTTTGTTGCAAGCTCCAAAGACGTTGCATTGCAACGAAACATGTAAGCTTTAAGTAAATGAAATTTGACACAATTTGGACTACTGATGGAGGTTAAGTCTAAAAAGTCATAAAATATTGACAATGTCAACTCCCTCTGTGCTGGTCCCTGTGTAAAATCTAGTGTGTCAATAAAGTACTCGACAATCAGGAGGCTAAAATTCAATGAAATTAACATATTTTGCTGTTTATATGAACACTTCCTTTTATTCACCAGGCGGCTGCAGTCTTATGAACAACCTGCCACAGCTATCATTCGGCAGTGTCTACATGAAGATGTGGCAAGCTTTAACAGCATTGGATTCTGACCCCTTCCCAGGGGTATCTCAGTTGTCGAGAACAATCACTGACTACATCCGTGACCAGGTTTGTCTAAAGTTAGGTTTGGTTTGTTATTTGTAAATTCTGTGATTGTGTAGACAGGTGGTTTTGAGTTGGTTTGTGAAGTCCAATGATTCGTTCTGTGTCAAGATTACATTTTTGCGCATTGAAGTTAGGATGAATCAAATGAGGTGTAATGAAGAAACTGTGATTGCTCTAGGTTTGGCTGTCATTTCTTGGTAATGTAGCATAATGAAAATGTCATCTTGCCTTGAAACCAATGCATTTTTATTCAAGAATCAAAGCCGTAGACATCTAAATCGCTCATTGGAATCTGCTGGTTTTATATTTTTTCCTAATCCCTCCCTTGCTAATCTAATATAAATGGTTTGTTATCAATCAACAAGTGTTGAAAAATATATTTTCGCAGCTAGGATATTAAATAAATAAATTAAAATTCAGTCAATCATGTTTAATATAGCAAGATCCTTGTCTTATTTGGCTCAAACCTATTGGAATATAGAAAGGTTAATGTACTGTGACCACCTTCAACTTTATGAATTAGCCAAACGATTACTAGTTTCAAGTCATATGTGTGGCCGTAACAAATCCAACATCACATTGAAGACATTCTATAATGTCCGAAAAATGTCTCATCATACACACATTTTATATTTTTATATTATCACAAGTTATGTTATCTTCAATTTGATGTTGGATTTGAGAGTGGGTCATATAACCCGAAAATATTCATCCTGTACGTACTATTTTATAGGACTTAGACAGACTAGGTACCTTAAAAACATTGAAATATTTTGATTCACCAGTCTTATTGGCAAGAATGTTTGAATATTTTGCTCAATTTGTCACATTTTTTTGGACCATCTTAAGAGGCGGGCCTCTAAGATATTGTGTGTTGTAAGGTCTGTGCTTGGCCTCCACATGGCCTTCACCATAAGGAGGAGGCTTGGGCTGGATCTACAGGCCATTTACTGAGCGTAAGAATTGTCATTTATGTGTGTCGCCTACTTTTACGTATCTTACTAATAATTTTTTTGTGATAAACAGCTGTAGATGTTGTTAAGACTTTATTTTGCACAATTTAGTGTTTTTTAGATTATCAGTTTATTTTTATTGGTTTTGAGTTTTTAATATTGTTTATGAATCTAGACATATTTATTAATTGACAATTATTGTTGTTGCCCAGATTAGCCTAATATTTTCAAACTTAACAAATCTCTCAAGTCCTTCAAAAAATAATACAAAAAACATACTTTAAAATGCTAGCTCTAGGCCAGGATCACCAGTTGTAAAATAAAGAGAACTAGAGGTTGTCCAGTGGTCGAAAACTCAACCAAAAATATGTAGTGTACAGACTTCTCTATTTTCACCCCAAGCAGTAAATAAAATATGTGATTGGAATTTCTTCCATTTGTTTTGATTCTGTTTATATTTTGTTGTCATTTCATCACCCATAAATCCCATGTTAATTTTTTTAAATTTTAAATTCATTTGTTGTCCTTATTTTCGAGCCTATTTGAATTTTTAAAGGGATTCTGCACATCTACAGGAAAATATCTTTCTGACAGTGTTTGTATATTTTCCCAACGACGCACACGAGCTGAGAAAAAAGGTTTCAAAGAAACATGCTTTCCTATTAATATATAGATGGAAGTTAGCTTACCTTGCTTGAAGAAATATACACACTTTTTCAAAGAAGCTAGCTGCTATCCCCCCTCTTTATTATACAATTCAAAATATTTTCAAATATAGTAATGGAAGATGGAAATTTTGTATCCAAATTTGTATTTATTTCCTTGTTTTAGTAATGAAATAAAACTTTAACACATATAATTTTCGGTAATTTCCTTAGTTTGTGTATGTTCCATATGATTTACATTGGTACCTATTTTTGTCATATGTAGACGATTCATAATTGGAAATAATACTGTATGTATAACCAAGTTAATCCATTGTGTAATATCTGAGGCTTTTAAAAACTGACATGCATTGAGCACCAACTTCCTAATTGGGCTGTAGTTTGAGCGTTCTTAATCCGTTTTTGTTAGATGTTTTATTATTTTATTATTAATGTTGTTATTCTTTTAATTTATTCAGTTTTGTCTCGCAACTTCTGTATAGCACGCTGGACTGTGATTTTTTTTATGGTGTTTATTTGCTTTATATTTCCTAACAAATGCTAGATTTGTTGTAAAACAATCTTTGTCAGCATTTTAATTTCGACCAAAAAAGAGATTAAACTTTGAGTAAACTACCATCATGTTTCAAACTCAGTCGTAGTGTAGAATTTATTGGAGATCTCAAAAGCACAAACCAGTTGTAGGAAAAAATAGTAATAGATGTGGGAAACTTTTGTACAACAGTTTGATAAACTATCAAAATAAAAATAAAATTTGGGTAGCGCGAAACTAATAATCATAATCCACCTGGATTATATAAACCTACAGTAAAGCCTAGTTCTGATTTTGTTTACTTCTAAGTTTGTATGGTTTTAAACGTAACTGTGTATTACTCATACATTATTTTCATATAAAAGAATCATTAACACTGCCGTTAAAGGGAACTAGGGCAAACCCCTCAGTGTTTTTTGTATGTTGAACCCGTTTTTCTCTCATACTGATGTCCGAAATGCTGACCATTAGGCTATCAACACAACCAAACACCGTGATGGGGCAAAAACCTTTAGGGGAGTGTAGACAATCATGTATTTAAATTGTTACTATATTGGGATATATATATATATATATTTCAACTACATTTTTCAATGTTTTCACTTAAGTCTATGTTTTTTTCTAGGTTAAAGACTTGACAAAAGAGTTAACAGAAACAAGACTAAACACTTCAATGTCTCTTCCCCCCTCCCCTTCCAACAGGTCCTATCTGGGGTGAGTATAGTGTTTATATATTGCCATTCTCATTATCATAAACAATTTTTCTATATCCCTCTATTGTTTGACAATAAGTCACATATTTGCATACATACAAGTTTAAGACTTAGTTTACACGGATACAATCTTTCTTTGAACATACAACTATGATTAAAATTGTAATTATTTCATTAGGTTAAAATTAACTAAGATGCAGAGACAAGCATGCATAGAGAAAACGAGTGAAGGATGAACATAGGATAATTCAGATGATGGTTTTGTGACTAAATAAGATAAGTCAAAACCAATTGGGAGCCCAATGATCAAGAAAACCAGGTCTAGTTTTTTTAAAATCCAATATCGGAAGCCCAATGAAGAACAACCAGATCAAGTTTCGTTAACCATTATCAGAAGCCTAATGATCAAGGACAACCATGTCCAGTAAAAAAAAAACATTTTTAGAAGCCCAATGATCAAGGACAACCAGATCAAGTTGTTTAACCAATATCAAAGGAAGTCCAATAATCAAAGATAAGGTCCAGTTTTTTATCAATATCAGAAGCCCAATGGCCAAGAACTAAGAACAACCAGTTCCAGTTTCTTAACCGTTATCGGAAGCCCAATAATCAAGGAAGACCAGGTCTAGTAGTTTTAATTTTCTCAGGATTTAAATTACTTGTTGATTCCTTAGTGAACACTATATCCACTTTGTTACTTGTACATTTGAATTTCACTTGGCAGTTTGGTTATGATATTTTTTTATTTTTCCAGGGAGTCCCCTCCTCCCAATCAACTGGGTTCAGCCAATGATCTCAATCGCCTTACGGGTGGACACCGACATCTTCCTAGAGCTCGGAAAAACATGCCAAACACTGTAAGTAACAATACTAAAACAAAAAAAAAAGAAGGATATTTGAGACATTCCAGGTGTCCTGGAAAACCAGGAATTTTTAAAGTAGTTTAGAGAAGTCGACAAATGTGACCCTCAGTCCTAGAATTCTTCTTTTTTGTCATGGAGTTGTATTACTATCATAATCATGTTTATTGGCACATAACGTACAGAGTTTACATGTAAATGTACAGGTACTTCGTCATCTTCTTATAACATCTTATTCCATAAGTTTTGATACAAAATATTTGCACACAACTTTTTTTGAAACTTAAGGTACTTCATTTCATGTCGCCTTCTTACATCTTCTATATAGGATGACGTAGGCTGTTCAGTTCTTTTATCAAAAATTTTTCTTTAGCCTGTTTAGAATTTTTAAATTAGGTACTAAAAACAGCTGATAAATGATTTAAAGATAATCTATTGTATCATATAAATAAACATTATTCCTTTCTGTTCTTCTTGTAAACATGACTTTTATTTTTCTCTCTTAATTTCCCATTAATTTACTCAAACACTTCACATTATTTATTGGTCCTTCGAGCCGGATATTACTTAAGCGATTTGGAATTACTTTCTTCCACTAAAACTCTTCATACATCAATATTTCCTCATTTAACCATTGTTTTCTGTGCCTTTGAACTCTTACCTAACTGAACTCTTATTTCCATATTGAAACTGTTAACCCACTCATTTACACTTTGTGAACTTTTTACATTTATCTCATCATCTTTGTACAATGGCATCTCCAAATAGTGATTTTAAAATTGAAACTTATACACGACTCTTATCTTTTATTAAAACCCGTCTCGACGAAATAAGAAACATCGTAGATCAACATGTTGAACAAGAAGAAACATTAACAGTTGTGCAACACGAAGCCTTAAAGACTCTCATGCAAGAAACCCAGAAGAAGAAAGAAGACTTTGATTCTTATTTTTATCGAATTGTAAGTACATCAAGTGAAGATGATTTGAACATTGAAACTTTAGCTGAAGATGAAAACCAAATCAGTGAACTATACATCCACATCACCAGCTACATTAAAGTGCTGCTTTCAAAAATTTGTTTTAACCCTTATTTGGCCAAGGTTAATTGCAGTTCAGCTCAACCTCATAGAACTACTGCAGTGCATGTAATCAAACCGAACTCATCAAGTCAGTTTCAAATCAAAGGCAACGACATTATACAACCTGGAACAAAACTCATCACAATAAAGAGGCCAGTGACAATCACAATACCTAAGTTCGCAAACACGATGATTAGAAATACCACTAAGACAGTGACAAAACCTCAACCAACGAATACAGATACTACAGTGAACTCAACTACCTTGACAAGTGATAGTGCTGATCAACCAACGAATACAGATACAACAGTGAGCTCAACTACCTTGACAAGTGACAGTGCTGATCAACCAACGAATACAGATACAACAGTGAGCTCAACTACCTTGACAAGTGATAGTGCTGCCATCCAACCTACCAACATTGCTGTCGTCCCAAGAGACAGTACTGTTATCCATCCTACTGATAATGATATCACCCATCCTACCGATCGTGTTGCTGTTAAACCAACAGACAGTGCCACCGCTAACACAACCGAGAGTGAAACCACTACAGTAAAGACAGTCAAGCAATCCAGTCAAGTGGTTGTGTCTTCCGATGAAGCTCTGGACAAAGGCTACTCTTCATCACAAACTACAGAGGAAGCGGTCATCCTCCAATCTCAGCTTGTTGGATTATTGAAACAAGAGTGCTTTGAATTAAAGAAATGTGCTATGAACTGTCAACACTTGTTCACTTCTGTTCAATCTCATCATAAAACTCCGAAATTCCTTCGAAACTCTGATGATCAACATTTCAAAGAGCTAGGACTTCGGTGGTCTCCAGCAACAGTTTTTAAGTTGTTTCCCAGCAAAGATGGTATAGGATGAAAATGAGAAGTAGAAAACTGCAAACAGCAACTATAGCCATCCTACAACAAACTTTTGTGTTACGTAATGTGTTTTGTTCTAATCTAACTGTTGAAGTGAGGACACATCAAGGCCGGGAGTATGTTCAGTTCTTTTATCAAAAATTTTTCTTTAGCCTGTTTAGAATTTTTAAATTACTAAAAAACAGCTGAGAAATGATTTAAAGATAATCCATTGTATCATATAAATAAACATTATTCTTTTCTGTTCTTCTTGTAAACATGACTTTTATTTTTTCTCTCTTAATTTCCCATTAATTTACTCAAACACTTCACATAGGCGATGATTTAACCACACTCATTACTAGTGGAAGAAGTCAGAAAGCAGCAAAGGAAGGATCCGAGCTCTTATTTGCGGCTGCTAGCGAGTGGTTTGGTAAAACATGTTGAAACATTTCCAAGTTAAGACGCAGGAGCTCATCTATTATCTGACGCTATTGCTTGAACAAGTGTCAAAAAATGTGTCACTGATTAGTGCTTGGTTTTACTCTTGATCCCAATTTAAGCTGGGTAGGGTAATTTAATTGGTAACATCTTCAAGAGGATCATCCTCCTGATCCGAAAACTCACCAAACATGTGCCCAAATCCTAACTGCTAGTGCTATACAACCACCATGCCTTGTTTCATAGCTACTTTCATAAGGTTTTAGCTATGGGGCCATGCACGATTGCACATAAATACTTCAAAGTCCTACGACAATAAAAGAAGGCATTGTGAATCGTCTCTCGTCTCTGGTGTTAGACAAACCTCATAGTACTCACAAAAAAATGAAACTATTGATTCTTTCCCTATCTTTACATTAGATTCATATTCTTCAGATTTTGTTATCAGAATGTTTTGAATATGGTTTTATTTCTTATAAGCACATATCTGCTTCCGTTCTGGTTCTTTATAGTTCCACGCATCTTCCTCGACTTAATCTCCATCTTTTCTATTTTTCAACAGTGAATTGTCTTCATTATGTGCCATCATTCCTCTCCTCTCCACATCTCATCCATGATCTTTGCCTAGGTCTTCTTTCCTCCATCACCATCACTCCATTTCTACATCATCTAAATCTTGCTCAAAGTAGAATTCCAATTAGTCATGTAAAATTACAGCTATTTACAAACAATAGGAACAGTAAAAACCTAAACCTTTAAATGTTTCAGATAATTCATTTTTCTTGTAAAATTACAGTAAAATTACAGTTTTACAAACAATATTATCCAACAGTTACGAACTAAGCATTATCAATGTTCCAGATCACAGAAGACTGTAGTGAGGAGAACACAGGTAGTTTACGACCTCTGGTTACGACTCAGTTCACGGAATGGTGTTGTAAATACTTTGCCCAGCCAACGATGGCCAATGGCATCGACCAAGAAGACTTTGAAAGCCCCAGGTTTTACCAACGGGAATACAGGTATTTTATCTTCTATGATTGTGTAGCTTTTAAAGATTCTGTTTCAAATTCAAAACACAATAATTTTGATAGAGCCAGTTTTGTTTTGTGAGGTATTTAGATTGTGATTGTGATTTTTTTTTATTTTGGGCTGTTCATTGTACTACTTCAGTAAAAAAATTCCTGGAATGAATTTCTGTAGAAATTTAGCACAATCGCCAGTTGGAAATTTGACTTGCAGTAGGCCTAGTTGGTACGACTCCTGGGAAGGGCATATCAGTAGTGGGGGTATAGCTGACGAGCCGTAGTCCAGTATTGAAATGCGCTTTTTCTGTACCTGCAAATCTACATTGTCGGTTCCTGTTGGTCATGTACCTGCATTGAAAAATGGCATTTCACGAACAGCGTGCAAACATTAAGTTCTGTGTTTTACTAAAAAAAAAACCATCTAGTGAAACTCTTGAGTTGTTAATTCAAGCCTATGGAGAAGGAGGCGAAGAAGAAAAGTCAAGTTTAGGAGTGGCACAAACGGTTTTGTAAAGGCCGTGAAAGCATTGACGATGACCCTCTTAGTGGACGTCCTTCAACAGCAGTCAATGACATAAACATTGAGCAAGTATGACAAGTTGGGTGTGAAAATCGCAAATTAACAATTGATAAAATTGTACTCGCTCAATATTTACTAGTGATGGTCAAAACCAGAAATTTCGAATCTCAAAACCGAAACCGAAACTTTTAAAAATCGAATCCCGAATCTCGAATCTCAAAACCTTAGCGCGAAACTTTTTTACTTAGCTGGTTACATAGGTCAAGGTGACAAAAAATATAGGTAATAATAATATGTTAAGTATGCAATCAAAACTGAAAGAGATCTACACCTGACAGTCCTGACACTGACATAACATAAATATTTGTCTGATAATCTTAACACGTTAGCTGCCAAGGCTATTTTCGGGGGGGATTGTTGCATTGCCAACTATATGCTCACGTAATATTTTAGTTATATGATGTTATTTATACTTATCTAGGTTAGTTATAGTGTTATCTGTCCAAATACCTAAAAGATAATGGCGGAAAAAGTGTCACCCCGATCGGGGTGACAGTGATTGTTTTCAGTCAAACTTTGCTGGAAAAAATCGCTGTCACCCCGATCGGGGTGACACTGAAATTCGACCATTTGGGATGTATTTCATTTTGTTCGGTTGGCAGTAGCGGCATTTTGGCGTGTGAAGACAACAACACCTGCTTATTACTTGACTGTGTTATGTTTACTTCTTCTTGTGTTGTACTTTTTAGCTATTTATAGCCTAGTTTACGTGTTGGTTTTCATAGTGTGTCGTGGCTTTTGTCCAATATGAGTGATAATCTTGGTGATGAAGATATCAAACGTTTTTTTGGGTTTACCAATGTCAAGTGAACTAGATTTTGGAGATCTGAGTGATGGTTTTTTGGGAGGTAGTGCTAAAGACAATGATGAGTCAGACAGGGACGACGAAATGGACATCGACCCTGACTTTCAACCTACCTTCCTGTCAATGTCAGAGAGCGAGCACAGCAACAATGGTCATGTTTTTATTCATTATTATACATATATTTAGTTTTTTTTAGCAATGTAATATTGTTTACAGTTTGACATAAAAGATTAAAAAAATATGTTTGTTTTCTTTCTTATATGTTTTTCATCAGTATAACCCAAATACTTACTTTTATGTTTTGGTTAAGGACATAATTTCAGTCATAAGATACAAAAAACCCGTATAAAATATAAACACCAACTGAATAAGATAAACGTTACGTCATTTTATGGTACATATTTCAATAAAGAGTAGATCAAATTGTTGAAAAAAATAGCGTCACCCTGATCGGGGTGACAACATTTCAGTACTTTGTGACGTGAAGTTTGGACATGTTATAAACATCAGAATGCAATATAACATTGATATCTAGTTGGCTTGGAGTATGTATTTATAAGCAACAATGTTTGACTGCCGTTGAACATCAAAGACTGTCAAATAGCGGCAAAGAAAAAAACCCTTACAAATTACAACTGTCGCCCCGATCGGGGTGACAGTGCTCACATACGAGCCAACTGGTGGCACCCCGATCGGGGTGACGTGGCAGCTAACGTGTTTTAAACTTGAATAGAAAATGTTTTTTTATAAACAACCAACATTAAAATAAATTAAACCCCTAACAACAACATAAACATTTATTGGATTAATTAGAACATTTTAGTAGTCAATATTTCCCTGTATCATGAAAATTGATATGAAACTGAATTGTACGTCGTTCGAGTTATAGTATTTATTTAAGATGCCTTTTGAAGTTCAGAATATAATTTACTTGTTTCATTACTGTTGATGGTGATATGTTTGCTCTATTGCTACGAGCTTGTGTGGAAACAGTGTTATTAACAATAATAATGACACAAAAAATGTCAGCAGTTTAAAAAATAAAACTGCCAAAATCTTCAATTTCGAAACTTTTGAATCTCGAAACACAGTGATTGAATTTTGAAACTGAAACTTTTCCAAAGTTTTGATGGTTTTGAGATTTAGTTTTGACACATCACTAATATTTACATCATTGACTGCTGTTGAAGGAATATTATCATTAGCTGAATATATCATTCAGCTGTACCCACAGTACCAAAATGCCCTCCCCAGGAGTCGTACCAACTACTGCAAGGCGAATTTCCCGCTGGCAATCGCGCTAAATGTCTACAGAAATTCATTCCGAGAACTTGTTTACTGTTATATGTATTATATTTTTGTTTTAGGTTGAAAATCAGCTGAATTTCATTTTAAGCGAATATTTGTTCAGTGTATTAACTTACACACATATGTTTAAACATTTCCATTATCTACAGCTCAGTGGCTAAATAATGCAGTTTAATTCCCAATATTCTTTTGAAGTACCCAAAATATTAAGGATACGCTCATTTGACTTTCTGCTGTAGTTAAAGACTAAAATATAGAACACCGACCAATAATAAGAAATTTTTTTCAAGATTGTTGTGATATGGGATTGTTTGAGTTAGTTTTTTATTATATCTTTTCAGGTACCTAGAAAACACAAAACTGAGAAACACTGCGCGTGAAGAGTGTATCAGGCTAAATCGAGGAAGAATCGACCATCAGGTAAAACATCAAGGGTTGCAAACAAGGGCTGTAAAAAAATATGGAAATATGTATTTTGGGCTTTGTACTTTTTAAATATAGTTGGATACTGAATGGGAAAATACAGTGTTTACATTTTATAATTTGATAAAAGCTTATGGTGAATGGTTTTTTTTATTTTTTCTCGCTATAAGTGTACTATTTTCCCTTTCTTTAAATTTAATAGGTTGTAAGGGAAAGGTGCTTTTTAAAGTAATTTTAAGAAATAAATCTGTATATAGCAGAAGATAACAGCAATTAAATAAAAAACAACAGACCAATTTGATGATTTAATTTGATTTTGATGGTCTTAGCTATTGCTGAAGATCTCTTTGAACTAGGGATGGTCAAGTCTCGAAATTTCGGGAAATTTTCGGGAAATTTTAAATCTCGTTACATGAGACGAGATTTCTTTTTGGCCGAGATTTTTATTGAGACGAGAATAAAAAATAAAAAAATTAAAAAACGCCTGCAGAAAGTCAATACAATACCCGCAACACAGGAGCGTGTTGTAGTTGCGTTTCCTTTGCGAAGGCGTTCTTATCTATCTATAATATTAAAACGAAACAGTGTTTTTTTATTTCACGATTCTGAATCAACCACTCGACGGATTTTCATGATTTTTGTGTTGAAAGAAAGTTAATTTTGAGAACTAGGGAATGTCAAAGCCATAATTTTAGTTTAGGGTCCCAGTTTTTTAGAAATTGAGTTTTAGTTTTTAATAAGTCTAGCAGCCGACGCTAAGATTCTAAACTAGCTTTTGGCATAAAATAATTTGCTTAACATAACAGCTGTAAACATTCAGCTTTTGTGTCACAAATTCTGCATTTGGATAAAAATGTAAATACATACTTAGGGTTGACTTATTTATACTATATGTATTGCTAATCATTGATACGTGTGACGTAATTTTCCTGGCGGACGACAAGTGGGAAATTACGCCACCGGTAATAAAACGAGGATCCCAGGATTCGCCCTAGTCTGGTCGCGGGGAGTTTCCCAGGAGTCGATAGTGATTCGGATAGCCTAAATTTGGTAGCCCTGGTTGTCAGAGCTCGAGACGAACGTTGCGGGTTACTAAACACCCTACTCGAAATCACCACTCTAGCCTAGGGCTTGTGGGGAAATAAATAATTTTGACTTGACTCTGTGGGCAAATATCTAAATGACACACTACTAGCTGACTTAACGAATCAACAAGTAAGCTAAGTAGTCACTCCGCTTACCTACGGAGTTAAGTTGTCAACCTGAAACAAACAAGGTTAGAACAAGAATAGGCCTAACCTAGTCTAACTCCCACAGAGTCCGAATTTACTAAATGATAAGAAAACAAGTTAGCCTAAGTGGTCCAGGTGAGGAACGAACAAAAAAACGAAACTAAAAAGGTGAAACTGCTCCTTGAGCCAAAAACGAAAAACTAAAACTTTAACTTCCTCACGTGTTCAACTTAGACCAACTTCGACAGGACTTGTCCAGCAGAAACCTGTCTGCTGGAACAGACTTTGGTACGTTTGGGGAACTTTAAAAAAGGGTTTTAAGAATTAAAAAAGAAAGTCCCAAGACGGATTATGAAACATAATTGAAAATATATTTCACCAACTGCAGTACTTTACTCAAATTGTTGGTTAAGGCGTATGACTAGGTCTGCGAATCAGGCCTAGCCTTCAAGTTCAACCAAGTTTCGTACACGAAAACTGGTCAAGTAATATACAATAATCTGTAAGTTAGTTCAAAACTTACCCGATGACGAATTTATATCAAAATATTCACTACGAAACAATACATACGAACTTAAGCTTTCAGAGCTTGCGATACGAACTTTAACTTGCACGAATTTTCGAGAACGAACCAAAAGCGAAACAAACTTACGACGAAAAGCCGGGATTACGAATGACAATTCTCCTCCACAATTCTTCTTCTTCCCTCACCTTCGTCTCAGAATCGAGACGAAAGTTAAAACGCTTCCTGATTGGTCAGCACAAACAGAGTCAGCTGAGTCCCGTGTCAGCAAAGGCAGGCGTATGACAGCTTTAACATGCTTTATAGCTGCCTCGCTCACAAGGTGGATCAGCTGCTCTTATTCTCTCCCGTAGCCCGCCCTCAGACGCAGTCGAACAGCCAAACAACCAAACTGACACCAGCGTCGTCTGCGGTCTTGGAATTTGAGGTTAGGTACGATGTCAGTTTAGTGTCGCGACTAGGCTTACTCAACAGCTTATGTTTAGCTGTTTAAAGTTCGTGGTTTAGCCGTTATTTTACCCCCTACACATTTGACTCGTTACATACGTTCAATTCTTCTTAATGACAGATTAATTAAATATACATAGTAAAATACTAGGATGTTCAAATTATTTTTTAAAGCAATCTTTGTAATCTTCGATTTGTTTTAGAGTAATATAATTTGTTTTAACTCACAGCTGGTTAAATGTAAACTATGGAACTATGAGGTTATTTTATTTACTCTTATTTTGTCATTGATTATAGGAAATAAGTAAGATTAGTAGAGATAATTAGACCACAGTTTAAAATAGTTTAGATTAGGGGTGTGCGATGCATCGAAAATGCATCGAAATTTCGATTCGATTCGATTCGATGCATCGAATCGCGATTCAATTCAGTGGTGGTCAAAAAACGATTCGATTCACGAGGGAGTCAGTATCCATATACGAAAAACGCCTGCAGAAAGTCAATGCAATACCCGCAATACAGGAGCGCGTTGCTGTTGCGTTTCCTTTACGAAGGCGTTCTTATTTAATACATTCTTTGCATTAAATATAGCTTTAATTGTTTTATATTTTTTTGTTTTGACATTGCAAATTATTAGAGGTTTGTTTTTTGTCTTTATGTAAGCAGTGTGTGAAATATTTTACTACTGTGAACCTAGCCAAAACAAGGTAGGTTACTCCAAAATCATTTTAAAAATAAGTCTGAAAAATTGTTACTTAATACTTAACTAGTAGGATTAATGTTATAGACTGATTCATTTGGTATTTTTGTTAGGTGTCTGCCGGTCCCCGGCCCCGAATTTTTGTTGGGGCAAAAGAAAAAAAAAAGAATAATTTATTTCCAAAGAAACACTCTTATATTATTATATCTATTATTACAGAGGAATTAAAATGTTCAAATGAGAATTAAAAATTAAGTTGGCTCACGACCTTTAAGAATAAAGACACAACAGAGCAATTGCCGCACTGCCACTAGCCAGAGCCAGGTCTAGTCGTCTACTGATAAGAGTAACAAGACAAAAGCCGTGACGCAACACTAACAGTGCAAAGAAAACAAAGTCAAAAGAATAGAAAGACTATTTATCCAGACATACTAGTATAATCATTTATTGTTTATTCAATACCTAATTAAAAATATATTTTATTACTTTACATAATAAATTATAAACAAAAGAAATATCTGATATAGTGAACAGATCTGTATCTTGGTTAGATGGGGTTAAAAAAATATATTTCTAAGATCCAATACAATATTTACAACTCACAAATTACATTGAATTAATTTCTTTGAAAATAATCTCTAACAGTTTTGTGTTTTTGAATAAAGAAATATATTTCTTTGTCTCTACTCCCTTGTTTCATCACTTGCATTTTGTCAGCAATTGAAGCAACTGGGTAGGATCATCTTCAAATGGTCCAAAGTCGTTTGGTCCACAGTTTATATTGCCGTTCGTTTGGTCCAAAATCGTTTGGTCCAACAGTTAAAAACTCGTTCGTTTGGTCCAAAATCGTTTTATCCAATTTCATTTGGTCCAAAGTCGTTTGGTCCACAGTTTATATTGCCGTTCGTTTGGTCCAAAATCGTTTGGTCCAACAGTTAAAAACTCGTTCGTTTGGTCCAAAATCGTTTGGTCCAACAGTTAAAAACCTGTTCGTTTGGTCCAAAATCGTTTGGTCCAAAAGTACAGGCCAAACTAGAAGTAAAATGTTGCATTGTAGAGTAAACTTATGAAATATACTGTACGTTTATATTGCCGTTCATTTGGTCCAAAATCGTTTGGTCCAACACATTAATACGAGTTCGTTTGGTCCAAAGTATAAACTATTGCGTCCCTCACATTGAAGGCGTTCAAATATCTGCCGTCGTATACAATAATAATATTAATACAATTTTTGCTTTAAACATGTTGACTTTCTATGTTTTTAACGTTAAAGACGCCATGTTTTGTTGTATTCAAACCACTAAAGCGTACATAAACAAACTTAAAGCTCAATAGTGTATCATACGGTTGGAAATCTTATAAATTAACAGTTTTTATCACATTTGGCGACCTTCTAATATACAGGGTGTTCAGTGGACCAACGTGTTTTAAATGTTTATCATACACCTTAATTTGTATTGTTGTACCGGTACCTATTTACAATGGAGTGTTTACTATTGATCATGGTTGTCTATAATTCTTAATCAAAAGGTTAAAATAGAACATGAAAATTACATTAATTAGCCTACTCATATTTTCTGGACGTCCACAATTTCCTGGTAAAAATTTTGTCTTACAGAATTATATATAAGGATCTTATTTTCTTATTTTAAAATTGATGTTCTTCTGTATAATGTCATGTTTAGCAATATAACGTTCCATTACGAACAGTTATATAATCTTAATATTACAGTAACTCTTTCAATCATTTCTTATTGCATTATGTTATATCTATTGTACTGGTTGGTGTCTGCCTTTTTGACTACTTTTGCCGATATTTTGTCTTATTATTCAATACTGACAGATCATCACGAGATTATTGTTATACATGTGTATTTAATCATTGGACAATTTCCCATTATGTAATACGATACAGAATAATAAAAGTGCAGAAGGCTTTTATAGTCTATGAAAATGAATGTTAAATAGGCTACTTTTATTTATCATAGACATATCATTAAGGTACATCAATTATAGGTCTACTCTTTGTGATATGCATAATTGTCTGAGACAAACATTCAGGCACGTTGCCCATATTTTTTTTTTAATAATAGTGGTTTTCAGTAACTGGATTAAATTTTTAATAATTTTATGAATAAATGCATGATAAGTTATAGAAAGTTATTAATCCTAAATTCCAGTTTATTACATACTTTTAGAGAGTTTACTTTGATGCATTAATTCAGCTTAGTGAAAGAATACACAATGGAGTCAGTGAATGTTATTCAACTAAAGAAGTGATGCGCATGTTTACTGGCGCTACTCAGCAACAAAAATCATTGATCTCTCAAAGTTACTTACCCAGATGGTGACATCAAAAAGGCCCAAACTCCATACTATAAACAGTTTCTCAGACCAGAGTCAATTTAATGCGCTTGAATTGTGGCATTTATTAATTCGGCTTATATTTCTCGTAACCAACAGATTGTTCATCTGCAGAAGAAGTTCATTGTGTTCTTATCGTGTCTAATAACATCCAAACACAGAAACCTTAAATTACAGTAGTACCTATATCTTGACAGATGGTTTGCAGTAGCATCTGAGCCAGTAGAGCCACTGGGGCGGAGCCCGAAAGGATTTTTGGGATAATAATATGCTTTAATATTAATCGGGAATGTGAGCTATCATCATGCCAAATTTAAGCCCAATCCGTCCAGTAGTTTATGCGTGATTGAGCAACACACACACACACAAACACACACACAAACACACACACAAACACAAACTCACAAACTTTCAGATTTATAATATTAGTAAGATTAAAAAATAAACCATCTGTTTAACATTAAATGCAAACTCAAAGCAAAGTCAATATTTATCCACAAATCTAGGGAATTAAAACGCGTTGTTTTAAGATTGACTGGGGATAAAAAGTAAACATGACACAAACACATTATATATATAAATAAATATATGTATATGTACGTGTATAGAAATGCAAACATATCAATTATTTAGAAACATATCACAAAACAACAAATAATAGGCCTCGGAAGGCAGGCGGTTGGGTTGACGACGTGACGGCGATTATTTGAACGCCTTCTATGTGAGGGACGCAATAGTTCATACTTTTGGACCAAACGAACTCGTAATAGAGTGTTGAATAAAACGACCCGATCGAATGGTCCACAGTGAAACGTACAGTCTATTTCATAAGTTTACTCCACAATACACAATTGTAATTCTGGTTTTGCCTGTACTTTTGGACCAAACGATTTTGGACCAAACGAACTGTTTTAAAACTTGTGGACCAAACGATTTTGGACCAAATGAAATACTCCCCAACTGGATCATAAAACGATTTTGGACCAAACGAACTGTTTTAAGACTTGTGGACCAAACGATTTTGGACCAAACGAACTGTTTTAAGACTTGTGGACCAAACGATTTTGGACCAAACGAACTGTTTTACAACTTGTGGACCAAACGATTTTGGACCAAATGAAATACTCCCCAACTGGATCATAAAACGATTTTGGACCAAACGAACTGTTTTAAGACTTGTGGACCAAACGATTTTGGACCAAACGAACTGTTTTACAACTTGTGGACCAAACGATTTTGGACCAAATGAAATACTCCCACTGGGTAGCAACCGGGTGGTGTAAGAGGGGAGGGGGAGGGTCTATGACCTTGAATTCACACATCGTTGCCCGGGCCTGGCTGGTGAGACTGATTCATTGTTTTTGTTGACATACTACTACCCTTCCTTAAGAGAAAAAGGCCCTGCTGTTCCAAAAACATTGAGGGTAGTTTAAAAACATTGACCTGTGTTGCCAAGGGCACTAGGCTAGAAGATAGCATTTAACTTTCTTGTCTCTTGATTTAATATTATTTTAATCTTCTATTATTTAAGAGTTACTTTTCGGGTACCTAATTAGTTGTGATATTGTTTGGCTTTATTTTATGGATTTTTAATTCTTTTCATTCATTAGCTATCAAAATCAGTTGTTTTAGGATTTTAATCTCTTGCAGTAGGTCTATACTACTGTATGACATGATATGCATTTTTTAGTCCTTATTAATTATACCATAAACAATGTTTGTATGTTATTTACTGTTTTTGAGTTTTATAGGAAATTAGTTTACACAATATCTTTTCTTCAATGAGTTCTCCACTTGACATGTTGCTTCTAGCCTATTACTATTTTAGGCCCTATAAAAATAATGCCTAGGTAAAGCTGTAGGCCTACTGATGCCAATAATAATTCTTTATTTATGATGATGTAACAAATGATGTAAGTGTGAGGTTATTATACTAAGGAGGTTAGGAGGCAGGGAATGAATGATACATATTGCATGGTGGAAACATATTATTTTTATTTTCTTCTTGCTTGCAATCCTGAAGCCGGTCCACAGGCCCTAAACTTGTGATATGTAAATTTATTTCTTAATGGTCTTTTTATATTAAGTTCCATTCAAATTTGTTGTAATTTAGCTACCGGCACCTATTTAGTTATTTAAACAGTTATTAAAATGAGAATGAATGTCTTGATAAAAAAAATATTTTCTTCTTTCTTGCAGTTGAGCCAATTCAAGTAAAAATTATGAAATAGGCAAGTAAAGCAGCTCACTGGTATTTCCAGCAGTTATTCTAATAGGCTACATATGATTGAAAATAAATATTTTTTCACCTAAAATTCATATGTTAAGTATGAAATAGGCCTAATACCACATCAACAAAAATTTGTATTACACAAATGTGATACATTTTAATTATTGTTAATCCACTCAATTGACAATTATGAATAGAAAAATACCGTATTGCTTCGAATCGAGTTGCATCGAATCGAATAGAAAATCTTTTGAATCGAATCGTTGCTTCGAATCGAAAATTTTTTGCTGCTTCGCACACCCCTAGTTTAGATCAAAATTAATTAAACCACAGTACAAATCGAGGCTCTGTACACGAGTCTTAATAAAAAAGGATAAATGCAAATTATTTTACTGCTCCACTTTTCAAGGAAAGAATAGAAAAATAACAATGTTTACATGTTTTAATTCTTCATGGTAGCTTTTTGTTTACAATTAATGTTTGTCTGCTTTAACTTTGTTTGGATTAGGCCCGGAAATATTGATGTCATAAAAAGAAGATCAAGAATAATCAGGAATCGCGATTTTAAATTACCACCACAACCTCAGCCGGGTTTTATAAAAAGATAAACAGATGGATGACATAGATTGAACACAATGTCAACATTGACCTAGGATACTGCAATTAGACAAACCATCCTTTTATGAAATCGTGTTCAGTTGTGGTTACGTTTGGGGGTGCCTATATCAGCGCCCCCAAACGTGAAAATACCACTTTTATTTCAACTATGAATATATTGTAGTTTAAATGAACTAATATGGGAAATTAAAATGTAGTCTACATTTATTCAATGAGGGTGGGTAATTATCAAGGATAGAACTGATAACGGTATGGATAATAAAAATTGACAATTACGTCATTAGTTTTACTAGCGTGTTTACTTTTTATATTCCTGCTACATGTGACCAGTTCTTTTTCTCAAATGAATGTTATTTGAACCAAGCCTAATATTATAATGTTATTTGAAACCAGCTGTTTCAAAACAAACTGTTATTGTTTTTACTTTTCTTTGTTTACACTTATTTACTTAGCAATTAATGCAGTGAAATTTATATAAAGGATAGGTGTGACGATTAGTTTTGATGTTAGGACACCAAAGTTAAATTATGTGTAGGGCCTACTGTGAACTTTATTGGATATTATCGTTTTATTTTAGGTTGTTTCTATTCAGACCTACTGGAAATTGTGTATAGTAGTTGTATTGTGGTGATAATAATTATGGAAGAGGCAGGTATGCGATGGAAGGTGGCATCGTTGACTAGGTCTATATACACTTCTCAATTGACTATTACTCTCTCTACTGTAGGCTACTTATAATCAGTGTATCAGTGTGCGTCTGTGCGAATCGGCTGCAAATCTCACTTCAACGCTTTTCACATCATAAAAATTGCAGAATTGCTGTTTTATTGTAAACTAGCTGATCTGAATTGTACACGGTTTTAACTGACTACTGAATTCCCGTACGTAGGACGGGCTAACACCTCGTTTAATTAATTCTTTAAATGTAAATATTACTTTAATTATTTTAATAATATTACTTTAATAACATTTGAGAAGTTTTGTTAAGTGTAAGCAGTGTGAGGAATGTTTTATTACTGTAAAAAGTCAAAACAAGTAACTATTTTATAAAAATGAATATTGCTTTTATTTTATGATTTATTTTATTTTAGGATAAGTATTGAACTCTATCCTAACTGATATCACTATGTTTCCTAATCGTAGGCATTTTTAATAAGTTAGGCGTGGTTAATAAAAAAAATGTTATGCTGATGTTTTTTAATAAAAGATTGTAAATATTCTTGCCTATTATCATTATTTTTGTATTTAAACAGTCATCTAACAATGTTACAAAATCAGGTAAAAATTTTTTACGTGCATTTCCCGTTGTGTATGAGAAGGGAAATCCCGTCTCGATCTCGTCTCGAAATTTTATGAGAAATAAAAAATCTCGTCTCGAACTAAAAATCCAATCTCGTCCATCCCTACGAACTAAATAGCCATTCAATTCCAACTTTTCATTCACTGATAGAATAGTATATCGATTCAGCCTCGTCCTATTTAATTAGTTTATTCTACATTATTTTTAGATAGAGAAAGGGCAAGATGCAGAGTTAACATCAGAGTTTAAATTCACAATGTTTGCAGGTGTTCAGTGTGAGGACGCAACACGCAGCTACTGTCCTTCACTTCCATCCGTACCTCACCCATGTAGCGGCTGCCGGCAAAGATACTATCAGGTAGTGAGACAAAGAAAATACAATAGCCATGTGAATAAAGCCTGGTCGAGCTGGGTTTTTTTATATGATGAATTTGATCGCATGCCATCAAAATGGATTATATTTGTCACAAATCTTCTTTTAAAATTCAATTTAATGTTTTCATGTATTAAATACACAAGCAGTATGAAATTTAGTACAATCCAACCTCAGTATAACGAATCTGAAGGGACCGAACTAAATATTCGTTATATCAAGGATTTCGTTAAAACAAGGTTCGTTATATAGAGGTTAGGCTTGCAGGAATTTCGCTAAGTCGAGGTTCAGAACCAGCGTCGGTCAATATAGGTCGGGATTTGACCTCATTAAAATACAATTAAAGTAGCAAAGGCTACAATACTTAACTAAATTATCCGGCATAATAAAGGGGAGGGATCTTGAATATTGCGCAATAATGACAATGACATTGACCTTGGTACAGGTTAAAAGCTGTAAGTTTAAAATCACAGCTTGTTCTAACCCTCCTAAAACCTAGCCAAACACTGTATTGCGTAGTCATAAACCATGTAAAGATCAAAACAAAACGGTAGAAAGTTTTGTAAGCACTACTACAGGCTACTTACAGTACAGTACTGATTTATCACAACAGAGGAATGTCAATAATAATCATTAACTATAGCATTGGTGTTGCTAGTTGAAACAAATCGTATTGAAAACAATAAATTATTAGATAAGTCATTATAAAAGTGTATAATCATAGCCAACTTAAGGATAATAAAAACACTCGTAAAAGGAATGTTAAAATAACGATGTTGCTATTCTTTCTCTTTGGTTTTGTTTTTATATTCTTTCTTAGGTTTCTCTTTATCCAAAAATTGTACAATTCACCATAGTTATCCCATATCGCCCAATCACAGCTTACTAAACATTACGTTGTCATCGGTCCTCAGAGAATGAAATCAGTTCTCAGTTGAAAATAAAACAACTTTTATTGGTACTAAATTTCTTTATAATCTGCCTAATAATATTCTTTGTGAAGAAAAATATAACAGTTTCAAAACCCGCCTTAAAGAATACCTATTGACTCATCCTATCTTTTCAAGTAAAGATTTTTTTAATTCAAGGAATGTAAAATAAATAAATTGTATTAGTGTCATTGTCATACAACAACATAAAAACAGTTTTATTTGTAACCATCATATTTTAATTAAGGACATTTATTAGTTGTAAGATTTGACTCTATTCAATGTATTCATGTAAATACAAAAAATGAATAAAGATGATTTGATTTGATTTGCAGCATAGCGCGCGCAGCGACAGCAGACAAAGATGTAAAACGGAGTAGAGACGAATGTTAGCGCAAGCGATGACGTGACCTTTCCATTTCATTTGATAAAGAAACAGATTTTCCAAAAACAATACTGGGGTGGGGGATTTGTTATATCGAGGGAAAGACGTAGACAATTCGTTATGCAGAGGTTAAATTCGCAATGTAGAGGTTCTGACACTGATAAATTCGTTATATTGAGGTGTCTTATTTTAGCCGAAATCACAAAAAATTTGTTAAATTAAGGTCGTTGTTATGGTTTGTTCGTTATGTAGAGGTAAAATATACATTGTGTCTTATGGAGGGTTCTAGGGGAATAAAAAAAAATCGTTATATCAAGGAATTCGTTATATCGAGGTTCGTTATATCAAGGTCAGACTGTAATCATAAATTTGGTGCAATGTGCCTCCATCCCAATGTCACAATGACAATGTGTTCGTAGTAATACGCAGAAACTTATCAATTTCGCGCCCCTGTGAATGTCATCACTGTCTCCTGCAATCACAGAAAAATTCTGTTTAACCCTGCAGAAATATCATAGTCCACCGCAGCATAAACCTGAATATTTCCTGCAGTAACAGAAACATTATCATCGTCTCCTGCAACCATGGCTAAATTGTGAACATATGCCAGACATGATCTTTGCCTCCCGTGATCACAGGAACCTTATTGCAATCCTCGAAAATTGCAGTCAAAACGTGAATTTTTCAACTGTGCCATCTTTGAAGACAAGTAAAAGCTCAGTTTGATCACCTTTTTCTGACTTAACTTTTGATCTCTCGAGCTTGTAGGATGGGCTCGGCAAGGCTTGTTAAAATCAGCTGATTTGGCAAAACTTGAACCGGAACTTGAGTCTTGGTATTATAACCATTTCCAATATTTATTGGCAACTTCGAGACCATAACAAATCATTAATCATTCCAGCTTTTGATGTACTTGATGTTTACGTCACCCTATTTCAGTGTGTGGGACTACCAGGCCAACACCAAATTGTGCTACTGGAAGATAGGCTCTGCCAATGTCAAGATCACTTCTGTTAACTTTGTGAATGCTCACGACACTTGCTGCCTTCTAGTCACTGGTTCTGAAGATGGCACTGTGCGGGTGTGGAACAATTACAACGGCACTGGTGAGTTGTCTACATTTGTGGACATTTCTCTTAAAATCGACTTTCTGAAGAAGCTCTACATTAGGAGGAAATATCAGTGTTTTGTCTTGTGTTCTTTATTGTGTACCTGACTGTTAAACCCCGGACTCTGATTTTCTCAAGTAAGCTAGCTGAACTCTTATGTCTTCTCTCTTCACAAACAAATTTTGAAGAGGGGTAGATTTCAACTAGCTTTCCTGAGAAAATTAGAGTCCAGGGGCTAATAGATGATATAAAAGACAAGAAAAAAAACTTAACACCAATATTTTGTTCTTATACAGAACTTCTTCAGAGACTAAGAAATGTGAATTAAAACTGGAGTAGTCTCACCGCATAAAAACAGGTTATTTCCTGTTGAAAATATTCTCTGTTGAGGGCTAGCCTACTAGAATATTACACACTTCAGAGATCCTAACCTCATTTGTCAATAACAACCTCAACCGTCTAACTATAGTGTTTTTTTTTTAGTATGTCACAGAAAACATAATAACGTAGTGGAGCATAGATTGAATTGTAGCTGTTACTGACCCAGACCGACTGTTTCTTTAGCAAGATTAATTCTTTTAAAGCCAGATGATCAAGAACAGCTAAGTCTCCATTTAAACAATCAAATATCTTAATTTTTAATAATTTTAATAGTAAGAGTAGGTGGTACCTAATCTTCCAAAGTAAAGAATAGTGTTTATTTTTTTTTCTGTCTGATACTGTTGTTTGGTTACCTTAATGTTGGCCACTATTTTTACAGTTCAATATTGTGATTTAATTTTGTCATGTTAGCAGCAGGTACCAGGGAGCCACAGTTAGTTACTGCTTGGCAAGCACTGCCTGAGAGTCAGAGCCCCTCAAGATCTACACATTCCTCAGGTTCGTAGAGTTCAACTTGAACTTTCTGAATATCCGTAACTTTTGGCCCTTCCGTCATGGTCGGATATGAGGGATTCTACTGTAATTGAAAAACATTCTATAGTTTAAAAGATACTATTCAAGCTATTTGAGTTAATGGGAGTTTTTTATCAATCATGTTTTAAGTTTCACCAGGTATAATAAATTAATTTTATGAGTACAGAGTGATTGGTAAAGGTTCAATCAGTTAAATTTAGCAAAGTGATGTGCACCACTTTCAAAGTCGGTACTAATACTGGTTCTAGGCAAAAAAAACTTTTCTCGATACTTTGGTATCAATACCATAGATTCCTTATTTTAAAAACTTCTCATTTATTAAAAGTAAGATGCAAACATTGAAATTTTTTATATCTTACTCTTGTTGATTATACATGTTGGTTACATGCAAATAAATAACTTCTTGATTAGCATCGTACGTGTTATTAATTACCTGAAAAATACAGAAATATATTACGTCTAATAACACTTGCAATAATATATTTACACTTATACTGTTGACTTACAAGACGTTTTGCAATAAACTGAATACCTACATGCTTATGCGGAGTGTCTTATATTGTTACTGTTGTAGGCAGTGGAGGCAGTGGGATGGTGATGACGTGGGACCAGGCGTTACAACAACTCATAGTGGCTGACTGGAGGGTCATCAGAGTGTGGGACGCTGACAAGGAACTCAAGGTGTGTGACTTGGCCAGCGGCAGTGACTCTCCCATCACGTGTCTCGACTACGACCACTCTGGTGAGTCAGGGTTGGTTCAGGCCTGAAATAGTTATCGGACCAAATTTCATGTAGGGTTAGCCAAGCTTTTGTTTTCTCGAACGCTAAAAGACCTTTGCAAAGATTTGGATTGAAAGTTGACTATTCCTTGTCCCGTGTTTTGATACAGGTTTTCCTACTATAGTGGGAGTTGATGATGATTTGATCACAGAAGAGGTTCACGATTTTGCTGAGATTACCAAAGACTTTGATTAGATGTTTTGATTTTTCTCTGACCACGGAAGACGTTAATGATTTTACTGTGACTCTGATTTGTCTGAGACTGCAAACGATGTTACAGAACATTTTCATTATTTTACAGTGCTATAGAGGTTTACAATATTATCTACAAAGGATTGTAGTGTTATTATTATTTAAAAAAATCAATACTTTCCAAAGCAACCCCATATTGATCCGAGACTAAAGGACCAAAATTGTTGACCCAACTCAAAGTAGAAATGTCTGCCCCCAGCCCCTATTTAGAGTCATGATGTATGGCCAATTAGGAGAGGTTTATAAATATAATTGGTAGTGATGGACGGGATTGAATTTTTAGTTCGGGGCGGGACAGGACGGGATTTTTATTTCCTTCTCGATTTTCGGGACAGAACAGGACGGGATTTTTTTTGTGCATAAAAAGAAAGTCTTGAGTATTGCAGTTACCAAAAAAGACATACGAAATCAATTTTTACCGTTTGTGGCACTGATCTATAAAAAAACCAAAAAGTGGGTAACAATTTACAGGTACCTATAGAAACTTGTGACTCACGGTCGAAATAACTGGCGGTCACTGTACGACCATCAAAATGACCGCGGTCACGGGGTGATCGTCGTTATGACTCGCGGTCACGGGAGGATCGTCGGTATGACTCGCGGTCACGGCACGATTGTCGGCATGACCCCACGGTCACGGCGCGATCGTCGGTAGTACTCTGCGGTCACGTCATGATCGTTGGTATGACTCCGCGGTCACGGGGTGATCGTCGGTATGACTCGCGGTCACGGCATGATCGTTGGTATGACTCGCGATCATGGCACGATCGTCAGCTTGACTCCGCGGTCACAGCGCGATCGTCAGCATGACTCCGCGGTCACGGCACGATAGTCTGTAGGATTCCACGGTCACGGGGTGATCGTCGGTATGACTCGCGGTCACGGCATGATTGTCAGGATAACTCGCGATCACGGCACGATCGTCAGCATGACTCCGCGGTCACAGCGCGATCGTCGGCATGACTCCGCGGTCACGGCGCGATCGTCGGTAGGACTCCACGGTCACGTTGTGATCGTCGGTATGACTCGCCATCACGGCATGATCGTCAGTATGACTCCGCAATCACGGCGCGATCGTCGGTATGACTCGTTGTCACGGCGCGATCGTTGTTATGACTCGTGGTCACAGCACGATCGTCGTTATGACTCCGTGGTCACGGCGCAATCGTTGAAATGACTTCGTCTCCTGCGTTCGCGGACCTATCGCTCGTAATAGCGCCGTCATCGGCACTGACTCGCGAAGCGGCAAAATCGCCGACGATCAGACCAAATCCCGTCCCGAAAAATTCCCGAATCAAATGTAATCCCGTCCCGATAATCGGGAATATTTTTTTCCCGAAAAATTCCGGAAATTTCGGGACTCGTCCATCCCTAATAATTGGTTGTAAATGAGTTCCAGCTAAAAGAAAAGTGTTTAAAGAAAACAAACAAAAAAGCTGTACACAAAATCCATTAGTCTGTAGGGGGCTGCAAAATTTACAGTTTACGTAGTAAGATTTTATCCATACATATAGACACAGGCTTAAGTCATTGGCGATCCTTATGATCTTCGTACTACCATCAAACTTGATTTCTTACAGTCTATTTGCGTTTGACTCACCATCTGCCAGCTTGCGCCCATTATAACTATAAGTAATATAATCTGGCCAACTTTTAAAAATGTTTTGTTTGTGTGTCTTTGTATAAGTGTTTGTGGACCATCTTCTCACAACCCAGGGATGAAGTGATCTTATAAATCTGATATTCTGTTTGAAAAAGTACATTTTGTTTTGAAACCTTGGTCACAGGTTTGTTAGCACCTTCCAAGGACCACCAATGTTTTAAACTATTGGTGTTTGCAGGTGGTTCACTGTTGGCTGCAGGATACTCTGACGGAGCTGTGCGTCTGTTTGACAGACGTCTGTCTGCGAATGAGGCCAAAGTGATGACTTACAGAGAACACACGCAGAATATCACCTGTGTTAACCTGCGCGGAGATGGCGGCTGTACTTTGCTCACTGGAAGGTAAAGCAAAAACTAATATGTTCGGCTCCATGTTTAGGCGTTTCAATCTGCTCACTCACGTCTATTCATAATTTAAAGGAGAGCTAAGTTGCTGATTGACGAATGTTTAAAACTAGCTTGTCCAGGGGGTAAGATATATACAAAAAACTTAACACTAAATTTTTTTTCGATGTGAAGCACTCTTCAGGGGGAGTATATAGACGACATAATAAGGATTTTTTTGAAAAAGGACAAGAGTTCAGCTAGCTTACCTTAGAAAATAAGATTCCACGGGTTAAAAGATACTCAATAAAAGAACACAAACGAAACATTGATATTTTGTCCTGACTTAGGATTTCAGAGAGGGTTAAAGAGCAATTTGTTTTCCTCTTCAACCTAATCTCTAAAGAAGTCCTACATCAAGAGAAAATATCAAATCAAATCAAATCAAAACATCTTTATTTTCCTTACATGTACATGGGTACAAAAATAATGTCAAGTATAAAGTACTAAACTAGCTTAAAGATATAAATACATTTTAAGTATGAATAGGTATTTATTCAATGAGTTCCTCCATTGTATAAGGCGCCTTTTCTATTAAATGTTTTTTTAATTTAGATTTAAATAATTTATAATTTGATTCCTCCTTTATAGAGGCAGGCAATTTCCTTAGAATTAGTGATCCAGCAAAAGTTGGTTTTTTTTTGAGAATTCCAGCTTATAGGTTGAAGTTACAATATCCTTTTTATGTCTTGTATTGTAACTATGTGGCACAACTGGCTCATATTTTAGGCCGTCTCTTTTAGCTATACATGCTATTTCAAAAGTATACGCTGCAAAAACTGTTAAAATATTTAGATTTTTAAAGTGAGATTTAACTGATTCATCTTTTTTAAGGTGTAACATAGTTCTAATGGCTTTTTCTTGCATGATTAGAATTTTATTTAAATTTTTAATCGTAGTTGCCCCATATAGTCCAATGCCATAGTTTATGTGAGAATGAATATGGGCAAAATATATTTTTTTAAGTGCATCTAAATTGCACAAATAAGACATTCTTTTCAATGCGTACACTCCAGAATTAAGCTTTTTTAATAATTTTTCAACGTGTTTATTCCAACTTAGATGTTCATCTACATAGAGACCTAAAAGTTTGGCTTCAGAAAGTTGTTCTATTGATTCTGAATCAATGATCAAATTGGGTTCAAGTTTCTGTTTACTTTGTTTAGTTGAAAAGGACATAAAGTTTGTTTTTGTTGTATTAAGATTCAAATTATTATTTTTTAGAAATTGTTGTATATTATACAATTCTACAAAGGCCGAAATTTCCAACTCCTCTTTACTTTTCCCCGCCACTGTTAAATTTGAATCATCTGCATATAAACAAATCTTACTCTTTTGAGGATTAACAATACTTTTAGGCAATTCTTTTATATAACATAAAAACAAAATTGGTCCCAAAATTGAACCCTGTGGCACCCCCCACTTAATTCTACGTTTATGAGAGTTAAATGTAGTTTAATAATTGTTTTTGTTTGATTTTATTTCAACAAATTGCATCCGACCATCCAAATAAGATTGAAACCATTTTAAGGGGACTCCCATTATTCCAAGACTTTCCAGTTTCTCTAGCAAAATTGAATGACAAACACTATCAAATGCTTTAGAGAGATCCATGTATATCCCTAGAACATTTTCACCGTTTTCAATTGATTCTACGATGGACTCAATGAAGTCAGTAGCTGCTGTTATTACTGATCTTCCATTTCTGAAACCATGTTGAGAATTATCAAATAACTTATTTGATTCAAGGTAATCTACCAATCTAATGTACATTGCTTTCTCGTATACCTTTGATACAGCAGGGAGCAATGAAACAGGTCTATAGTTAGATATTTCAGTAACTTCGTTTTTTTTATGTAAAGGAATTACCTTTGCAATTTTTAGTTGATGCGGAAATAAGCCAGACACAAAAGAGGAATTCACCAAATGTACAAGTGGCTTTACTAAAAGGTTCCCTACATATTTTAATAATTTAGTTGGTATATCATCATAACCACTAGACATTTTATTCTTAAGTGAACCAACAATTCTTTCCATTTCCTTATCATCTACAGGAGTGCACTTAAATATCCTACTTTCAAAAAGCCCTTTTGTTTTATTTACATCGCTAACTTGATTAGTTGTTCCTCAATTTTTATCTAAAGGTTGCCTAACACTAAAGCTATCTACAACATCTATAAAGTAATTATTAAACATGTTTGCAACATAAGTAGGATTTTCAATTAGTTCATCATTCAGTCGAAGACTAATATTCTCTGAGTAAGTGTTTTTTTTGTTTGAAACTTCATTATTAATTATTCTCCATGTGGTTTTGTTAATGTTACTTGAATTATGAATTTGGAAATCAAAAAACTTCTTTTTACTCCCAGTAATTTTTTTATTTAATTTTTTTTTCTTTTATTTAGTTTAGAGAAAGTACATTTATTTTGTACTTTTCTAGCTATTCTACTCATTTTTATAATTTCCTGTTTTTCTTGTTTAATTTCTGGATTTATCCAGGATTTCTTTGTGTTGTAAATTTTGACAAGTTTATTTTCAAAACATAAATTGAAATAGTAAATTAACGTTTTGTGAAAAATATTGTACTTTTCTGTTACCGGTGCTAAATAAACATCATTCCAGTTTTCCTTTTCCAGCATTTGATAAAATTGGAGCTTATTTTCTTCTGAGAATTGTCGGGATTTTTAAAAAATGTAATTGTTTTTTATACATTTATCTAAAATATTTATTTCTAAGATTTGTCCATCGTGATCTGAAAGCTCAGTTATGACTCCTGTGGTCTTTAATTCATGGGTTGGAATGTTTGTTAGAATGTTATCAATAGCCGTTACTGAGTTAGCTGTGACCCTTGTTGGAAAATTTACTAAAAATTTCAAACCGTGAGATTTTAACAAATTATCAAAATCCTTGCTTTGTTTGCTGTTTACTAAAACATTTATATTAAAATCTCCTACTATTACCACCTTTTTGTTTTTTGATAACACATAGTCACATAGAATACCTAATCGACTTAAAAATTCATTAACACTACTTGCAGGTGATCTATATATACCAACCAAAAGAATTTCATCCCCTACAAAAAAATATTTTGAACAACAGAACTCAAACACTTTTTCTTCCCTTAACACTTCAATATTAGCATAGTTCACCTGCTTCCACTTTAAACCAAGCTTAGATAATATCAAAACACCTCCACTTTTAAATTTTTCCCGAGTGTAATCTGAATTTATCATAAAACCGTTTAAATTAAATCTGCTCAGCTCATCAGATTTCATGTTATGCTCTGATAAGACTAAAATGTCAGGTTTAATCTCATCTAGAACTATCTCTAACCCCTCTACTCTTGATACCAAATTCTGAATGTTTTGGTGAAAAATTGTAATTTTTTTATTTTTTACCATGACCGAATTATGCTTATTGTTCCCACCTAAAAGAACATCTCTACGCCTTAAGTTCCCCGAGAAGCCCCCCCCAAACCTAAGTTTAAAGCCAAAGCAGGTGTTCTCTGCTCCTTAAGACTACTTGTACACTGGCTTTCTATAAAATTTACAATTTGATTATTTTGCTTATCCCCCCCCCTCACTCACAACCCCGTTACTCTGCTTTTCACCCCCCTCACTCACAACCCCGTTACTCTGATTTTCACCCCCCTCACTCACAACCCCGTTACTCTGCTTTTCACCCCCCTCACTCACACCGATTTCTTTTCCACTTCCATGAACACCAATGCTAAGGAGCTCTGTGTTGTCAGGCAGAAGTAGAGGCCGAGACATAGGAGTCACCGCATTCACTGAACTTGTTTGACTGGCAGGCAGGATCTGCGATGTGGTTTGCAAGTGTTGGTGGGCAATCAGATGGCGCAGACATTTATTAAAATGATGATGTGGTATACCGTTCCAAAGTAATCTTTTCGCCTTCTGCTTGTAGCTTATTATTTCAATTATTGCTCCTGTTTTTTCCTGGAATTTGATTGGGTTATTTATAAAGTGGCTGGGAGCAATATAGTCTCGTACACAGCCCATAGCTGAACACACAAGTCTTTTAAAACCTTTCAGCTTAAAATCCTGGGATAACTCGGTAAAGGCTATGTCATAGTCCAGTGTTGTAGGCTTTGTATAATATTCTGGTTTTGTTATGAGGCTATAAATACTTGCACCCCTAGTACTCTTTTGGTAGGCTAGATGGCTGTTTATGCAGTTTTTGCGGTTTGGTCTCCCAAACTGTTCTCGAAAAACCACCGCCACCCCAGCTGTCATGTTTCGTGGGCTTTCAAGATCCGCTGATATTGAGTGTGCAAACGCAACATCTTCCCTGCCTTGATACTTTTGAAATGCGTCCTTCATATTCATGTCCACTACCTTAATTGTCTCTTCTTCCACACAACTATCCGCCACTTCCATTTCAGTTGTATCCTCAACAAAGTCACAGGTCGAATTCTTATGTTTTGACCATCGAGACAAAGCATTAAAGATGAGACTGGCTAGTTTGCTTTTACCCAGGTCGTTTAAATGGAGACCATGCTGTGTGTAATGACTTCTTCTTAAACTATTTAAATTAATCAGATGTACATTGCTTATTCTGCGACTTAATTCAGTTATGTAATTATTAACCACTTGCAGCTCTTCTTTGACAACCTTATACAATAATTCATCATGTCTTTGTGGTATGGTGCAAAGAAAAACAGGCCTTTTTTTACTGAGTAAAGCAATTTTTCTCTCCAAGTTCAGATAAATATCTCTAAAATTATTTCTCAGACAGTCATTAGTTCCACCTAATATAACTACTGGGCTAGAGTCATCAATTATTTCAGTTGAGTCCACAACCTGTGTGAGTGTCGTATTTGCTCTCACATATCCAAAGACCTTCAACTTATTTCTACTGAGCTCAGCCAGCTTGGTTGATACGGTTTTTCCTTGGCTATCAGAACAGAATAAAACCTCCATCTCCGAAACCCAACTACTTTTCTTTGTACTGTAAAAACTCTTCATTTTCCTTGTCCTATTACTTTTCTCGTGTATGTTAGATTGTTTGCTGTTATGCTCCGATGCTCCCGAGGCTTCCGAGATGCTCTCTTTTTGACTTTCCTGAATGGCTTCTAATGGCAAAAACTTGTTTGCTGTTGAAATATCTACTCGTTTCCTAGTTTTTAGCTGAGATGCAGTAGTCTTCAAGCTTTCATTGTTCTGTTTGTGAGAAACAATTTGCCATCCATTTTCCTTAAAGTGAGAGTCAAGTACAGAGGAGTTGTCATTTTTGCATGTTTCTGCATTCTCTGGTGTTCTATTCTTCTTAACTGAATTAGTGTCCATAGAACAATGTACATCTCGTTGACTGTTATTATCTGAGACTTGAACAGCAGCTGATTTAAGGGTAGAGTTGTGTTTCTGTAAAAGCAATTGCTTCAAAAGGTTTGTGCTCAAGTAAATATAGTTACTGTTGTAGATTAGGTAGGCTATAGTTGCACGTTTACAAATAATATCATGATCATCAATTGTGTACTGCTGGAAATTAATTTCTATACTATGGATCTGTTGCGTAAGTATTGATTTTATGATCCAATCAACAAAAAACAACATAAATATCCCACAGTCAACCGAGTTATTTCCTTGCTGAGGGCATTTTACAATGTTTAATGCAGGTTCATTACATGTGACACCTTCTTGGGACTGGATGTATTTAGAAATTCTTGATACAATTGGCCTGGCCGAATTCAGATTGTAATCACTGATAGAGTCAAAATAGTACCACGAGTTCTTAGGTTTTGAAAATACCCCCGCCGCAGCAAACCTGCAGACTAAGCGAATTTCCATTTGACTGATTGTATTTACACTGAAATGTCTAAAAAATATAACATTTATTCTTGATTTAAATAGAATTAGTTTAACAAGTACTTAGGTTTGCTGCATCAGGGAGGGTAAAACTGTTTTTTTTTTTTGTAAAATGTGAATAGTTAGTAAGAAATAAAAACATTTTCCAAATTTGATCAAAATATGTTCACAAACAAGCAAAATACAACAGTTTACTTATTCTCCATAAGAATAACATGGGAATTTTAAATTTACAATTTTTTTGAATTTTCTCCGTAACCATTAGGCGCATAATAACGCTTCAATATACTAAATTATTTGTTTTTTTAAGCTCTACAAAATGGTTTGGAAAGAAATTGCTAAATTTTATGTTTTTTGGGTCAAAAATGGGAAAAACCTATTTTTACCCCATAAAACCCCCCGTAAACCCCCGTTCCCATGGTCCGATCATGCTGGATCGCGAACTCGTTCGAATAAACGTAGGTTTACACGTTTGTACCAAATTTCATCTAAATCGGATCATTTTTGCTCGAGTTATCGTGCTGACGGACACATATATATATATATATATATATAAATATATAAATATATATATATATATATATATATGAATTTGAACGGATGGTGTTTTTGGCCTCTAGGGACCTCAAAACGAAAAAAAAATCGGTCCTGCGTCCAGGTATTACCATGAGTACTACGGTAATAGCTTATTCCCTATATGGGAAATTCGCTAAAAATAGCAAACTCCAATGAGATCCATTACTGTTATTTGCTAACGCATCATTGACTGGAATTATTAAAAAAGATTTTTTATGCAGTTCTAGAGGCTGGACAACATGTTCAAAATCATCCAGACATTTAATAGCTTGGCTGATAACTGGATTTAATAAATATGTATCACTGCTACTTATACCCCCAATGATCTCGAAATATCTTTGTATAGTCATAGTGTCATCTGTTAACCACTCTTTTTTCATCAGATCAAGACTCAATGATTCATTTTTGTTAGGTTGATTCTCATTTGTACTACATACTATTTTTTTATCAGTAATAATTGATTCTGGGATACTAACTATACTGCTACTCATGGACTCGGTAATTGTAGAATCTGTTAAACTCCCTCCATGAATCAAAGACTCAGATGAGTCAGATGTAAGACTTGTGTTGTTTTCATTACAATCAAGGCTTGTCTTAGAAATTTCATTTACAACCAATGAGTTAATATCTCGAAATTGTTCTTCATTGATGCTATTCAATGAATAATCTTTTATAGAAAAATTGAAATCCTCAATTTTCAAAGACAATTTATTATCCAAAATTAGTGATGTGGGCCGGGTAAATACCCAGTGGGTAGGTAAATATAAATTGGGTATTTACCCGGGTATTTACCCCAGGCCCGGGTAAATACCCAAAAACTGGGTACTTATAATTTGTATTAAAGTTAGAAAAGATTGAGATGTTTTTTTGCAATTATTACCCTGTAAGGATAGTAAAATGATAATAAAATGTGTTAAACAACATTTCATATGGACACTACTAGCATTTTACTTATGGGTATTATCGCCATAAATACCCAGGTCTCAGCATAAAGCATAATCGGCATAAATACCCTGGTCGCATGGTTGCACTGGCCCTGACTACTTATGATTTTTTAATTTCTATGATAGAGAGATGAATTTATTTTATTGAAAGCGAAGAAAAATAATTTGTAAAGTAATAATTATTATTTAGAAAGACAGGAAAATTTAACCTAGTAGTGGCCTATGTGTTAACAACTTTTAAGAAGAAAATAATTAAAAATCAATCAGTAGTATGGCAGGATTTAATCATATTTTTGTTCCAGATCTTTTGTTAGTATCAATGGTATCAAAATAAAAAAACTAATTTCATAAACTTGTGATACAAAACATTTAAATCTGTAGCACAATAAATCTTTCAGAATTATATTAAGTTAGGCCAAAAAACAGGAGATACATTTTTTTAGTAGGTTTATCCAAATATATTATTGTTTCCAACCAAGTGGTAACACAGAAAAGTTTAATTATAATTACTTTTAGTATTCTGCCTATGTCAATCAGGCCTTAGGAATTTGGAGTATTCTAAAATGTTATAGGCCTACGCAATAATGTATTGTTAATAAAACTATTCATGGCAAGTTCAACTGTTTTTATTGCATCATAAATAGGTACCCAACAATTCCTGGATATGTATAAATTAAAATAATTTTGTTTAAATGTTATTTAATTGGTTATAAATTTATAAAATGATAACAATTGAAATAGTCACAGCCTTTTTTAATATACTATCTTTTAGCAAGTTAAAAAAATGTTACTCGATTTAAGACACAAAACTAAATGCTTATTTAGAAACTTTAAATGTAATATTTTAAAAAAAGTGATGAATCATTAAATAAAAGGTACTAGCAAAGCTTAAAGTTACTGTAAAAGGTGTTATAGACAATCCTAATTTATCATGTAATAATAACAATAACATATTTAGGGGTAAATATAAATGAATTTCAATCGATTTCATAAATACCCAAAATACCCGGGTATTTATGGATTTTGGGTATTTACCCGGGTAAATACCCAGGGTATTTACCCCGAGTTTTAAATACCCGGGTATTTTACATCACTATCCAAAATATATTTTGTTAATTCCTTCTTTGACCTAAAAAGTTTTCCTCTTGGCGATCGAATATATACATCTATTTTGCCTTTACTTAAACCCTTTTTCCTCATCACTTCTTCTCGCTGCCACCCTTTTGGCATTTTACTATGGTCATCCTCCAAAACCATTTTTATTTATGCTGGCATAAATTATCAGTTTCTATGCATAAGTGATGAAATTAAATAATAAATAATCATTGGCAAAAAATTGTTTTCCCACAAATACAAAACAGCTTACTATATAATTTCAATGGAGCTTTAACAAAAATATTGTCTATAGTCTTTGTTAAGCTATTATTTTTATATTGTCTAGACTATTAAAAAAAAAAATTTTAACATTTATTTTATTAATTTGTATTGCTATAATTATTAAAATTTATAACAATACGGTAATAGCTTAAATTTCCTATATGGGAAATTCACTAAAACAGCAGATAATAAAGTAAATGAATGAAATTGTTAAAATTGTTCAGCAGATTAGGAAAATATTATTCACTCAATGAGCTAAGATTAAAGGTAGTTTCCTGAGAATAAACAATGCAGCTGATAAGAGCCTTCAGCCTTGCCGATTCTGCTGAGACATGAAACCAACCCAAGCAGGTTTTCTTAGTTCAACAGGTTTCACTGAGTGCTTTGAGTTTCGTAGTAGTTATTTCTTCTGTAACAAAATAATAGTTCATAAATTAAGCTCACTGTTCTTGAAGAAAATAATTTTACACTGAAATTAGTGTTATGAAAAAAGTGCTTTGGCTAATAAGTGAATAAATATAGGTACCAATTTACAAGTTTTATCTGTTTGATATTGTCACTGTGAACTGGGGTTATAGGCCTAGCAAGTGAGTTCGGAAAAATAGTTTTAAGTATTTTAGTATTTCCTGGGATTTTCTTGTAGAGTTTACTACTTACACACGTCCTTATACGGTTTAACTTCAGGTATGTAACACTTTTAAAATTAAAAAATTACTCATTAATGAAAAAGATTGAATTTAATGCACTGAGTCTATTGCTATTGCTGACAACTAAAATAGTCAAATCAATATCAGTCTTTTGTGTTATTTTATTGAATATCTTTTAGCCTCTGGACTCTTAATTTTCTCAGATAAGCTTGGTGAAACTCTATTCTCCTGTAAAAAATCCTTACTAGTTACTTGCTAATTTGTTTCTTTGAAATGATAACATAAAACTTTATCCATACGCCCATTGACTCAAAACGCCAACTTTATCCGATAAAAAGCTAAATAAGGGAAGTTACTAGTTACTCATGTTTTGTGACTAAAGCGAGTCTGTGACTGAAAAGATCAGTAATCACTAAATATGTACGTTATTATTTTTGTTGTATTTATAACTAGAAATAACAAATTATTTTTTCAGTGGTGGGGGAGACTTCAGAGTGATAGACACTCGGAAGCATTCAACAGTGGTCACCAACCAGCTGGTCCAGGGGATGACCGCTATGGCACCACACAGGATGGCGGACATATTCGCATGGTGAGAGGTGGACCCAGCTTTGCTTGGTGAAGGTCATTTACCTAAATAGTAGATAGGCAACTCAGAAAGTAGCTTGCCTCCTTTTCCTGGTTGGATGATGAACATCTACAATAATATGATCTAGTTGAATAAAGTAAAGTCTTCAGCCAATAAAAAAAATGTATGTTCCCATCGATAGTTGTAAGTTTAAGCTAAAGATGGGCGTTATTTGACGCTATATAAATAATACTATTACTAATGTATCACCTATTACCCTGGTGATAGATTACTGAAAATACCCTATTTTTTAGTAACGTTGTCTGAACTGTTTAAACAAACAAATGAAATAACTATCTCGCTGATCGCGTCTCCCTAACAGTACCTTGTTGATAAGATTATTTTTGTCATGTCGTCTGAGCTGTTAGAACAAACAAGAAAAATAACAATGATCGTCTACCTAGAAACAGAAAGCGTCATGAAATTATATATTCCTGTAAGAACGAGCAAGTGAAATATTGCTGATCTTGATTTCCTATTAGAGGTGATCCAAAAGTAACAGGTGAAAAAATATTGGTATTATTTCACCTATTACAAATAAACTAAGGATCTTTCCTGATTATAATTGCAAGGAAAGGCTCTAGGTCAGGATTTTGAATTGCAGAATAAGGAGGATAGCAGCTAGCTTACATTTTTACCATTTTATTGGTAAGCTAGCTGCTATCCTCCCTACTCTACAATTTATAATTGCAAAGTAATAGTATTTCCTGTCTCTAACACAGTATACGTTTGGTTGTATGTTGCTCTTTGGGAGGTTTAAGAGTCAAACTGCTACAAAAATGTAATAACACTTTCAGTAATAGTAAAAAATCACTTTACCTAAATGATGTAGATTAATGATTCTTCCTCATTTAGTGTTAATTTTACGGTGTAAACTTTTTCTAATGTAAAACCATACTTAGAATTGAATATCTTTGGGCCCTTCAGTTGGTCTTCTACCTTGGGGAAAACTTAATCTCTTCTTTCCTGAAAGTGTGTCTTGTCCAACAATCTGTCAATCCAATCTATAACAAAATCACCATCACATTGATGTGTACTAACACACATTTTTGTACAGCAGTGGCGCAGTACACCAGTACATCGGTGTGTACAGCATGTCCGGTGTGGCACTCAACACCATCAAGTACCACGAGTGGTTCATGGCATCTCACTTTGTCCCCGTCACGTCTCTGGCGTTCCATCCGCTGAGGAGTCACATGGCCGCCGGCTCACTGGACACTAGCATCACCGTGTACTCGGTAAGTCCAAGACAACCTATCCTTGTGTACATTACAATTTGCTGCCACTTTAACAACAACAATGTACGTAACAAAAGTTGGAGAAATTCAAATTTTAGACTGTAGCGCAGTCTGTGAGTGGCTCATTTAAAGATTGGTTTTGCTTTTCACTTTATATATGTATGTCCCATTTTAAATATGATAAGGAATTTTTATTTTGGCTGTTCGATTTTGACATAGGATCAATATATAGAGCTTTTAAATGGTATGGATTGGCGGGCCCTAAGCAATTATTTAAAAGATGCTTGATCAAAAAGATAGAAATTAATTCATGAATAAAAAAAATCATATTTCAAAAAAAATTATTATTTATTTAATTGTTTAGTAAAGTTATTGTTTAAAAAAGTGTTTAATTGTTATATTCTTTTTCATAAAATATCTCTAGATTTTATGGAAAAAATTATTGTTTTGTTTGAAAAAAGTAAAGTTTATTTTATAATTGTTATTAAAATATATGTTTTTTTTAATATCTCCATTGTAGGAAAATGTATATGTTTTGGTTTTTTTATTTGTTTTACCACTATAGTTTACTTTAATTAATTTAACTATTACAGTTTGGAATTTATTTTAAGTGCTGGCCAGGTATGTGAAATAAACCTCTAAATATGGTGTGTATTCTAATCTTATCTTAGTTTAAACAATAATAATTACGAGGACAGAGGTTTTAAAGTACAAGGTTTAATGGTACATAAATGGTTAAAATAAGGTTAAAAAAATTGTTCAGGGGTGGGGATTTGTGCTGGCTGAATCAAAAGATTTCGTTGATGCCTAATTTAAATTTTCAATAAGTATGGTAAGTTATAAATTTAATAATCTTTTCAAAACAATAAATGGGAAGGATTTTGATTTTGGTGAATGGAGGTAAGTTGGGTCCAAATGGATGCTTGAGGAGTCTTAGTCTGAGTTAATAAATTAATAAATGGAATGTTCTCACCAATCTTCTATAATAATAATTTTCTTCTTAGTAATGTAGGCTTAAATTCTTCTTTCTTCAGTAAATTTGGAAATTTTGACAATACTTTCTTTTATAATTTCACAATTATTTTCACAATTAAGTTAATAGATTCTGTGTGTTCTTCTTGGATACTTAAACTGCACTGTTACTATTCATTGTTGTAAATCATTTCAAGTTATGGGGCTCACATAAATAAAAACATGGTTGAAATTTACTTGTAATCTTGACCCCAGATGCACTGTATTTTAAGTGGAGGAATTGTTGTTTTGAATAATAATAATTTTGGATAAACCAATGAATAAATATTGATTATAAATTATATATATGTTGAGACAATATGGTTTTAATAATTACCAATGAACATGAAAAATTATTGAAAATATAACAAGATTGAATTTGGAATTTAAATAAGGACTATATTTATAAACATTGAATTTTGAGTCATTACATATGCCAGGCGGAACAGACGGTCTTAATGATCATTGTTGTATGTAGTGCAAAGGTAGTGCTAAGAATGTCAATTTTACCCACTATTTTTTAAAATAAAAGCACTTTTTCATTGATTCAATATTGGTCTCGTAAATATTTTATTTGATCTTATAGTATATTACGTTACTAGTCCTGAAAATAGGTGTTTACTGGACGAGTGTGGTCGTTCCCGTGCGAGACAAAGTCGAGTGCAGGATTCTAAGCTAACTTAACAATAAAAAAATCCTTATAGATACCCACCGACTAAATGAGAAACGATCAATACTCAAAAACCTCTAAGAGAGGTTGTTATGATTTTGTTTATAAATACTCATTGCCAAATATATTCAGCTGGTTGGTGTCCGGTAAAAACTCATTACAGCTGTTTTCTGGACTAAATCCTTGCTTGGGAAGTTTGTTAAAACATTGTAATGTGGTGTAAAAGATTGTACATATTTTCTCTATTTACGTGTGTCATTGTGTTCAAATACTTGTGTTATTCATTATGATTCCTGTAAAATACAACACTCAGGCGCGTTTTTTAATACAACATAAATATGTTAACTACTATTGTTTAAGACTTTTGTATTTTAATACCCTTTCTTGTTCAATATTATTTTATTTTGCTGATTAGCCGCGATTTTACCTGGAAAGCCTTTATCCTGATTAATCTTAAGTTGGGTGTATAACTAATTAGTAATTAATCAATGTATAATTTAGTGTAAAAGAGTAGTGTCCAAAGAAAAGCAATCAAATTTTTGTTTGCCAGGTGGAACCCAAGAGATGACACTCGCTTTCGCTCATTCACTAGCAGAGTTTCGTTTGCTCACGTCTGCTAGTGTCCGCTTGACACATGACTCCAGTTCGCTTGCGTTTTGCGAAGGATGACTAACTGAGGCAACTTTACACAGACTGCGATATTACAAAGATGTCTCTACTTTTCCTGATCCTTAGGTAATTTCCAACACCGAACTTATTTTAACAGCCTTTGTTAATTTATTTTAAAATGCATTGACAATGTTTTAAAGCTAAAAACCTATAGCTTAAGTATCAAATTATGATTGTTGTCAAGTATTGTATCATTAAGGCATTAAAAATAACAGAAATAGGTGAGCAAAATTGTAAATTTCGTATTAAGGTTGAAATGTGAAATCTTTGTGTTTAGTTGCCATATGCTGCTAACATCAGGGCGGTCAGTTTAGTAATTCAAGAGAGGTTATTTCATTGTTGCCCAAGCAAAGGTTTTGGGTTTGTTTCTAACTTATTTTAGCTTTCTACTACCTGTCTTTCCATCTTAACGTAGTCAAGATGTAAAATTTTATATAAATTTAAGTTCAGTAGCAAGTTTTGCCAAGACTGTCTTGTTTTCTGTTGAAATGTTAAATGTATTTTTTGACGACTATTGTTGACAATTTTACATTTTATATGCCTCATTGGTAACTATTTTAATAACAGTTTATTTATTACATTTAGTAGTATTTAAGGAAAGTGAGCTTTTATTAAAGTTAGTTAAGATTTTTTAACAACAGTTTATTTAGGATGTAAGAAAGTGAACTTTTATTTGTTAGTTGAGAACTATAATTTTTTTATGTAGAATCAGGAATATAGTTTTAAAATCAATATAATTGATCATAATCATTTAGGTAAGAGAGAACCAATTTCAACATTTTTATAGTAGTTTTTTAAAAGACCGTCCTGATGAATCCATAGGTTTTTTTATGTCTTCTAGATTGTTTGTATCTTAACGTTACTGATACATAGTCTGTGTATCCATTGTGCTTGGTGAGCGAGTGAGCGTGTGTAACTTATTGATAATCAAGATTATTTTGTTAACTATCAAATATAAGTAATTAATTAAGAGTTAGTTATATCTAGAAGTAATTAGTAAAGGCGTAGATACATTGTTTAGTCATTAGTTTGGATAAGAAAAGTGGATTATTTAAGTTTCATACATACCTTATAGAAAATAGTGATGTGGAATATAATATTTACTGAAACATAACATCCTAAAATTGTAGCAAAAAAAACTAGTTGTTTACCTGTCTTTTCATTAGGGAAATATTGCAGCTCATGTTAATGTTAACAAAACATTAGTTTATTCCAATATGAAAAAGAAAATTGATCTTAAGATGTTATCCTAAAGGTAAATAATCTGAACTGCGGAAATCACTGTTCAATAATAGGGTGTAAATAGGGGAATATGATGTGCGGAAAAGCGTGTGATTGGTGAGATGCCTTGTGTTGCTTTTTTATTGACTAGGACAGCTGTTTCATAAGCCAGAACTAGAGGTGTGCTTGTGGCTAGATTTCTAAGCTGAGCCGAGTCTAGCTAACAAGCTCAAAAGCCGAGTCAGAAAATTGAGTTTGTGCCAATCTTTTATGATTGCAATATCATCGCGATTGCAGAAAGTGTCTACCAAGACAACACGATTTAAAAATTCACTCTTTTGCCAAGATCGCGGATGGTAACGATAAAATTTCCATTTTAATGGGAGGCAATGATTATGTCTTCACAACCGCAGGAGACGCTCAAGATTTTGATATGAAATGAAAAATCATTTATTTACACAGGCAAAGATAGGGCCACATGGCCCTTTTTTTGACCTTGTCATTGTAAAGCAAATCTGTTCCATTTATAGTTAGTGGATTCGTCGTCAGAAAGTCAATAGAGTTCCGTAAACGTGGATGACAAATTATTTTTTTGAAGATTTTGCCGTGATCGGGGAAGGCAATAATGTTTCTGTGATTTTCTGCGATCACGGGAGACTCTGATGATGTCCTCACGATCACGGGAAATTATCACGTTATTACTGCGATAACATTTTATGGCATTATTTTATTTATTATATGGTCTTATAGTATTGCATCAAATTCATAATATAAAACAGCTCGGCTCCAAAGAGGCCTGATGCTCAAGCTTTTTTTCCAAAAGCTCGACTTGAGCTCAGCTTGATAAAAAATCTGAGGCTTGTACACCTCTAGCACTATTATCAAAGTCCAATGATCAAAGACAATTCATTACTAGTTACTAAACTAACAAATAACAAATAGCAACTCAGCAAGAACAACACAAAGCCAGTTGATTGATATACACTCTTGAAATGCAAATTATATACAATTTTCAGTTGTACACATTTGTCATCTTATTGAGATAACAAAGTACGAGGGTAGTTTTTAAAGTAAGAACTGTTTGTGTGTATAGCTTATTAGCTAGTTCTTGTTAATTCCTGAGATGCCAGGTCGCTCACTCTCATCATTTGTGAACAGAACGTGTAGACACACAACAAAGTATACATGTCAGCCACAGAATTGCAAAATTTACTGGTATCGTTTAGCACTAATGATGCCAGTAAAGGCAAGGAGCCTCATTGCGGCAAACACGAACCTAGAAGCATTACACACAAACAGCCCTTACTTAAAAAACAACCTTTGTAAACCAATACCATTACCAAATCCTTGATTGTAGCCCATCTTTGAATAACCGCGTCAATTACATTTTTACATACATATATTTACACTATTTACATTGAAGTATACATCGGAATACACAGTTTATTAAACACAATATGGATTTATTAAATGGATATGAGCCCCTGGAAATGAGTCTGCTAAGAGTCTGATTAAGAACATTTCAGCTAAGCCTGAAGGGCATGGTTCTCCTGTATGGATTTTATTAAATGATTTTCATTAAATTACTATACTATTTTGGAACCACATTTGTTTGGCTGACATAGTAATGACTAATTACTTGTTAGATTAATAGAGCTAACCTGGTTTGATTCCAAGTCCAGTCATTTCTGAACCCAGACATCATTTTGTCAGTAGGCTATTTACAAACTATGCTATTTAACAGTAGATGGATGTTATGTGATAGCAAACAGTAGTTTTGGACCTTCCATTATCAAAATTGTATTAATGTAATGGCGATAAAGACACACACAAAAATATTTGGTATTCTGGTATTTTTATTTGCAAATTTTTCCTGAATAAAATAAATAGAACTCAATACAAGATTTTTTGAAATAGTTAAACTCTGATTAAATATAAAACATCGCATATTTCCAAGACTGGTAGCATTTATCATAGTTTTAAATCTGAATATTTCAAACTCAAATATTTTTTATTTTAGTCAAGAAAAATAATTGATGCTGCAATGAATCCAATAACGAATGACAGGAGAATCTACAAACAACTTCTAAATATGTTTTTAGATATTTCCATTTCCATACAGCTAGATAGAAAGTCAGTCCTGATAAAATATCTGTTGAAAGGTGAGTTTAACTGGCTATACACAGAGTAGACTTCCCACGTAATGTTAAAATTTAAAGCCAAGAAAATAGATTATGTTAAGAACCATCTCACCAGAGGTATTGGGTTAAATATTACAGTAATTAAAATCAATGCAGTATCATGGTTTAACTTACTACAGGTACAGGATAAATAAGTGTTCCCAAGTTTTGAGCCTTTATTTAACATTGCGGAAAAAAAGGTAAAGAATACTTTTAATTACTTCTTACAAATGCAATGACATAAAAATATCTATCTAAAGCTAAAGAAACAAATACAATCTATGTACATATAGACAATTTACAAAATGTACATAGAGCACTGAATATCGCACTAGTTTAGTTGTAAGGTACTGTATTTTTAAAAGAGGGAATACTGTATATAAAACATGTATAGATTTATTTCGCTTACAATGCTACTTTTTAAGATCTCTAATGTGTCATAGGCAGGATTTTCTGCAGTGATTAATTTGTTGAAAGTCTAAATAAAAAGCAATCATTGAATGTTACCCAAATACATTTTTGTTTGTTTAACTAGTCTTATTATTCACCCAACTGCTTTAGTTTGAGGTAAAAGCTGAAATTATACCACAGTTAAAAAAAATATAATCTATACTTATTTAATTTAATTTAAATCACACAAAATTGATCAGTAAGAAAAAAACATAGTATTGGTATTAGGCAGTGCTTGATTTGTAAAAAATGGGGTGCCACAACTGTAAGCTATTTAATGTGATTAGTACCTATTTATACCAATATTTTTATCTTTCCATAAGAGAGGTACCAGAACACATTTCCGTCGCGTTCCCCTACAAATCGAGCACTGGTATTATTAGGAAAGTAAAAAATATTCTTGGTAAGATCATTTTTCTTTTTATTACAGTTCTTAACACAATTTAATGTTTAGCTATCCTAAATCAAGAAAGATTTTAAAGAAACATTACTCGTTTTTTCAAAAGGATCTTACTTTAGTAAATGTATTTTGTGCATCATAGTGAACTTATTTTTTTCTCTCCTAGTAGTAGAGAACCTTTAAAATGAAACACCTACGTAACAATCAATTATTAGTTTAAAGTTTTAAAACTAAAACTGAAAGGATTTTTTTCAGAATTCTTTTTAATGGATGTTAACTCATTATAATGCAAAGCCTTGAAGGCCTATATTTCTCTATCAGCTCATCATCTTGCATTGTGATCTTGCTTTTGGATGTAAAGTAGTCATTCTTTTCTTATCGGTACTTCCATCATCATCCGTCAAGCTTGCCAATGTTCCAACTTTGCACTCAGATAATTTGCAGGTTACCCAAAACGTAACCTTAAGTAGCTTCAAGATTACATTAATTCATCACTACTGAGGGATGATGGGACATTACAGTCTTCAATACCTTCAAATGGATCAGATGGTTCAAAAAACTCTTCTTCAGGCTCCGATTGTTGTTTGGGTTCCAGTTTATTTCCTCTATATTTCAAACCCAGGTAGAAGAATTCACTGGAAGGTTGTCGCGTTGCTTTGGGATGTACCACTATGCCTTTTTCATACATGAATCGCAAGTCTTTTATGATCTGTTTGCACTCGACACCATCGAAGGCTTTCATGACTAAGGAGGACCCCAACTTACAAACTCTTGGGACAAATCTGGAAGAGGTGCAATGAAGAATTAATACATAAGCAACGAGGAAAGGAATGGAAATTTTAAGAATTTTGAAGTTAAGGGATTTTTAAATTCTTTGTGAATATATTCCATTCGTCGGTCAAATGGGTCAGTTATGCTACATTTGTAGAGATTATATATCAACCCAAAATAACATTGACCCAAAAGATTTTGACTTTTGAAAATAAAATAAAATGTCAATACTCACTTTAGAGTGGAGTAGCAGAGTTCAGCCACTTGCATATGATCTTTGTCTCTGATTCCTGTTGTATTTGGCGCCATATCACTAGTCAGTACGTCAGCCTAAAGAAAAGAACATGTTTCAATGTAACTATGATCAGTCACGATTTAACTCAGAATTTCAATACGATAGAATCCATCCATACCTCACCTGCCACTGCAGATATTTCTCTTAACCAATCAGTCACTGGAAGTAGATATAGCTGTTGAGCTGTCAAAATAAGCCATCAATCTATATTTATTTCGTACATTCTATAAAATAAATAGATAAAAACCAATTGAAATTACAAAATCTTTGAGAGAGAGAGAAATTCTTTATTTACAAATTATTTTGCAGCATTACATGAACCAAATAAAAATATCACATGGGTCACAATGACCTGTGCGTGATAGAGTCCTTATTTGGCTGCTTATAATCAAAATAAAAGTTCTTCACACTTCACATAAAAAAAAAAATAGAACACTAACTTAGTAAAATAAGCATAACAATTAATTTACTATACAATTATGATTAAAAAAAAAAAAACTGTGAAACCTAACAACCATATGCAAATGTAACTCAATAGTAGGGGAGCTCATTGCGCATTACATCCAATACCTGTTTACCAATACACATTAATTTTTTTCCTGTGATTCCCAATTTTACTGAGGCGTGGATTCCGTCAAGTAAGAGTGCTGTAGAAAGTACAATAGATAGTCCAGTTATCAGTTGGTTAGGTCTAAACGAGATATTCTGGGCTGATAAGCGACTCTGTATTGTCGAGGCCTATCTCCATCAGCCTCGGTAACCCTCTTATATACACTCAGTGACACTCGCAGGTCCCTAATTTCTGGAGGAATATTACGCAGCAAGCAATTAGCAATGTAAAAGGAATTTGTTAAATTGATTGATTTGAGAACTCTTGGGACCCGTAATCCCATCATCACCGAGTTTCTGGTATGATAGTTATGAACTACGGGCGATGCGATAAGGTCTAAATGAATGTATGAATAAGCTAATAAATCTTTAACATATAGCTGCCTTATTGATAAAAGCTGAGATTCTTTGAACAGATGATCAGTAGAATAACGTCTCGGTTTTCTTAAAGCAGCTTTAATTATTGATTTTTGAATTACGAACAAAGGTACAATTACCGATGAATAAGCCCCTCCCCAAGCTATTAAACCATACTGCAGATGAGATTGAACGTATGCGTAATAAATTCTTTTAATTTCTTCATGTCTTAAAATTTGACCCAATTGGTGAAAAACAAAAATCATTTTTCTAAGTTTGTTTTTTAAAAAATGTATATGACTTTCCCATTTCAATTTAGAATCCATTATAATGCCCAGGTATTTATACTGCGACACAGTCTCAATAATTTGGCAGTTGCAATCGCTGCCTGCGGTGCCACATGAGTGCAAGGTTAGTCTGAGTTCGGCAGGCGGCTCGCTAGCGGGACGAAGTGCGATAGGCAAACATTTTGTTTTACCGACATTCATTGTTAAAATGTTTTCTGAGAACCATCTTTTTAAAATTTGTAATTCTGATGATGCAATATTAAAAACCTCTTACCAAGTACGTGCCCTAAAGATTACCGCTGTGTCATCTGCAAACAAGAATATTTTTCCAGAAATATCAATTTTATCTATGTTATTTATGTAAATTAAAAATAGTAAAGGCCCCATAGTAGAACCTTGAATAATTCCAAAATCTACATTCATTTGATCACTAATAACGTTATTAATTGATACTACTTGAGTCCTATTGCTTAAATAACTTTTAAACCATGTCAGGGCTAAACCCCTTACACCCAAATATTCTAATTTTTTGAACAGAATTTTCCTATCAATAGAGTCAAACGCTTTAGCAAGATCTATGAATGCAATTAGTATTTTTTAATTTCTATTCACTGACTCGATTAAAGTTTTATTGATAAGAAATAGTGCATCAGTAGTATTTTTACCTTTTCTAAACCCAAACTGTTGGTCTGATAAAATTCCATGTTCATCCAAATAATTTTGAAGTTGAATTTTGACTCATTTCTCTAACACTTTAGATAATACACTTAACAATGAGATTGGTCTATAATTATTTTTGTCATTTTTTTTGCCCGGACTTATAAAGAGGAATTACCTTAGCTATTTTAAATCTGTTTGGAAAAATGCCTGAAGTAATACTCAAGTTAATAAGATGTTTGAGTGGTAGTAAAATGTCTTGCAGATGGTTTTTTAATATTTTGGCTGGAAATTCATCGAACCCGGGAGCAGAACCGCCTCGCATTTCCCTCACACACTCAGCCAACTGACTGTCAGAGACAGGCTACAGTCGCAGTTCACGCCCCTGTCCTACACTGAACAAAGCATCGTCGACCAGTGGCGGACCCACGGGCGGTGGCAACTCGCTCGCCAACCTATTACCAACACTAGAGAAAAATTCATTAAACGAGTTAGCCACCGCCCCCAAACCCCCTCCACTCGAGTCTGACGGTTGCTGAAAAAGAGAAACAGGAAAATTGCATTTCTTTATATTTACACCATTAAATTCATTTATATGTTTCCAAAATAATCTGGGTTTGTCAACAGAGGCTGCTATTTTTTCTCTGTAAAAATGTTGTTTTGTAGTTAGTTTTGATTTTTTTTGATATCTGGTTTCTAAAAGCTTGAAATTGAAATTTTAATTGCTCATCAAAAGGTCGGGCTTTAACTAGTTTACTCATTTTATCTCGTTTTCTAATAGCAAATATTAACTCTGTGTTTATTCATGGCTTTAATTTTTTAAATCTAGAGGTGGGTTTTGTCACACGCATAGCTTTAAGTTTTAAACTAGAATCTATCTATTATTCTAGCTATCTAGAAATCTGCTATTAGTCTACAATTAACTCTGTACCAAATAAGCACAAACAGTTAATTGTCATTTACCATCAGCTGCTGATAATTTAACTAATTACTGACTACTTACTTTCCGTCCTTTCAGTGCTTGTTTTATTAATTTCTGCGAGCTAGGATCCAGAAAGTCCATTTTATCCATGATTTTTGCCCCTTTTATCGGATATGTCTTTTGCAGATCCATCCCAAGAACAAAGGATCCAAACTCTGAAAAATGACTCACAGTTTGTGTGAACAAGAAAATATCATATTATATCAGCCAAAAGTTGATTTATCAGAAATTTAGAGTAAAATTACCAAAACTAACCTCTATATATGTTAAGAAAAACAGTTTAAAGCTTTAACTGACATGCTACACCCTAGGGGTCAAGTTTAGAACTTGTTACTATCTTTCAGGTTAACACCAACATTATTATCAGAGTTCTGTTGACCACGAGGTCTGGTTAATGGTGGTGAAGGCTGCGAGGCAGAACCTGATTGAAGTTTCAAATTCACCACAGTGAGGTCGCAGAGCGGTAAGGTACAGAGGAAGGTGGGACGACAAGACACTTATAGCATTAGTATGTTGTGCTGGAAATATACTTGTGAAGATTTTCGGAAATATACTCCGAAATTTACCTAAATCGTTTTGAAAATGAAAACATTCTCTCCGCCAGCAACAAATTTTCTAAGAAAATCATATTTTATAAACGATATGTTGATGACACCCTTTTGCTTTTTAATGGAAACTCCAGACAGCTACAACTTCTCAATAATCATTTGAACAGCATTTCACATCAAATAAAATTCACACTCGAGATCGAGAATAATAATTCGATTAACTTTCTGGATCTAACTTTGACCAAAAATAATAATAGTATTGACTACAAAATCTATAGAAAGCCTACAACCACAGACCATACAATCCATGCAACCTCCAATCATCCACAATCACACAAAATGGCCGCTTACAACAGCTTCGTTAATCGACTTTTAACAATACCCATGTCTCAAAATAACTACAACAACGAATATGAAATATTAAAATGTATAGCAGTCAATAACGGATACAATAGCAGTATTATCGACAATATTATACACAAACAAAAGAACAGAAAACCACTACAGAAAACCGATCAAAACTTTATTTCTATAGAATATGGCAACTGCTTACATTATACCTTAAAAAATGAACTAAAGAAACATAACATTACATTGGCCTGCAAAACTTCAAATAAACTAGAAAGCCGCCTAAATCCACGTACTTCGAAATCTACAGTTTCCAATAGCCTAGAGGACACTGGAGTGTACAAATTAACCTGCAGCGACTGTCCAAAAATGTATATCGGACAAACAGGTCGTTCATTCAAAAAAAGGTTTAATGAACATCTACCCAAGCCTAAACTGCGAACACAACATTCTAAGTTCGCTGAACACCTGATGAATGACAACCACAACGTAAGCAGCTGTAGTGATAACCTGGGTATTTTACATAAATGCACCAAAGGCTCCTTAATGAATGTCCTTGAAAGCTACGAAATCTACAAAGCAACAAAAAGGTTTCCCCACGACATCCTGAATGAAAAGCTAAATTTTGGTCGTAACACAATATTTGATAGGATTGAGGACATTGATAACAAAGGCGCTCATAATCAGCTGTCCCACCCCCTCCAAGGTCAATGTCACCAGACCAGTGGCAGTCGGTAGTTGAGTCGTGTCTGTCGTGCGTGTAATGGCCGGCCGCGCGTCTTTCTATATTTTAATGTATTTGTGCGTGTTAAATGTTATATTTGTGTACTTTGACGACGACATTATGTTCAAGTAATTTTATGTTTGACAAGGCTTGAAAATGAAACGTCAGTTTCGAAACTAGTCGCTGCTAAAAAGACTAACCTAGGATTGACGACGTAAAGGTACGTAACCTATTTTATAAAATTAAACTATCATAACCTAACCGAACTAACCAAACTTGCTGATAAAGAAATAATATAACAAAAGTTTAGTAATCGGAAAAATAATTCTGTTTATTAAATAAAACTGGAAATTGCTCAATTAAAATTTTATAATGACTTAATAATAAAATTAAACTGTAATAACCAAACCAAACCAACCAAACTTGCTGTTAATAAAAAAATCTTGGACAAAAAGTTAACGCTACCAGCGGGATTCGAACCCGGGACCTACAGTATATCAGCCCGGCACGCTAACCAATAGACCACCGAGGCCGATGGCTGTTGAACGTTTTGTTACGGTAATGGCGTTCCCTCAGCTAATAAGAAGATCTCAGCTGTCATCGTAGCCTCTTCTATACCTCCCCTGAGTAAATACCCATTTTACCCTTATCTACAAGTGCAACATGCAAAAAATTTGTGCTGCGATAGTGATACTTTTAAAGTGCCTAATATGAGGTACATACCTTTACGTCAACAGTTTAATTGTAGTAAGTAGAACTCACAACATGTTTCACCTATTCAGGCATCGTCAGGTGATATCCTAGCCAGTGATATCCAGGTGAAACATGTTGTGAGTTCTACTTATTACAATTAAACTGTTGACGTAAAGGTATGTACCTCATATTAGTCTAATTAAACAGTTCAGGTGCTACATCATGAATTTTAATTTTAAAGTGCCTCTAAAATAAACTTTACTCGACTTACTTTCATATTTTGCTCGTGTGGCATTGACCGCAACTTGAGTCCAAGATCCCGGACAACAACCCAGGTCCACAACCGTCTGTCCGGGTTTGAACAACTTGTATTTGTCATGAATCTCGAGCAGTTTGTAGGCACTGCGGCATCTAAACATGTTAAAAGATTCCTGACTGCACTGTGTTAGTTACCGTACTCTATATGATTGGCATTTAGGTTTCTCATCCTTCTGTCCGTAGAATAAAGCCTTTAAGTGTATTTAATATCCAATTACACTGAATAAAATGTTATTGTCAAATGAAATTTGGATACATAGGAAGACTAAGAAAAATTAGAATAAAGTTGGTTTTACTGCGTCCAAATGCGCTGAGTGTGCTAATGTCAAATGAATATTCTTCACATTAACAATTTTCAAAGTGTGCTGTGCTCTTTACTAATAAGGACAAGGGGTAAATAGTTTGCACAGGTATAGTTTTGTTCAGTTTCACATGTATAGGGCATAGAGTGACTCTTTTCGACCTGAGCTCAGGTCAGAAAATGAGCAAGGGTTGAAAAAGACACTTTTGCCTGTGTGATGAACTACATTTTCGCTGTATTGCAACATTATTTAACAAACTATTTTGGAAACGAAAATACTTTTCATGTAAAGTAAACCTCTCAAAACAACTTGCAACTTGTTTTCAATTTTTATAATACAAATAAGCAGACTGTGTAGTTAGTGGTTCAACCATTTAATCTATTACGTTTGTGTTAAGTGTACATTACCCTATCCACATGTCGAACTATTGACAAAAATGCAACAATAAGCTATAACTGTAATCAATCTATTATTATGTTATTAAAGTGATCCAATCAATTTTTATGTAAATGGTTAAGGCCCTTTACCGAATAAAAATATAGGCATTTGGGACATCAAAATGAAGCTTAGAGTGTAGATTTGCCAAAAGTTATTGGTATGAACAAATTTCTTACACACTCAGCCCCACGGGACGATTTCCAAAGGGCTACGCCTGACATACTTCCAAAGTTTAAACGATTTAATTTTTTTAACCAAACAGCTGGTCAATGCAATAAACCTGGTGTTTGTTTATTTACTCGAAAAAGATGTTTGTGATGCTTTATGTAGATTGAGGAAATAATGTGGATTATTTAGTAAGAGGGTTATATTTGGTAAAGGAAAGGTAGTGCTCGTTTTATAGAGTATTGCTCACATAGTTTTATTTGTAATTTATACAGTAAGCTACATGTAAAGAAGCTTGACTAAAATTGAAGAATTATGGTAAAACATCTCATTCATGAAGCATCAATATGAAGCAAATGATGCTATTGCTACACTAAGGTATGTTGTCCTATTATTCTGAATCGATTAACATCAAAAGTATGGATTTGAAAGTAAGTATCATTTTATCTTATTTTCAAATTAAATCATAGACTTGCTGTATTTTTAAAACACACATCAGCACCACTTATAAACTTTAATGGCTGCCTAGGTCACATTTTCTTTCCCTTGCAAAGAATGGGTATAGCAGCTCGTAAATACATATTTAGATACATACAATTTCTTACAATGAATGTTTACAACAGAATTTACGACTGACTTTTACTCCCTAGAGATAGAGCTAGTTACTTTAGACCTGTGTAGCTGTTTAAATAAAAATGACAATGCTAATTACACCATTGAACCTACAGACATAACAAACCTCAGCATTGAACTACAGTGTGAGCTAATATCTGTGAAAATAAAACAGGGCCGGAAAAACTTACACGTTGTTGGCATCTACAGATCCCAAGGAGACCTAGACTCATCCTTAGATATCATCTCTGAAACCCTAGAAAAAACACATACATGGAACAATCGAGTTATCCTCATAGGAGATATCAATATAGACAGCTTGGAGCCAAACATTGAAATGACAAAATTAAACGAAGTTCTTCTTAGCCACAATATGACACGGCTCCCCCTGTCTCCTACAAGAACAACACCTACAGTACTACAATAAGCTCAATTGACTGTGTCTGCACAAACCTAGGCAATGATGATATTCAGGTAGACGTTCTCAATGCCGGACTCTCAGACCACACAGCACAGCTCTGCAAATTAAATACCTCTGCCCCAGAAGCTCAGAATCAAACCTTCTATTCTAGGAAATTCAACCAAAGGAATTAATGTCATAAACTTAAAATCTATTCTTGCCCAAGAAACCTGGGAAAGTGTCTTCAATGAACATCTACCAGAGGACGCCTATCGTAACTTCAGCAAGATTATTGCTGGAGCTATTAACCAAACTTGCCCAATGCTAAAGTCAAGGAAAAAAGCCAGAAAACATCGTCCTATAGCAAACCATGAAACTGAGGTACTAAAGCAAGAATTTCTTCAGGCTCTGAAAAAATACCTACTGAGTGGAACAGAAGAGGACAAAATTACAATGTCAAACAAGAAAAAAGATTACGACCTGAAACTGAAGACACTAAGACGACAGGCCACGGCAGTCCAAATACAGCAAGCTGATGATAAAACCAAAGCACTCTGGAGGGTCATCAAAAGAGAAAGAAAGCCGGCTCGAGACACATCAGAAAAATCAATCACACTAGAAATAAATGGCCTCAAAACCAACAATCCTCAAAATGTTGCTAATCATCTTAATGAGTTCTTCGTTAACATAGCTAATGACACCCTTGCACAAAATCCTCAAAACCAAATCATCCAGCTGAAATCACAGAGGTATACTGTCAGACACCTGAGATGTCTCTTCAGTTAACAAACAAGCAGGAACTGACTCAAGTGATCAACGCCCTAAAAAATAAAACATCTGCTGGAGTAGATGATATATCCGCCAGTCTACTGAAAAAATGTAAAGAAGAACTTGCTGGACCGTTAACACACATCATCAACCATTCTTTCCAAGAAGGAATTTTCCCAAGTGGGCTTAAAATTGCAAAGGTATACCCCAAATTCAAGAAAGGAAACCATCTGGACTCAAAGAACTACCTCCCAATTTCATTAATTTCCACATTCTCCAAAGTATTCAAAAAAATAGTACTAAACAGACTTCTTCAACACCTATCATCCAATGAACTTCTCACACCACATCAGCATGGATTTGTACAGGGAAAATCAACCACATCTGCCATAATAGATAACTGAATATGTAATAGATAATCTAGAAGAAGGAAACATACCAACCGCAATTTTACTTGATTTCAGCAAAGCATTTGGCTGCTTAGATCATACACAACTGTGTAACAAGTTGATAAAAATTGGGATTGGTGGGAAAACTGCAGAATGGTTCAAGAGCTATTTAACTGGAAGAAGTCAGATGGTTGAACTTAAATACACTGAAAAGGGATCTACACAAACAGTAAGATCAAAGTTACTACCTGTAAAAGGGGTGTTCCACAGGGTTCTGTGCTTGGCCCCATTCTTTTCATCTTGTTTGCAAATTATCTCCCTCACTATTTGGAAGACTACAGCAAGACTCTTATGTATGCGGATGATACTGTACTCCTCCTTGGGGAAAAAAGCCTGAAGCCCTTGAAATCAGCTTGTTTGTTTCCATAAACATGGCAATACAATATTGCCAAAACAACAGCCTAGTAGTTAATTAAGAAAAAACACAACAACTGGTCTTTGGCAGGCGAAATGGTGGGGTATGCAGGATCCCAGACATCGAAGGCCCAGAAGAAGCAGAGTATTTAGGTTTAATAATAGACCAGAAACTGACATGGACCGCCCATATTGACAGCCTGTGTAGTAAGCTGAGTAGCAGTGTCCACGTGATAAGAAGGATAAAAACCATAAGTGACACCAACATAGCCAAGATTGTCTACCACTTACTGTTTGAATCACATCTTCTATATGGCCTTGAAGTATGGGGAAACTCATCAGCAACCAACCTCCAACGTGTGCTTATCCACCAGAAAAAAGCAGTAAAGAATATTAGCAGACATTGACAAGAGAGAAAGTCACAGACCGAAATTCCGTGAACTAAAAATCCTAACGATTACAAGCCTGTACATCCTAGCTGTGGCTACTCACGCAAGCAGGCTACAGCTCCAACGAGGTATGGATAGGCACAGCCATAACACCCGACAGGCTATGAATTACACACTTCCAGTCCATCATCTAACTCTTTTTGAAGAAAAGCCTTCCTACATGGGAGTGAAGTTCCTGAACCTGCTACCAGAGACAATAATTAGCCCCAGCAAAGCAGCACCAGACAACGCTTATTGGCTTGGCTTGTGGAGAGACCATTCTACACAGTTGAGGAGTTCATGAACTGGAGAACATCACCGATGTTCCAGTGAAAACTAAACAACCCTCATAGTAATAACCATGACTACCGACAGACTCAAAGCCCAACAAATTTATGCTGTTTTATATTTAAATCTCTGTAATGTTTGACGCCTATTCTGCACTCTATGTTCAAGAAATTAAGTATTCTGATTCTGACCCACAACATATGTATGTAACGGCTGTTTTTGCTGCAGTATGATGAAAAATAGTTTTAAAGCAGTTTGAATAATAATAAATAAAATAGTAAGCATGGAAGCACCCTTTAGGAGACTTAAAAAGACAGAAACAGAAAATAGTCTTTAGCTGATTGAAAGAGTGATATATCAATGGGAGTCAGTTTAATCAATGGTTTTACCTTCTAAAAATAAATATGTTAAATACCTGTAATCATCATACTGAGCTTTCAAACAATATTCATCTCTAAACTGCCTTTGAAGCCATTTTTTGGAACTTCCCGATAAACTTTTTTTAAATTTTGGAAATTTGATTATCCTCTTAGTTATTTGTCCCATTTTTATCACTATAAAACAATATATTTGTGTACTACACTTTTGCTACGGCAATGGTTCAAAACTAAATAATTATCTACATCAATTTTAAGGTTAAACTTTGTTTGTTGAGCAATGACTTATCTGCATTGCATATAAATCACATCTCCATTATTACGTCTGTTTTCAAATTAATGATTTATTTCTTTAATAATGAGATAAGAAAATACAAGTTTCTTTTAGATTATTAGTTAAAGTGACTAATATTTTACTACAGAAATAATACTATGGGGAACACGGTTAATGCTTCTTCAAGAGTCTGATGCTGTTCAAAAATTAATGTTTTAATTCATTCCTGTTTGTATTTGTTGAAGATTAGGTTGTTATCAGCAAAGCACTGAAGGCATTATATCATCAAAGTTATAAATGGTTATTTTAATACTACTAAAACAAAAAGTGGCGACCATACAAATGTAGGTACCAAATATACATAAAATACTTAAAAAGCCAAGTATGAATGGAGTTGAGTGGCGCGATCTTGAAGTCTTATTGTTTGTGACTAAGGCCAACATGTTCCTTAGACTCAGCTGTTAATTAATAGCCCATACAGCCAATGGCAACTAAGGGACCTACAGTTTATAGTGGAACCCGATTGCCTTGTAATTAACAAATCAGTCTAACTATTAGGATAGTTCTGCGGATCGTCGTAGTACTCATAAGTAAGGACGTTAATTCACACCAGGGAGTTTTGCATCCACAGTGTATGCCTATAAATATCCAAAATTTCTGACATCCTAGTAGCTGGATTACAAGAATAAATGTTTATGTGTTTGTTGTAAGTCTTATCGGTTTAAATCTAGAATAATTTCACTAGCTTTCAGCTTTCTGGTTCTAGGTAACATGCAAAATTATTCAATTAGAATAGTTGATTGGTGAGAGTTCAAGTAAAGACATTTCACACCAGCATTTAGTGTGTGTAGAGGAACAGGCAAGATTTGTAATAAGGGTTTATAAATACAAAATGTATTCATTCCTTACCTGTAAGTTTCTTTTCTCAACTCTTCAGTGTCAACTTCTGCCTCCTTTATTGCTTCCAAATATTCTCCGTCCTCTTCTTTTTCAGTTTCTTCCACTTGACCCTCTTCTTCCTCGTCAGTATCTCGGTACTGTGCTAGTTTTTCCTCCACTTTTGCTTTTCTCCAAAACTCTGCATCTTGATGTTTTGCCCATTTCTGCAATGCGATTTTCTTGTATGGAATCCTTTTTACAAAGTATCCAAATCGGCCCATTTTTGTTAATGATGATACAACTGTAAATCCCTTCCAAACCAAAGTTGTTTTCCTATTTAATTTCAAATTAGTAGAAATAAGCTCATTAAACAGCAGATAAGATAGATAAAGATAAATGTTCTTATAATTTATTGGATATGACTGCAAAAATCTTAAGTTTCCCGATGGCTGTACCTTCTAAAGGATGTTTTCTTCTAACAACTAAAATTTAAAATGTTCACAGTACATTTTGAACTCTTCAATATTTTAATGTCAGTGTGTTGTACTATGCATACCTAATTGGGGGGTTCCTCTATTTCACGCAATATTTGTTTATGTTCATGTCAATCCTGTCTTGTTTATGTGTTTTGAAGACTTTGCCGACCTCTCAGGAGTGACATCCACACGTCTTAGGCTTGACAATGACACCACAGGAGTGACATCCACACGTCTTAGGCTTGACAATGACACCACAGGAGTGACATCCACACGTCTTAGGCTTGACAATGACACCACAGGAGTGACATCCACACGTCTTAGGCTTGACAATGACAACACAGGAGTGTCAAAACCGGTAGCGATTCAGACGACCAAGGATTACTTTGGCAACATCTAACCTCTAGAATAGGAATAGTTCACACAACATCTCTACCTTTAATTCAAAATCAATAGTATGTTTTACTAACTACAACAGTACCGTAAGCGTAACTGGCATTCTCAGTGTGGGCTCAAGTTTCATGTGTGAGACAAAGCCAAACATATGAACACCAAATTTTATTTTTGCGTTACAGCAAGTGCCAGAAATTCACTTTTTTTACAAGTTTACATTACAATGCACAAATACTCACATTCAAAATAACAGGCCTCAGTAAAATCAAAACTATTATTTCATATTTAACATTATTTTAATACAAAAATAAAAGATCAAAGTCGACAGAAAATCTAAATTATAAGTTCAATTTCAAGGCTATGTTCATTATGCAGTAAACACACACTACAAGCATAGATAAAACAAGGGAGTATGTTTTATCTATGCTACAAGCTAAAACACAGAAAACTAGCTTATGCCTATTACTGTTTTTATTTGCATTGTTAAACTATAAACACAGCTGATATAGTTATTTGTGTAGAGAGCAATGTTTGCGGAATGATATTGAGTGCAGCAAAGGCCTTTTGCACTCGTGTTACACATTATATTTTTCCTACAGTTACTATAAAGCATAAAAATAATTAGTCTTTCAAACACTATACAACACGTTTTAGGTTCAGCTGGCAACACAAATAGGTGCCCTAGAGAAAGTAGTACCCGGTCCGTATCACTCCGCTATTTTTCCTAGGCAAGAAATGTGCTCCGCGACTTGAGAATATAGTTCCCTATGATTTGTAAATTGAAGTGGTTTCCGCGCCTAAAAAAAATGCTTTAAAGGTATTTTCTTGTTTATTAAGATCGTAGGAATGTTTTAAAAACGTTTAAAAAGTCCAGAAAGTTCAGAAATACCGAAACTATAAACACAAAATGACAGGTTAAATCGTAGTTATAATAGTCAATCAGCTGCTCATAGTATTATTATCTTTAAGTGTTGCCAACCTATTTCCAAGCGTACACGGATTACGTGCATAATCGGAACCACGCTGTTTTGTGTTGTTTCGTTGGAATCCTGATGTACGCCAAAGTATAAACCGTAGGACAAAGTATAAATATGCAGCAATCAGCAGCTTTCTGTACTATAAACAGTACAAGGAAGCCAACTTTGTCGGGTGACAGTATGAAAAATAAATTGTAAACAAACACGTAGCGGGCAAATACAAGTGAAAGTAAATTTAGAACAAAGGAAAATCAGCTGATCGTTTTTGCCTTGCTCTGATTTAGGGATACATTAATGAAGCAGTTGGCTGCATTGTGCTTTTTATTTTGGTTGAAACACTGAAATACAGAGATCAGGACTAGTGGTGATGTTAACAAAACTTTCAAATATCTAAAATGAAACTGAAATCGTGCTATTCACCTGGTTAATGATATGAAAACTTAAACAATTTGCAGAACCTCACATGATTTTCTTATTGCCAAGAATTTGTTTAGTGCTTTAAATTTGTTTCAGGATCCAAAAATGTGGATACGAGTTTATCACCCCAGAACATTTTAAAAGTATGTTATGTCCAATAATGCTCAATCGCACATGGGTCATATATATTTTATTTGTGGCTATTTTTCTTAGTTACTTGGACCAAATAAAACAATCTATTTGTAACTAACTAGGTACTGTACCGAGGTAAAATAATATCAACAGTTTTGAAATGAGAAAAAAAAATTTATATTTATAAATTATAATCATTGGTAGAGACACAACAAGAAATATAGTAGAGTATTTTACCTTGTAGGTTGGTAGACCTAGTTGATAGCCAGTTTAAAGAAGAGTGACCCATTTGTATACCTCTACCATGATTGCCAATTAGGTAGTATACTTTAATTTGTAATAAACCCTATTAAGCTGGTATAGTAGATGTGAGATAAATTAATAAGACAAAATAGGCCAAAAAAGTATATTGTCCAATCCTTTACATCAATCAATACAGAACTCTCTTCCATAAATAAAATATAATTAACTTTTTATTACTACTACAATTTCTAATAAAATAATAAATTGTTTTGATCCTACTTTAATGAAATACTGGGTTAATTGGACTCTTGCATAACTAGGACGTACTAGAAGTGGTTGATTTCTGTCTGAAAACACCAAATAAATGCAATACAGTAGACTCCCTCTTATCCGGACATCGGTTTAACCCGACCACACTCGGCAGAAATGACATCTCTTTAACCGGTCAATTTTTATTAGCACATTGGTTTAACCGGACTAGATCGGCAGGGAGTGGGCGGTACTGAAACGACTGTTCTCGTGGGAAAGATTTGAGACCAGTGATCACGTGTCCATATACAATGCTCTCCTAAATTTAAGTCGAATATCACAACACAGTAAACTGTCCAATTTAACGAGTGTTTTGGGACGTCGGTTTAACTGGAAAACCTGTTATCTGGACTGGCTTCGGTCCCGAGGAGTCCGGATAAGAGGGAGTTTACTGTAATAACTATTCTTGACAATTTCTAATAATTAAATGTGCATTGAAGATCCTTAAAATCATTTTTACTTTGTTTAACAAGATGAGTAGAAAACTTGCCAAGTTCAGACAAACCTGTAAGGTTTTTGTTCTTGAAAAGCACATTTCCACTAATGATTGTAAGGATCTTCAATCCACATTTAATTATTAGAAATTGTCAAGAATAGTTATTATTGCATTTGTTTGCTGTTTTCAGACAGAAATCAACCACTTATAATACATACTAGTTATGCCAGAGTCCAGTTAACTTAGTATTTCATTAAAGCAAGGTGAAACTAATTTATTATTTTATTAGAAATTGCAGTAGTAATAAAAAGTTAATTATATTTTATTTATGGAAGAGAGTTCTGTATTGATTGATTTAAAGGATTGGACAATATACTATGTTGGCCTATTTTGTCTTATTCATTTATCTCATACTAGCTGAGTACCCGTCCTTCGTACGGGGTTGGTATACATTGCTTATTGTAGTTAAATACTCGTGCTTTGCATTTGCAATGAGAGAGGACACGTTTTGAGAAAATTTGGTTTACTATAATCTACGGCATACTGTAGTATATAGAACATCTACCATAGCCATAATGTTCTACCACTTCACCTAAACAATAGAAAGAAGTAAAGTTCTCACACTCAGGTTTTTGTTGCTGCTTGGTTCAAATTAGCTGTTGTCATAAATGTATAAAGAACTAATGGTGCTGCACCCAGTAGGAAACCGTATAACCTTTTAATGCTATTGAATATCATAGAAACAAATTTTGTAGTTGAAACAGCTGGCAAAATTATTTAATTCCTTTTAAATATGAATACTCATAAGGTTAACATGGGAAACTCCAGAGCCGCTGGGGCGGAGCCTGAAAGGATTTTTGAGGTAAGAATATGTCTATATGTTAATCGGGAATGTGAGCTATCATCATACCAAATTTCAACACAATCCGACCAGTAGTTAATGTGTGATTGAACTTCAAACAAACAAACAAACAAACTTTCACATTTATAATATTAGTATGATCTACTACCAGCTTAATAGGGTTTATTCCAAATTAAAGTATACTACCTAATTGGCAATCATGGTAGGGGTATACTACAATCTCTCATCTACCCCTCGTTGCATAACTTAACAGTAAATTACACAGTGTAAAATCTAAAACCCAAAATAAGAGAGAAATATTTAGTCAACAACAATACCCTTGAGTTGAAAAAACAAAACAGAGAAAATACTTTAAATAAGTAGGAGTAATATACTTACAGTACTAAAATGTCAATAGCACTATTAATTGTCCTTAATGTTCTTTTCTGGCTCACGCTTTTTTGCTTGATAAGATCATGGTCAGGACTTTTTCACAAGAAAACATAATATCTTTAGTAAACGAGGAATAAAAAGAAATTGCCTTATAGTATTTCAATAGGTAGTTAAATGAAACTTGTTTAAATAATTTAGCTTCTTTATTTAAAAAACATCTCTATTTTAAGGTGGACAAAACTTTGCTTGGTTGTAAGCAAATATAAAACATACTTATGTGTCTATTCATAGCATGGGGTGTTAACATAACATGGTAAAAAAATAAAGTTACACACACGGTTAGTTAGCTTTTACAGGGCAAATTTTCGCTTTAAAAATATTTTTTTACATAAAACTATATAACTATATTGGAAAAATGTAAATAACAAAGACAACTTTGTCATTGTTTACAATTTAGATTTGAATTTAAAGTTTACAATCAAACTTAAATGCAAAGAAAAACATACAATTAAGAAACAATTGCTCAAATTTGCCTGTTTTTGCCATTTACTGTATTAGCAATCATGAATATAATGGTTAAAATTAGGCACTTTTACCACCACCAAAATAAAACTGTCTTGATATAAAATCTCCTTAACTTATCCTTAGCGGCGGCGAATATACAAATATTTTATCAACGCTACATAACATATAAATTAATTTAATTAAATAAGCTTAAGCTAGCATACAAAATACTGGTGAAGACGAAATTGAGATGAGAATCACAGGGTTACAAATTAAATATTGGAAAATCAACAGAATTTCTAAAAACTAAATTTTACTAATTAAAATTAATTTTATAAAATTACCTAGCAAAACACTTTAACTAGTTCGATAGAAAAATGTTAATAACATTTCTAAAATTTTATGTTTTACCATAGTGGACTATTTTAACTAAATTAGATAATTTGAAAAGTTTAAATTACCGAAAACAAATTGTTGAACTAGTATTTAAAAGATAGTAGTTCAACTAAATAACTGTTATAATGGATTCCATTGTTTAAAATTTTAATAAATGCATAAAATGAGATTAATTTTAAATTGCATTTTCATTTAAAATATAGTGCATATATTTTTTATGACTCAAAATCTACTGTCGTACAAAATCTAAACTACTCTGGGACAATATTGTCTGACTGACAAACTCTCTACGGCAAGATCAATATGAGCTTGTTTTTTTATTATTACACTATTTGGAAACAGTTTACAAAAATACTCTTTGAAAAATAACCATTGATCACAAATGATTAGCTACAACTGATATGTAAGTACAAAATGTTTAATTATTCCTTGTTGTTAGCAAAAGTTATTAATTTCATTGTTGTTAATAAACCACTTCAGTTTAAAAACAGTTGAAACAACGGGAAAATTCATGTATGAATTGTCACTCGATATCCTAATGTTTATATAAAACCAACTGATATAAAAAAGTGACAAACTTCAACAAATAAGTTTTTAAGTTTGGAGCAAGCATGAAAAGTTTTAAACCTCTTTTCTGGCAAACAACAAACAGTTTTTAACCCTATAAAAGTTTAACACAAACACATATAAAACATCAATTTTAAAATACAACAAGGCGTAACAGACTCTACTTACAATTTATTAAGTAACAAAACCGAATGAAAAACGTATAAAATAAAAACCTGAGATACCAAATAGGAACCAAACAATTTCTGTTCAATGTCTTACGCAAATACAATAAAACAATGTTAAATTCTTTTATAGGCTACTTATTTAGATTTGAAATTTATTAGGATTTAAACAATTCAATTCCATAAAGTGCTGATAAACAGGAACAGTTTATGCAAGGTAACAAAACTGAATAATATACAAGGGCTGTTCAGAAAGTAAGGAGTATTTCTCCCTGACGCCGGTGGGAGTGCTCTGATCGCACACTTTTTGGTACAGACCTGTTCCCCTCCTCAATGACGGTCCAGCCAAGCCATCATAGCAGAACTCTTGTTATGCTGCCCATTGTTGTAATATTAAAGTTTAAGAAGTGTACAGCAATTGAAGATCCCGCCAGTTGTGAGGTACCGTCTGTGATACGGTTTTTGTTGGACATCATTTTAAAAATAAAACCTATAGAAATTTGTTGCTAAGGGTGAGAATTGTACAGAAACAACATAATAAATTTAAGTTCTGTCTAGAAATGGTGCATTTAGTTTCAAAATGGCCGAACAAAAGTTGACGTCCAAAACCCCAATCTTGCACATCAAACTGCACACAACTTCAATGATTCTAAAATGATATATTCCTTCATCCACACACCAGACAGTCTAGACCTGGCTGCGATTGATTTTCTCTTGTTTTGTGCACCGAAAAGAAGACTTGGTTAGGAAAAAAGTGCCTAGATTACGGAGAACCTCCAATTGTGTGTCACCGGGTAGCTGAGCTTGCAGGCGGCGGAATTCTACGACAAAGGAACTTCAAAGCTCGTCCACCGCTTTGCTAAATGCCTTAATGAGTTAAACAGCTATGTAGAAAAGAAGTATTTTAGTCGCTCTTTGTAATGTATTTAGTAAAAACTGTTTCTTGTGGAATATCAAATTTTTTGGATATTAAAGGCGGAAAGTACGTCATCGCCACTTGAGAACCATAGCTGAGTGCCTTTAAGGATGTTTGTGCTCGCAACACATACAGGATTTTTCCTATCGCCAAATTAACTTATCATAACAATACATAATTAACTTTTTACTTGTACACAGTAGAAGCCTGGTTAACCGAAATCGGATTAACTGAAACCTGGGTTAACCGAAACGGTTCTATAAATTAATACAGGGCTAAAATAAAAGTACAATACTAATACTTGTAAACAGCGAGGCGTAGCGCTGAGCCCCTCTCTCTAGAAAGGGGCTTTCCTAACACATTGTAAAATTTTTGTAGCTGAAATAAAACAATGTATTGTATAGAATTGTTTTAAATTAATTTATCCTTTAGTCCGTGGTAATACATAGGCTATTTTTAGCAGATGATGGGTTAACTGAAAAATTGGTCATCCAAAACGGCTGTCCCACCTTTATTTCAGTTAACCGGGGTTCTACTGTATATAAAAGTCATTTAGGTTATGTTATTAGCTTACCGGATGTTATTGATTTGTAGAAACGCCAACAGTGGAATCAGCTAATTGAAACGCGAGAGAGAATGAATAAAGCAGAAATGAGATAGTGTTTCCATGTTTGGCAAAGTGATCATTTCCATGCAGCGATAGGAAAACTTTTTATTTTATTTTAAAACATTCCTTACTTCCTGAAAAGCTCTTGTAGATTATAGAGGCTGGGAAATATCAGTTGGGTTGATACCACGGCTTCTGTAAAACAATTATGAGGAAGGTCGTGGGTCTTGGTAAAGCTGTTAGAAGGTGCAGTTGTTCTAAGATTATCAGTACGAATCAAATAAGTTTCTCGTTCAACAGACACTCCCCAGATATTTACTATCAAAATTAGAAAAAATTAAGTTAATTCTTCAGACAGTTGATTTTACAACTGTTAAGGAACAAAGCCTATCACCAAAAGCTATAACATACAATATCGCATTCAATTCAAACTGCCTTGTACAAAATTTCATCTTATCAATTTACACGAAAAATAATCTTCCAGGAAGACAAAACAGAGAAAACATCTGGGTTGAATGAAACCCAAATCAAAGTCACAAGCAACAAAACTTTCCCATGAACGGAAACAATGTAAAAAGTCTTCTGTGATAGTAAAACAATTGAGTTAAATAAATATAAATTTGTCAGAATATCATGAGTAGGTTGCAAGCACACCGGCGAGTCCATGCGAGATGGAACGTGTTGAGACATGCGGAATGTTTAGGCTGTCATCTCCAGCTGTTCTAAATCCTCCATCTTGGCCAGCGGCGCTTTACGCATCTGTGAACGGAATTGACATTTCAGTTGGACTTTGTCCTACAGGAAAAAGTATTTGATAAAGATACATCCTATATTTTATTGTTTGATGGAAGAGCAATTGGCTAAGGAATACACTAAGAAAAAATGGTCATACAACTCAAAAGTGAGAATTGAAATGTGGCATTGTTTGAAAGGTTTAAATACGTTTGACAGAGTAAAATACTAGTTGAATTACAAGAGTGATTTAGATGGTTTAAAGATTACCAGTTTTTTCCTCCTAAAAGGGTCAAATATCTAATTACTTGTGTTGTGAACTTTGCGAGTCTAATAAACTGCCTGGCATTTTTAGTTAAGCGAATTAGTTGTATATCCATTCCTACATTGCATTTAATTAAAACTTTATAGTCAAGTGTTCTTTAAGGACTACATTTTTTAAGATTTTTCAATTTACTTTATTATACATGTTTGTAAATAAAGTTATTAGTTTCAAACCTGCAATTCTGAAACAGGGGCCTATACTTTTGTATATTGACATTTTAAAAAGCTTAACTTAAATTTAGTTCCCTTTTGTAGTAGGGGTGTGCGAATAGTGATTTTTAGGCTCAAATCGAATCAAATAAATTTTTACTATCCCGAATATCAATTATTTACAAGCGAATATTCTATTGAAGAGTTTTTAAGTTCAATTGAGTTCGAGATCAACTTAAGCAGCATGTTATGTATCCATAATAAAATGTAAACCTACAAAAACTATAATTTATGTAATAAAAAATAAAAAGATATATGATTGTGTTTACTTATTTATATCACTGGTTCCTTTACCCCCACCATTAGTAATGTATCATTCATGACCAGGCCTTGGTATAGCGAGATTTTCAGTTGGTGATTTTTATATTTTCTGTTAAAATTCTGTATTATGAAAAATTGAATAATATTCTACAGTTATTTATGTTTAATAAGTATTTTCTCAGTTAGTATCTTAGAACGAGGACATAAAATAACAGACAACTCTGTCATATTTATGTTTGAACAAATTAAAATATTCAAACAAAACAGGAATTTGGTAACGAGATCTTTAGGTGTACATTGCATAAGTTAATAATTACGATAAATGACAAAAACAAATAATAAAAATCCTATTTGGCCTATATTGGATCATCGATGGATTCCTCATCCATTATGGTTGTTCACTTGAAACATAAAACAAAATCACAAACTAACACAAGTAGGGATGAGTCCAATGTTTCCACACACTACACTGGTTGTTGCTACCACTTCAATCAGCCGACCATGAAGAAACTGTTGTATCGTACTGTATAACAGTTTCCCCTGCCGCCAATCAAGAAATAAAGAAATCCCAACCTCTATAAAATGAAAATACATTTTTTTGTCTATTTAGTTTATTTATTTAAACCTTACTTCCTCAACCATATCCTCATTTTATGTTAGGTAATAGGCACCTACTTGCGCAATAGCCGAAACAAAGTCGTCCATGTCCAAAAATTTGCATTAAGTGTATGTTATTTTAGATAAGTGAAGGAAAAGAAAAATTATCACAGATGTTGAAATATATTTGGAGTAAGCTCAAGACGAAAGTACTGATGCTGTGACAAAAAAATTGTATCGCTAGGCCTACTTTTTACCATGACAAAAATATATGCTACGCCTTTTTTTGAAGTAACATTTCATTTAAAGCAAACAAAATAAGGTTTACACGGTTGTTTATTTTCCAAGTAAGCTGGTTGAACCATAGACTAAACACAAGTAGCCTTCTCATCCCATTGTAAATTATGAAGCTCGTTTTTCATGTCTAGTTCATGGTTGTTGTAGGTAACTTACACTTGTTAATTTTAAATTCGTTGATCGTTAGTATACTCTGTTATTACAATTTTAAATAACATATTAAATACTAAACATCAATTCAATCCACAATCGAGCGTCGATTAGGAATCGTATTATCTAAATCGTCGTGCCATCTGTCTTGTGTCTACACAGTACACACACACATGAACGCACTACGCAGACAAATACTATTGCGCCCATTGCAGTAGTAAAGGTTAAGTCAATACCGGCAATACGAGCTCGCACTACAACCGAAGGTAGCACTGAATGCAAGAATTGAATTGAGAGATGTTGGCTGACATATGTACTAGGGGAATAGTACTTTGGAACTAGGAGATTGTTATTGCCAACAGCCAATGAGCTGATTGATTCTTCTAGTGGTACCAATAACAACATTTTACAGCGTCTCGATTTTCTAACAGAGTTGCCGTGCCAGTGATACCTCCATTTCGATGTTTTCAGTCTACGACTATTTTGTTTTGTAAAAAGCAAGAGCGGTTCCCTGATTCCGTTTGATTATCAGACTTGGATACGATAACAACTGAGAGCGCACGATAATTTTGGGCCAGCATGAACTAGGTAGAAAAAAAAATTAGAACTCCGGTTGTTTAGTTTAGAATTTCAACGAACAACAAAACATTGACCATGGCAACTTCCTTAAAAATATGAGTTTTTATATGAAATCGGTATTGAGAATCGTGAGTAATATTTCAGAACTGGTATCGAATCGAGAAATTCCGTTATCGGCCTATCCCTATTAAAATACAATTAATATTCAACTAGTAGGTAATTCAAGTAGTCTAGTCAGCAGGTAGTTTTTGATGGAAAAAGGTCGGAAGTTAATGAAACTTGGGGATGTTGTTTAGGGATGATAAATCAGCATTTTCCCAAGTTTTGGACCTCGAGGACCCTGTGGAAAAAAGAGAGTGGGGGGAAAACTGTAAGCATACCTTACACTTTTGTAGAGCATTAAATTTTCTACAATTCTATAGTTCAAACATGTTTGTACGATAATTTGTTACCGAGCAATAGTACTTTTATTTTAATGTATTTTTTTTATCTACCAAAATATCCTTCATACTGTAGTTGTTTTTCTAAACCTCGTTTAGCAAATCAATAAAAGGTTACAGTACCTGCAGACTGCCTTGTGGGTTTTCTTAATCCAGTAGGATTACGCACGTTTCGGCAAATATATTGCCATCATCAGATCCAGAACTTGAAACTTAAAATCTTGATTCTTCGACACATATGGTCACGTCAGAGTTTAAATTCGAACACATACACAAAACGAACATTGAACACATGTAGGCCTACTATTAAAACACCGAACAGGATATAATATGATGCAAGCATCTCTCTTGCCGAGTCTAACAAAACCCACAAGCTGCTTTCTGCAGGTACTGTAACCTTTTATTTATTTCACCAAAATATGCAAAAAAGCAGAATTCCAAATTATTTTTTCTATTACCCACAAATTATCAAAAAAATTTGTAGTAATTATGTTTCATAGTTATAAGAACCATCTCTGGATACCCCCATATCCCACCTACCCCTCACTCACCTGACCAAGGTGGCTTCCTACACCCCGGTTTCACACTACCACAATATTACATTATCTTCTACGTATTATAGAATATTTCACAATTGTGATTGATTAGTATGTTTGTATATTTACTATCACCATAACATCCATCAGTCTGCAAGGTTGTTAGATGTTTCTTTCCTGTCTTTACTAATTTTTGCCTTATATACTCTACCGTGTTGCCGCACTGCCGCGCTGTGTAGCTTACAGTTATATATTAGTTTTAGTCTCGTTTGGTTGGTAGCCTACCAGAAATGCTCTTCACGCGGGCTACGAAGAGCTATGGAGGACTCACTAGTGGACGCGGTGTAAGCGATTCTGTGCTTTCTATATGTACATTTGGCACGCTATGTCTTCAAAGCATTTGTGACCAAGTAGAATTTTTTGCTGGTGTACGCTCAGAGACATCTGAGCAACATTTAGACATGAGACCAACCCGTGTAGTGAGAGACAACATGGACATTGATAAACTGCTTGCATGGTTCACTTAACATCCCCAATTCCTTCTCATCCAGGAGATTTATTTGAGCACAGGAATCATTGGTCATGACGAAGTTAACCGTCACATAAGTTCTTAAGTTTGAACTCGACCCCTTCCCATATCAATCTTTACCGAGGAAGGAATGCGCAAGGGAACAAAGTCTGTAATGTACACACTCATAGAGAAATTAACCCATCATTTCAGAAATTAATGTTCATTCCTATAGAGAAATTAACCCTTGTCAACAGGAAATGTAACGTAATTAATGGAGGATACCTAAAGGTATCCTCTGCAAAGAGTGGAGGTTACATAAAGTGGTGTGGAACAAAACTCCTACAACCAAGTTTGAGATGCTGTGCTCTACGTACATCAACTACGTGCAGAGACATTTTCGGGGCCAATTGATTGTTGTATTTGATGGATACCCCAATAATGCTGGCTATAAAAGCACCAAAGCCGCAGAACGATTTCTCCGTACTGCATTAACAGTCAGCAACCAAAGTCGTGTTCTCCTCGTCTAATGTGGTGACTATACCACAAGAAAGTCCTTGGCAAACAATAACAACAAGAGCGCATTTATTTCTATGTTGATGACACCAATGGTGGATGCTACATAGAAGTGAAGCAAGCATATGAGGACGGTGACGTGATGATCGTCAACACTGCCATATCCAAGGCTAGTGAATTCGACAGCATCGTAATTACTGATGAAGATTTATACACTCTTATTCTGTTGACAGCATTATGAACTAACACAAATATCGTCTATCTTCATAAAAGCGGAAGAGGCAGATATTCCAGTGTCCACTACTCTCCAAGTTGCTGCTCCTTTCCTCCACGCAGTAGGTGGTTGTGATGACACCTCAGCTTCGAAGAGTAACTTAACATTATTATAACGTTCTACTCTGAGGATGAATTCTTAAACAATAAGCTACCGGACCATGAAAAAAGAAGGAAAAAAAAATTCTTATTGTAATTGCAAATTACTATAATAGTTTATGTACATACTGTACATTTTATGTACCTGACGCATGAATGTTCTCTAGGAGTATTTCAATAGAGATTTTGTCTATTGTCTAACTAATATCAATATCAACAAGATCTGACTATGGTTGGTTTTCATGGGAGAAGAAAATTAGCTTTTGATCATTTAGGTTGGGTTTGGAAAGGGTGGCCGGTAAGATTGGGTGAGTAGGGGGAGGGTGTATCCAGAGATGGTGCTTATAACTTGGAACCATAATTACAACAAAGTTTTGTGATAATTGTTGTGTAACAGAAAAAATATGTTGGAATTCTGCTTTTTTGCGTATTAAAGTGGATAAAAATTGCAATAAACTTAAAATACTATTGCTCGGTAACACATTATCGTACAAACATGTTTGAACTGTAGAATTGTAGGAAATTTAACGCTCTACAAAAGTGTAACGTATGCTTTTTCGGTAGGAAGTCAGATAAAAAAGTTATTGAGAGAAAATAAAAAGATTGTCGAAAAGTTCGAAGTTTTACTCCCACCCTCTTTTTTCTACAGGGTCCTCGAGGTCCAAAACTTAGGAAAATGATGATTTATCATCCCTGAACAACATCCCCAAGTTTCATTAACTTCCGACCTTTTTCCATCTAACACATCTTTTTTCTACCTGCCGACTGGACTAAAGCCATGGCCTTGAGTTTTGAGACAGAGTTTGGCTTTGTTCTACAGCTATGCTGCTCTAGATTAACTCTGCTGCTTGCTGCTACACATTATTATAGAGTGGCAGTGAGTCGGCGTATTCTGTCAGCGGTTTATTTTTTGTTGGTTAATCCGAATCTTTTCTTAGGATTCGAGGTTTGGATTCGGCTCATCTGAGCTGCCGTGCCTGTGTCGTCTCAGTTGTTTGTACTCTATTCTGCCGATCTTACGTATTCTTGACAGTAAACTCGTAGTTGGACTTTATTATTTATTTAATTTACTCTTTTTTAGCTATGAAACAATATAAATAATAATGTATTAATTTGGAATAATAATTGATTATAACTTACTTTTAAATGATAGGTCGATAATTTTAATATTAGATTCAAACTTCTAACCTATTAAGAAATTTTTAATCAAATTGAATATCCCAAAATTTGATTTGAAAAAGTTAAAAGTTTAAATATTCACACACCCCTATTTTGTAGAGAAAGAGGATATGCAATTCAGGACCTTGGAAATGTAAGATGGAGTTAACTTTTTAATATCTATCTTAATTTTGCTGGAAAGGGTACCTCATTTGGAAACCTTTTGCGGCTAACGATCGGATAATCCCAAACCAGTTGTTGAAAGGTAAAGATTTACCGCAAAACACCAACAACTGACACATTTGAAATTTACAAACTCATATTACTTATTGATGCATGAATGTAATAGTCCTACATTATTATTTTATAGTTACACTTAGAATTAAGAAAATTATACATTAAACCACATATCATTAAATATTGAATGGAAATGTTAATTAAATTACTACACTGATAATAAATTAGTTACGGTATATTAATATAACGGGGTTAGGGGTAATTTGTAGGTGCAAATTGTCAATGTATTTCAAAGCGTATTAAAAAAATACGATAATAAAAATTATTTAATTTTTATTAAAAATAAAAGGGTAATATAGGACTAATGGTTCAATTGTTTTCATAAAAAAAATCTATTTCCAACTGACACATATTATGGGCTGTCATGAATGTAGGATTTTCCAAAATGTTAATATTTTAGTGCTGGAGGTTAGTAATGATACAGATAAACCTACAACATTTAAAACACATAATTAACTTCATTGCTTAAACAAACAAAATCAAATATGCACAGCCATTAATATTTATATATAACTTAAAATTTACATTAGATTAAGGTTTTGACAACTTTAGTCTTGTTCATACAAGCGTTAACAACATGATGACTGCAAAAATGGGGTTATTACTAATTATCAGTATTATTCTCTTCCTTGTTGACAAATTTCATAGCATTTAAAGCAGCTTCGTTCATCATTCAGATTTGGCACAAGCGAACAAACTAGTAAGAGCTCCAGCTTACTCTAACATCTTTAATTTCCTATTCAACTTGGCATTCGTTGTTTTTTGTTAGCTGTCATATTAAATAACTAAGCTACCCAACCGTCATGCCCTCAACCTTTCATGCACCTTTCAAGATCTAAACTGTAGTGTTAGTTTAAAAAAAATTATCTTCCGTAAAAACATAAAACTCTCCATTACTGTTAAAATTACATTATTTTGCTTAATTTGTCAAAAGGTGGTTTCTGTTTAAGTAAAAAAAGTAAAGGTGACAAGAGATTATACAAACACAAATTATCAAGTTAGTTTACTTAGTTAAATCTGATTAATCTTCCGATTTTATTACCAACAGACCCAAATTCAACTTGCTGTATGTAAAAAACAAAAACAAACCACATAATAGTCTACAACGATTCATAGACTCATACAATCCGCCTAAATCAGGGACAGAAGTTAGGTTAGGTATGGTTATTTCCCGTGCACCCAAGTCATGCGGTAATAGTGCTCAAACGAACCACCATCTCTAGAGAATACCTCTGCTAACATATGGCCTCCGTCCTGTATAGTGGGTGTAGAGGCTCGTTCCGGGGCTACAATACAACACACATGCTCAGCACCTGCCACTACGCCAACACTAAATTTCCCTTCACTAAAACTATCTATAAGTGAATTATGTCGGCTAAGAGTCTAATTCTAACCAGTTCTTCAGCTAATTTGAGAAGTTCTCTTAAGTAACTTAACAAAAACATTTGTCTCTAACCAGGAGCTAACCAGGAGACACTTTCCAAATTCTATTGCCACTTTGTCCGGAGGCCTTTTGGAACTTTGACCAATAACTATTTTTAACGGTAAAACTTAGAAAACCTAGGAATCATCATGTTAAAAATTTTCTAACTGAACCAATTGTTTATACAAAAATATATTCTAAAAAATTTTGATCTTAAAAATTTGATATTTGATTTTTAGTGGAGCTTTCCTCATTAACTTTTAGGTTACTCACTTAGATTGACTTCAATTTACCTATATTTAGTTTAGCTAACTAGAGTCTATGCCATACTAATCAAAAATATATAAACTTATGTTCTAAACAAGACTGTCCATAAAAAAATAAAAAATAAATGTAAACCTTAATTTCCATCAGCAGAATTTTTCTACAAACACATCTTCTGTATAAAAGTTGTGATAAATATACAATTTTATAAAGTGCTCTAGGCTCTAAGCTATGTGATTTTAGTAATATTTTAATACTAAATCATTGTCAGAAGAGAGCAAGTGCCGGGATCTTAAAGATTAAGACACTAAACTATATTACGATAGAATATTTAGATCAATGAACAGTATCTAATTCTTTTACGAGGATACTTCTTTAAAACAGAAAACACAAATATTTGTGTAAACTTAAGACATATATTTGATCAGCAATATTGATGTGCTCTTGCTTTGCTTCTAATGTTATTTTTGGGCGGAATACTACAAGCAACTACAAACTGTTAACCATAAAATGATAACCATTCTATCTTAGGTTGACATGTGCAGGGACTATATGGATAATAAAAATAACTACAATATCAATATACAGTACTTACAATTTTACTTATTTTTATTAGGTAACTTTTATTGGTGCAAAATAACATAAATCCAAAGATCCTACACTACAGTCTTACTTGCTTTTACTATATCACTTGCCTTAATAAGCCTCAATTTGTAATGCCTTGTTTGGTATATTATAACTTAATAATTCCAATAAATCAGACCCCCCTTACACCCTTTGATAAAAATATTTACTCTGAAAATAAATGATACTCGATAAAATGCAATGATTCCACAGTCGAGAGCTATGTTAGAAAATCACAACTGAACACAAAAAAAATAATTGTGCAGCATTGTACCTCACTTAATTTATTAATTTTTAGAAAACTGTTTGGCCAATCGTAAAAAATATAGAAATAGTATAGAATAGAAAACGTTAATTTAATAACCTTTTTGCTTCTAAAATAATTTCAAATGACCTAAATACAAAAACTTTGGCAACACTTATTGCAGTCAATTTGGAAAAACAGAAATGTGTATATAATTTGAAGTATCAATTTTTATCACCTTTTTACGATATTGTTATTGTTCAACCAAATTGAAGCTTGTTATAGCACCAATAGTTTGGCGTTACACTCTTTGCATTGCAACACCAATACACTATTTAAAAAATAAGAGAAATTGACAGTCAAGTAAATTTAACTCACTCTCGGACGTAGGGGTGATGAGCGTGGTCTCATTGGTGGTGATGACAGTGGTTTTGACCACTACAGACTCTGTGGTTGTCTCGAGTTTGGTCATCTCTGTCGTTACGATCTTGCTGCCCTCCTCCTGTGAGGTGGAACTGGAAAACGGGAAAATTAGTTTGAACAAGAGTGTTGAGTTAGTAAGTGGATTGTTATGGCGATAGCAGGCTTATATAGGATGGTAAAGATTGCATCCTGGCATAAGGAACACAAAAGCATACACGTTTACTAAAATATTTCACTGTCACCATTGAAGTTAAAATCATCTTTCTTAACTCAAATCTTCCTTAATCGGAATTGGTATCTCGATCAAATATTGGATATATTAGTCATTGTACAAAATTAACTGTAACGCTTTGAATATTTGATAAAAATGGGAAAATACCTTGAAATTTAGAATCATTAAAATGATTATTGAGGGAAATGTAAGTGTATAGATTAGTGATGGTCGGATCCGGATATCGGACTACCGGATCCGAGCTAGAACCGGCACCGGATCGGATCAAAAAAATTCTGGATCTTGGGCTGGATCCGGTTTTGATAGATCCAATTTTTTTTTATTTTCCCCGATTTTTTTTACTAACACAAAGCTGTCTATATCCATGTAAAAGACCAAATTTTTCCCGATTTTTTACTCAATGTCACAGTGCTGTATATTACGACGTCAATAACCTCTATAGTTAGGCAATGTCACAGTACTGTACATTACAACGCCAATAACCTGTATGGTTGTGCAATATCACAGTACTGTATATTACGACATCAATAATCTGTATGGCTGGGCAATGACACAGTACTGTATATTACGACGTCAATAACCTGTATGGTTAGGCAATGTCACAGTATTGTATACTACGACGTCAATAACCTGTATGGTTGGGCAATGTCACAGTACTGTATATTACGACGTCAATAACTTGTATGGTTAGGCAATGTCACAGTACTGTATATTACGACGTCAATCAAATCAAATAAAATCATCCTTTATTCATAATATACAATATATACATGAATAGTGTCAATTATTAAGAATACCAACATAAAAATAATATAATACATAAAATTACAATAACCTGTATGGTTACACACTGTCATAAGGGCTTGTTAAAAAACCGTAATTAACAGAATGCCAATTAAAATCATACTGTATAAAATTAAATTGGTTATGTTTAAAGGTTAATATATCTTATATATAGAGTAATCTCCAGTTGAGCCTACAATCCCTCATTTTTGGGGACACTAAAACTTTTCGAAATCTTAAAAAGAAACTATTAGTTGATGATATTAGTTGGGCAATGTCAATAACCTGTATAGTTGGGCAATGTCAATAACCTGTATGGTTGGGCAATGTCACAGTACTGTATATTACGACGTCAATAACCTGTATGGTTAGGCAATGTCACAGTATTGTATATTACGACGCCAATAACCTGTATGGTTCGGCAATGTCACAGTACTGTATATTACGACGCCAATAACCTCTATGGTTGTGCAATGTCACAGTATTGTATATTACGACGCCAATAACCTGTATGGTTAGGCAATGTCACAGTATTGTATATTACGACGTCAATAACCTGTATGGTTGGGCAATGTCACAGTATTGTATTCTGCGACGTCAATAACCTGTATGGTTAGGCAATGTCACAGTATTGTATATTACGACGCCAATAACCTGTATGGTTGGGCAATGTCACAGTACTGTATATTACGACGTCAATAACCTGTATGGTTAGTCAATGTTACAGCACTGTATGTTACGACGTCAATAGCCTGTATGGTTAGGCAATGTCACAGTACTGTATATTACGACTAGGGATGTGTCGAATCCGGATCTCGAATCCACCGAATCTTAAGAAAAGATCGGGATTCGAGAATATATATTTTTTAGAATAGAATTATGAGGCATATACTGTAACATTGACTAACCATAGAGGTTATTGACGTCGTAATATACAGTACTGTGACATTGTCCAACCATAGAAGTTATTGACGTCGTAATATACTAGGGATGGATGAGATTGGATTTTTAGTTCGAGACGAGACGAGACTTTATTTCTCATAAAATTTCGAGACGAGATCGAGACGGGATTTCCCTTCTCATACACAACGGGAAATGCACGTTCAAAATTTTTACCTGATTTTGTAACATTGTTAGATGACTGTTTAAATACAAAAATAATGATAATAGGCAAGAATATTTACAATCTTTTATTAAAAAACATCAGCATAACATTTTTTTAATAACCACGCCTAACTTATTAAAAATGCCTACGATTAGGAAACATAGTGATATCAGTTAGGATAGAGTTCAACTTATCCTAAAATAAAATAAATCATAAAATAAAAGCAATATTAATTTTTATAAAATAGTTACTTGTTTTGACTTTTTATAGTAATAAAACATTCCTCACACTGCTTACACTTAACAAAACTTCTCAAATGTTATTAATTACGTCTCGTGTAACGAGATTTAAAATTTCCCGAAATTTCGAGACTTGACCATCCCTATAATATACAGTACTGTGACATTACCCAACCATACAGGTTATTGACATCGTAATATACACTACTGTGACATTGCCTAACCATAGAGGTTATTGACGTCGTAATGTACAGTACTGTGACATTGCCTAACCAAACAGGTTATTGACGTTGTAATATACAGTACTGTGAGATTGCCCTACCATACAGGTTATTGGCGTCGTAATATACAGTACTGTGACATTGCCCATCCATACAGGTTATTGACATCGTAGTATACAATACTGTGACATTGCCCAACCATACAGGTTATTGACGTCGTAATATACAGTACTGTGAGATTGCCCTACCATACAGGTTATTGGCATCGTAATATACAGTACTGTGACATTGCCCATCCATACAGGTTATTGACGTCGTATCGTAATATACAGTACTGTGACATTGCCCAACTAATATCATCAACTAACAGTTTCATTTTAAGATTTGGAAAAGTTTTAGTGTCCCCAAAAAATGAGGGATTATGGGCTCAACTGGAGATTACTCTACATATAAGATGTATTAACCTTTAAACATTACCAATTTAATTTTAAACAATATGATTTAAATTGGCATTCTGTTAATTACGTTTTTTTTAACAAGGCCTTATGACAGTGGTTATCTGGATCCGGATCCGGTACCGACATTTTCTTGGATCCGCCCATCACTAGTATAGATGCAATGTACAATTACAATTTAGTAGTTTTGACTTTCAGACAAAATAAAATTACATTTTCAAACAATTTTTTCGGTGGCTATTTACAGCAATTGGTGCCTAAGGTGCTTCAAAATGAAAACACCAAGGTGACCGATTTAGTTATGACAATTAAATTTGAAACAGAACAATGAAGCTACAAAGATTGTAGTGATCCACAAAAGGTTGACAACATATGTAACCTATATTATCGTAGTCATCGCAACGATGCAGGACAGGAGGTAAAAAAAGACGACTTACTTGACCATATGGTCTTTGACAGAGTCTATGGTGATGTCCCCCACACTGCTGAGGTCCAGATGGTTAAAGGTTCCTTCAGTCTCTGGCAAACCATTCTCCTTGATCTCCACTACCTGTCCTTGTCCTGCAACCCAAGGTACATTCACATCAGTTATACCAAAACTTAGAGGTGAAGGAGTTCTTTAAATTTTCTTTCCCTTGCTCTGAACCAATTCTTCATTTTTCCACTAGGCAGTACACATGTATAGGTAGTAGGTACCATATATTTTTATAATTTAAATCAGCTGTTTACTACTTAACAATTTAAATGCAAATAGAAATAGGAATTTGTGTTGTGATCAACAGTATCATTTTACAAACTCGATAAATTATTCCTGCCCTTGGCTTTGCCTTGTGCATGAAACTCGGTCTCATGTGGCTTCCCATTGGACATGAAATTTTGAGTTTTTGTGTGAAGAAAAGCCAAGCACATGAATCCTGAGCGTGCACTGGACAATGCCACTTTCGGTACTTGAAAGTTGTAACCTTAAACATCCCAGCTTTTAAACATTTTAAATACAGCAAAAAGAATTAATAAGCTGCATACTCTGTTATGGAGCAAAGTTGTGTCTTTTCTAGAAGAAAACTACGATCATATATTTACAAAACAAAATAAAAGTGAAAACTGTCAAAAACAAACCCATGCACTACAACGACAGGCAGAAAGATAAGACTATTGACCAACCACTACCACTGACTGCATAGTACTCACTGTACTAGGCATGTTCAATACCTGAAAATTCAGGGTTACTTTAAAAATCTTTTGATGCTTTTTACAACAAAATGAATGATTTTTGAACCGGGTATTGGTTATTGTAATTGCCAAAGATGATCTTGATAGTGTCATAATTTTGTGAGAGATTGATACGTCACTCATCACTATTACTGATGCAAATAGTTCAACCTAATTTTAAATCATATCTGATCCAGTAAAAAGAAAAATTGTTAAAACTTGTATTGAAGCAGTTAATTAAGCAAAAAGTTTTTTGAAAATATATGGGGTTTATTTAATTTCCCTTTATTACATGAGTTTACTGACAACTTTAGGCTTACATTTTTACATTTCCTAAATTTTGGGGGGAAATAAATAATTTTTGCAGTGCCATTGTTAAAAACAATCTTGCCCATCCCTATATTTTACACATGCAAACTGCATTAAACTATAAAAACATATTAATAATACTGGTTCTAGCTATTGTATACTAGGTCACAGCGTCAACCGATTTAAAATACTACCTTACCTTTCCCACTCACCAAACACCAAACAAGTTTTGAACCCATCCGAGGATTTAAACACTTCCAAACGATAGACTTTCTACTTAAAATCCTTCTTTCACAACCACTGATAATTTTTATAAAATTGAATTTTAGCATTCAAAATAACAGTTGCCTACAATTAAAAAACTTTGAGAAAGTACAAAAAAATTGGATCTAGATTCGATGACATTTAAAACATAATTGACCCCTATCTTCACAGTTGACTATCCTTCCATTACAGCTATCCATGATTCTTCCTCTAACCTCTTGATTAACAGTAATAATAAGGGATTCAATGATTTGTTTTACCTCCTGCCAGTGCTAACAAAACATACATTTGGTCCTTACAAACTGTAAAAATCACAACAGTAACTACTAGTACTAATAATACTGCTGTTGCTGTTGGTACCCAAGGGTACCTCTTGGTGCCACAGCTCCTACGACCAAACCGGGTTCCATCTCCTCTTCTGCGCCGCTGTCTCCCACAATCGAGGCAAAACTGTGAACATCGACAGTGATCTTGGCGAAATCTCCAGTTTTAAAAAGCACATCTTTATAGACCCTTACAGCAATTCCCAAAATAAAACATTGGCTCAATTTGACCTAAGATTGGCGCGAAAATCATTTCCAGCCTGAACAGTTGAGTTGACCCAACCCAAAAATATCATGGACCTGCAAACCCCTACTTGTAGCAAGCGAGAATGATAGTTTAAGTGTGAAATCCAAAACAGTAAGACAATACAAATTCATAAAAATTAAACAAAATATGGTGTTCAAACAGTATCTACAAAAAACCTTCCGTCACCACTCCCAGCTGAGATTCTACTCTTCCACCGGATCTCCCACCACCTCCGCAACTCCTACGACCAAACCTGTTTCCTTCTCCTCTTTCTCCTCCTCCGCGTCGCTGTCGCTGCTAGAGCTAGAACTAGACGACGAGTCACTGCTAGACTCACTGTCACTAGACGAGTCGCCCTGGTCTAGTCGCTGGGTCGCCCTTGCGTGTGGAGGCAGCTCCAGACCGCAATGAGGCGCTGTGTGTCGCGTAGCCGACACTGAGAGTCGCTGCATCTCGCTGCTGGAGTGTAGATAGACTGCTTCCCCGTACCGGGTGAACACCAATGACGAGATGCCACTGGAAAACATGTGATGAACCGTTAAAAACAAATTCAAAGAAAGTGATCAAAGTGTTTTCATTGGATATTATTCTATACCTACATGGACGCAAGTTGTGGAGCTATGTTTTTTCAACAACAGTATTTGTAGGGATGTGATGGATAGGAGTTGACTTTGATTCACAACTTTGATTTTATAAATAATAAAATTTCTAAACCGACAATCATTCTCTGGTGACTCACTTGATATCTTCTCTGCGAATCACTGCAGCGTTGATCTGCCGCCTCAGCTCTGGCAGGCTCAGTACAATTACATCTCCGAGGTTGGTGAGACACAAGAGGCAGGTTTCCGAGTGAGTTGTCGTGGAAAACCTAACAAAAGACAATCAGGTTAACATAAATATTCAAGAGATTATTGCACACATTTTCCATAACGTTTCATAAAAAACAAGGTATTTAACAACTTTTGGGGTTTCGAATGTGATTTTGTGTTCATTTTTCGTTGGACCGTTATTTACAATCCTTTTGAACATCCGAGCCACAATAACAAGAACTGTGGTCAAACTAAATTATAATGGCAGATTTAGAAATAACAACTATCGTGTCACCATAAATATTTGCATCACCATAAGCAAAGTTTGCTACCTTTATATAAGAAAAAGGTCTTGTTAAAATGAAATTTTATAAATGTATTCTATCAATTTTGTATTTAATTTCCTAGTTTTTTCTTCATAGTCCACTACACAAGAAAACCCCTTTACAAACCTAAATTGTGAGTATATAAAAATGTCTGGTAAAAAAATTACCTTTGACCTTACCTGGCTAAAGCAGTACGTCGCACCCTGGCTCCTTCCCCTGCAGTTAACTTCAGTTTACACAATGGCTTTAGGGATGGCAATGTGAATATCTACAACAATTATAATTTAGTTAAAATGCTACACGGGACCAATCATGAAACATTCAGGTTAAAGTCATTAGTAATAATACTTACGATGCCGTATTCCAATACTAAGGAGAAGAGAAATTGGAGAGAGATTGGAACACAGATGAACACAGAATTCACAATTCACTGTAGCTGTTTCACAAGTTTGAAGCCCTGATAGCAAAATAATAACTTGGGTAACATAATGATTGCGGAAAATGATGACGATGTCTATAAGATCTTGGTAGATGTCCAGGATTTCAATGAGTTAAGGTATTCTTAGATTTTTAAGTTTAACCATAGACTAAGCAACACAAGTAGACTCCTCATCCCATTGTAAATTTTGAAACATGTTTTTTTTTGTGTATAGTTCATGTACATCCACATTGATCACTGGGGTGAACGGAATTTTGTTTCTATTATTTTATTTGTGCTTTACTATTTGGTTATATAACTAGACCAGTTATTGTTTATGATTATATTGTTTTATTTGGTTAAATGAGGTTTTAAATGACTTAAATAACAAAATACAAATTGTAAACAAAACACTACTTCTACAGTTGGACGTACAGAACTAACAATAAAATTGGCTTCAGCTGTTCCATAAGGATGACAAATCTGTTTAACCATCTATAGACTTAAATTGCTTGGAATTTTCTCATTTTGACTCCAACCTAAGAAAAAACATAGAAAAATGAAGGTAAAACTTTCCCTCCGCTACCTTAAAAAAACTAAACATCCTGGTTTCACGGACAAATTAAAAACGTATAAATATATAATTTACTTTAGGAATTTTATTTTTATTTTTGTAAACATTGTAATTCTTTCTTGTATTCAGTTGTACATACTTGACTTCAAATTGGATACAGTAGATGTTCGTGAAGTAAAATTCATTTATTAGAGATTTTAGGTTTTCCTAAGAAGAACCATGCTCCTATGTGTATATACAAGTGAACCTAACGGGATGAGAGGTAGACATCCTAGCTTTACACTACTATAACCAACAGCCCTTACCTTAATTTGTTCCTCTGATGTGATGATGACCCTGTGTAGAGGCACTGTGTCACAGACGCGGCCCTCCACTTCATTATACTCCCCGTCTATCACGCTGACTGCGATCACCGGCGCCCTGTGTTTCAACTGGATCTCTTTACCTGCGGACAAAAACAGTTGTAATTTAATGCAGTATAAAATTTTACAATGTTAAATGACGATGAAAAATATCCATTTAGCAACTGTTTATTACTTTCTTCCCCTAAACATAGTATGTTAAGGAATTGTTTTTGTTAAAATTTTGAGAGTGAGTTTTGGTTTGGAAGTATCCATTTTGTCTATCGTAGATTTGTGGGAGCAAACATTTATTTAGTATTCTTTTCACACATAAGATGACTCACCTAGTTGACAACCTACAGCTTCTTCGCTTCTCTTGTTCCCCGCAGGAACTGAGATCGTAAACACGTAAACTGTTCCGTTGTTGGTCCCCGCCCACAATGTAGGCATAACACTTTGGACTGCAACAAAAGAAAAACACTGAAGATACAGAACAAATTTAGTTACAGTCATACAACCTTTTGGTAAAAATAAATGACAAGACAATATGTAACCATCTGAAACAACAGACAAAAAAAACCATTTTCAACACCAAATCAATTACTTAGTTTAAAAAAGTTAATTAGCTTAAAAGTCAATAGCTTAGTATAGCCTAAAATGAATTAATTTGCACAGATTGATACACAATATACCTATCCATGAACAAACAAACTACAACAATTTACTTAGCCTATACCCATAAAAAAACATGAGAATTTTGAATTTACATTTCTTTGAATTTTCACTGTAACATAAATGAATAGGCTAACATAAAAAAAAACACTTAAAAATATTAAATGATTTGTACATATTTTTTTATACAAAATGGTTTAGAGAGAAATTGGGAAAATTTCACTAAACTTAAAAAAAAATAATTATTCAATAATATTTACCCCATTTGCATGGTCTTATCACTGTGGTTCACAAACTACCTTGAATAGGTGATATGTCTACACATTTTTACACATCTATTTATGTCTACACATAAATATGTCTACACATTACTACCAAATTTAATAAAAAAAAAGGATAATTTATACTAGAGTTATTGTGCTAGCAGACACCACATAATTGAATCTGAACGGATTGTGTTTTTGGCATCTGAGGACATAAAAATGAAAAAAGTTTATCAGTCTTGAGTCTACGCAAGGCCACACTAAAAAAACAGGCCGTAATGCTCGTCAAGCATGACGTCACGATAGAAGACGGCAATGACGTTATGATTGCCGTTTGTCAGCTGCTTGTTTTAATCTTTTCAACAACATAACATTTATTCAGCATTGCCTCCAGGATTGAATAAATTAGACGCCATAAATTATAAATTAGATTAATAAATTAGATTGAATAAATTATAAATTAGACGCCAGTCAGGCGAAAATTGCCTATAAATACAAGAACGCCAAACTGAAATTATTGAACACATGTCAGAACATAAAGTTTAACAAAGCATGCATAGACCTGAACATCATCCCTAACTATGTTCAAGTGAGAGTAAAGAATAAAAGTTTTGCTGCTCAAAAGGCCAAATCATTAGCAGAAATAACATGGATAAAAAATGAAATCAAATTCCTTTACAAAAAGAAAGACATGCTAAATAAACTACTTTTGAGATCACATATAAACCTTCTGAATGCAATTCACCCTTCTCAAACCAACAACGTTTTGACGAATCTCGAAAATCAAATAAGTAAAATAATTTTCAGAAAGAAAGAAATCCAAAAATGTAAAATAAAAAGACTTGTGGAACTACATTCCAAACCTATTGAACAATTTATAACAAACCACACGTTCTTTCCTAGAGTAAAAAACTGCACTGATTTAATTTTTACTGAACCCGAAATGAATGTCCTCAACAAAGGACTTAAGCACAACACCATTAACGGAAATTGGAATAAAAATCTAACCTCCGAGTTGTTGAATGCAGAGATAGCTGTAAGCTCTATAAAGGACGAAAATTCCAAAAATTATGTAAGACACATCATTGATAACAAGGTAAAATCAATCCTAAATCGAAATAAAAGTAAAAACAAAAATAAGTGTCTTATAGGTGAGATAAATACAATCAAATCTATAAAAGAAAAACTAATGACACATGACTGCATTGCAACTAAAGCTGATAAAGGCCAGTGCATCGTAATCATGAAATTAGACGATTACAACAACAAAGTCTTAGATTTTATTAATAACAATAACATCAAAGAATTACCTAAAGACCCAACTGACCTTTTCCACACTAAACTCAAAACTGCCATAAACAAAACTCAACACATCTTCAACGGGGACCGATGCAACTACCTCAAAATGATCAAACCCAAAGCGCCAGTATTGAGGGGATTACCTAAAATACACAAAGACACCATGCCGATACGACCACTTGTAAACTTCACCTCTGCACCATCCTACAAACTCGCAAAAGCTCTAGATAGAATACTTAGAAACAACATCAAATTGAAGAATAACCATAGCCTTAAAAATAGTCTAGAGTTAATAGATTCTCTGAAAGATATTCAAGTAGAAAACAGACATACTTTGGCATCTCTGGACATTGTAAACTTGTATACAAATGTTCCAATACATGAAACGTTAGAAATAACTAAAGAAAACTTGTTAGAAAACTCCCAACTTAGCACTGACGCCATTGATGAGATAATAAATCTACTCAAAACAACTCTAGAACAAAATTACTTCAGTTTTAATGAAAAATATTATCTTCAAGAAGCAGGACTAGCTATGGGTTCACCTTTGTCCAGTGTGCTCTCCGAAATTTACCTAAATCGTTTTGAAAATGAAAACATTCTCTCCGCCAGCAACAAATTTTCTAAGAAAATCATATTTTATAAACGATATGTTGATGACACCCTTTTGCTTTTTAACGGAAACTCCAGACAGCTACAACTTCTCAATAATCATTTGAACAGCATTTCACATCAAATAAAATTCACACTCGAGATCGAGAATAATAATTCGATTAACTTTCTGGATCTAACTTTGACCAAAAATAATAATAGTATTGACTACAAAATCTATAGAAAGCCTACAACCACAGACCATACAATCCATGCAACCTCCAATCATCCACAATCACACAAAATGGCCGCTTACAACAGCTTCGTTAATCGACTTTTAACAATACCCATGTCTCAAAATAACTACAACAACGAATATGAAATATTAAAATGTATAGCAGTCAATAACGGATACAATAGCAGTATTATCGACAATATTATACACAAACAAAAGAACAGAAAACCACTACAGAAAACCGATCAAAACTTTATTTCTATAGAATATGGCAACTGCTTACATTATACCTTAAAAAATGAACTAAAGAAACATAACATTACATTGGCCTGCAAAACTTCAAATAAACTAGAAAGCCGCCTAAATCCACGTACTTCGAAATCTACAGTTTCCAATAGCCTAGAGGACACTGGAGTGTACAAATTAACCTGCAGCGACTGTCCAAAAATGTATATCGGACAAACAGGTCGTTTATTCAAAAAAAGGTTTAATGAACATCTACCCAAGCCTAAACTGCGAACACAACATTCTAAGTTCGCTGAACACCTGATGAATGACAACCACAACGTAAGCAGCTGTAGTGATAACCTGGGTATTTTACATAAATGCACCAAAGGCTCCTTAATGAATGTCCTTGAAAGCTACGAAATCTACAAAGCAACAAAAAGGTTTCCCCACGACATCCTGAATGAAAAGCTAAATTTTGGTCGTAACACAATATTTGATAGGATTGAGGACATTGATAACAAAGGCGCTCATAATCAGCTGTCCCACCCCCTCCAAGGTCAATGTCACCAGACCAGTGGCAGTCGGTAGTTGAGTCGTGTCTGTCGTGCGTGTAATGGCCGGCCGCGCGTCTTTCTGTATCTTAATGTATTTGTGCGTGTTAAATGTTATATTTGTGTACTTTGACGACGACATTATGTTCAAGTAATTTTATGTTTGACAAGGCTTGAAAATGAAACGTCAGTTTCGAAACTAGTCGCTGCTAAAAAGACTAACTTAGGATTGACGACGTAAAGGTACGTAACCTATTTTATATTAACATAACATTACGTCATTGCCGTCTTCTATCGTGACGTTATGCTTGACGAGCATTACGGCCTGTTTTTTAGTGTGGCCTTGGTCTACGGTAGTAGCTCATTCCCGATATAAAAAATTAGCTAAAACCAAATATTGGAGGTATAACAAATGCATCTTGCACCTGAGTCATTCTTACCGCTGATGATGTAGGTCTTAGCAAAGGTGAGACACCGCACCATACTGCCAAGCGCATCGTCTACTGGTCTGGCCTCTACGGCTCTCTCTACAGGCTTGGCCTCCGCGGGGGTAGTGGGTGTAGTGACAGCTGTTCCCGGGGAATCCACCACCACCTCCACGGGCCTGTAACATAACATAGCAGAGATTAGAACACATTTCGATCAATTAGTCTCGATTGTCTGACCTACACTGGCCTAGGCAACGTCAGATAATGCAAAAAGATAAGATATCATGGAAAATATATAAAACCATCGTATTCATAACGAATGTAATTAATTTAAAATATATTTTATGCCAGATGGTCAAAAGGGGTTTCCACTACACTAGATCATGCGAAGGGAGGGTCTGGTATTACAAATGAAGTTTAGATGGTTAGATAATCAGAACTTAATAAACGATTTCTATTCAAATACTTTAAGTTAACAGATTCCTAAAACTCTTTTCTCTTTCATCCTTGCCACAGCCTATCATTCTTCTTGGCCTATGTTTAGAGGGGAAAAATAATACCCAACCACCCAACAACTCCCAGATTCTTTCCCAGTCCCAACTTACCGTTTCTCTCGCCTGTCCGTAGGGGTGGGAGATTGTCCCCCTCGTTTATCTCCCTGTCTCCCTGATCTTCCTTTCCTCAGTCGTCTAAATGACTCTCGTAAAGACTTTTTGAAAGACTTTCTTCTTGAGATCGGGGCATCCCCAATGCCTGAGAGATCTGAAAGAGAAACATATTTTGTTTTAAAAATATGAAGTATTAGATCATAAGAACCTTTTAAATTTCATGATGGCATGACCTCTGGATCGTTTAATTAACGATATAGTGGTTTAAATTACCTTGTTACTGTCAAAACGATACTTTGTAGTTTGTAAGACTACAGCGGTTTAATGCTTCAAATGGAGCACATCATCAGGTCAGAAGAATGTCATGTAGTCTTCATTGGATATTCCTCGTAGTGGAGTTCGTCAATGGTTTAATAAATAATAGGTTACCTATTTTTGTTACTATGTTTTGTTGTTACCTATTTATCATTAAACCATTGACGAACTCCACTACGAGGAATATCCAATGAAGACTACATGACATTCTCCTGACCTGATGATGTGCTCCATTCGAAGCATGAAACAGATGTAGTCTTACAAACTACAAAGGATCGTTTTGACAGTAACATGGTAATTTAAACCACTTAATAACCTTTTTAACACTAACTTTCCTTCCAATCAAATTTCAGTTAAATTAGAAGTTTACAAGATAAATTAATGTACCAATGTTTCATCATATTCTTTTTATAATAATTATCATAGTCCTTTCTTAGAACTTACAGTCTTTAAAATATTTACAAATAATTTGTTTAAATGTGCAGCAGTAAAAAAGCATTGACACAAGAAGATTTGTTTTTCTCTATTACAAATTGTTTAGGTCTATGTTGTTTTATATTGCAACACAATATGTCCAATTTCAATCAAAATAACAGCCAAAATATTGAAATCTGCGTCCTCTTCCTTTATCTATACTAATGTAAAAAGAAGCAAAACAGATGTTGTGTGCAATCCCTATTAAACTCACCAATACCATCCATCAACTTCCACCCAAGTAGGATACCATTTGTTTAGGTGGGAGTGTTCATCATAATTTTGTGTGTTTTAATTTTCATAATTAATTGGTCTAGACATAGGCTCTTCAACGTTTTGACAATAGACGTTTGTGAAACAAAACAAAACGGTATGTAAACTAAGGTTTGATTATATAATTACCTAAACTTGTATTAAAGTTCAATGTAAATGTTACCCATTGTGAATTTTAGGTTAGGTTTGCACTATCCATGAATTTGAATATCCATGATTAGTCAGCAAATTATCGAAAATAATGGGAGTCTTCTGTGCTTTCCAAAAACGATAACACAAAAGCCTTTTTCTCACCATGAGGGTTGAGTGTACACTTGAACGTGACAGATACGAATCTCTGGTAGTCGTAGAGCGCCAGGCCGTGCGCCGTCCCCACAGCCACTAGTCCCCAGCCTGTGTGTGACGCCAGCGCCGTCACAGCTGCGGGCGGATGTAGTTGTAACACTGACTCTACCTACAACAGTTTTGTACATACAGTAGTATTTAGACAGTTATTAAAATGAGAATGAATGTCTTGATAAACAAAATTATTTTCTTCTTTCTTGCAGTTGAGCCAATTCCAAGTTAAAATTATGAAATAGGCAAGTAAAGCAGCTCACTGGTATTTCCAGCAATACAGGTTATTCTAATATATGATTGAAAATAAATATTTTTTCACCTAAAATTCATATATTAAGTAGGGAGGCCTAATACCACATCAACAAAAAATTGTATTACACAAATGTGGTAAATTTTAATTATTGTTAATCCACTCAATTGACAATTATGAATAGAAAAATACCGTATTGCTTCGAATCGAGTTGCATCGAATCGAATCGAAAATCTTTTGAATCGAATCGTTGCTTTGAATCGTAAAAATTTTGCTGCTTCCCACACCCCTACTACCATTCAAAATGTACTGCTGTGTAGTGTGTAGAACAGTAGTTGAATTTATCTGATCTAAACAGGCCCAGACAAGGTCGGATAGGCAAATCATACAAGACAGAAAACATGGAAATTACATGCGATTTCATGGTACTCCAGCATCCTAAAGGAGGGTCAACATAAACACAGGTCGGTCGGTTAAAGTAACTCTACTCTATTGTAATAGTACATTACACGATAAGACCGGGAAGTAGGCGTTTACTGCACAAGCATGATTTTCTCGTGCGAGGCTTGCCGAGTGTTTACCCTTCTCCAGCTGTGTTTACCGTACTCCAGCTGTGTTTACCATACCCCAGATAATGTTTACCATACTCCAGCTGTGTTTACCGTACCCCAGCTGTGTTTACCGTACTCCAGCTGTGTTTACCAGACTACAGCTGTATTTCTTGTACTCCCGCTGGTTTACTGTTCTCCCGCTGTGCTTACTTTATTCCCTCTGGGTGTACCGTACACCCAGCTATGTTCCAGCTGTGTCTCCAGCTGTGTTTACCGTACTCCAGCTGTGTTTAACGTACTCCCCCTATGTTTAATATACTCCAGCTGTGATTAACGTGCTCCAGCTGTGTTTACCGTACTCCCGCTGTGTACCGTGCTCCAGCTGTGTATACCGCACCTATTACAGCTGTCTTTACCATACTCCAGCTGACTTTACCGGTCTGTAAACAACGACTTTCTACTCTAAAAAGAGTACAGAACGAAGCTTTTTACTGTGTATTGTGGGCAATAAAGGATCGTATTTAGATAAGTAAACATATACCTATAACTCTTCATTTTCAAAGTTAATGTTTAACTACAACTTACCTGGTATCCAGGACCCCAGTCCACGCTTTCTCTCACTCCAAGCTTCTCATGGCCTTTCCAGACAAACTTATCTCTGTCACTGACAATGTTGAGCGATGTGACCTGGAAACAGAAGACAATGGTAAGTTGGAGCAAATAAATGTCATGTTCAAAACAAAAATACGTGAGCTGAAAATTTACGATTTTGTGCTGATTATTTAGAAGGGGCAGTAATGATAAAGATCTTAGGCATGAGCTCTAAGATTTAGAATCAAAGTATACTATTTAATATACCGGTAATGTATTTGTAATGTAATGAAACAAAAATATAGAAAGAAAACCTGATGCGAAGAGTTGGACAGATGAAATAGCTAAGACATGAGGGTGTTTGAGACATGAAGAGGATTTAATTTTATAAGAAGATGCAGTTAGTTTTTGAAACTTACTTTAAAAAAGAGGTTAAGACTCTTTTAACCTTGCATTTGTCCTTCCACATATTTAACAGGACCTGTACGTGGAACGTACAAGAGAGAACTGAAATGATAAAAGTAGTGGCTGGCACCAGAATCCAAACCCATGACATCGCTGCCTTGGGTCTGAAGTCTGTAGCGCTATTAACTGAGCCATAGTAGGCTACTGACTACCTGGCACAAACAGCTATGAGAGTTATTAGGAAGGCACTAAAATCTATCTTAAGAGATAAATTGATAGAAAAAATCACAAAAAAGTCACGTTATAAAGGAGAATCTAATACTAGAAGAAAACATCTACAGCAAACGGAAGGAGGAACTTTTTACAGAAAACCGGGAATACTGAAGCTACTGGATTCATGTTGTCGTTCCCACTCAATGTGAGCAGATGGTGTGACAATTGTCTGGATCATATCGTACAGTGGAATCGGAATCAAGCAATTCTGGAATAGGCCCATCACAATGGACTACTCACCTTAACTTGTTTGGTGGTGGATGTCTGAGACAAAGTAGCAGTCAGTACATGACCAGCTGTTCCTGCCACGACCAACACTCCTGTCTCTGGACACAGACATAGCTTCTTGACAGCCAACCTCGGGTCATCAGAATACGGGTCAAAGGCTCCAACCTACAAAACACAAGAAGAGAAACTAGAAAACCTTCTACAAATATACAGGATATCTACGTATCACCTTCACTGACATGTTACTTTCAGATTTGACTTTTTTACAGAGCCTAGTGGTTGCGGCATTATCACTTTAAAAAGTCTATTGGTGATTTGGCGGGATTTGAACCCAGGACCCTCTAATAATAGACCAGCTCACTCCCCGCTAGCTTTGACTATGGATAGAACATACATTCTAATCCAATGTTAAAGTCGAACCCAGTTTTAGAATATCAATTAAAATATAGTAGACTTCCTCTTATGCAGAAACCTTTAAACTAGATTACAATTGGCAGAAGTGGTATCTCTTTAACCTGTCATGTTTATGAGCCCTTTATGAGGCTCGGCATGGTTGTTTGTTTGTTGAAGATTTCAAAGGCACAAACCCTTGACATCTGGTGTTTTGTATTTACAGTTCTCATCCCAGAGTGTCTAGTTTTACTATTTAGTACTTAATCGTTATTGGCTTACGTAGTATGCTAGACGTTCCTAATTTAATGAGTTTTATGGGACTTTTGCCAGACAGGCCTTGTTCCCGAGGAGTCTGGATAAAAAAGGGATTCTACGGCAGTTTAATTCAACCACTGATATGTGCTTATATGAATCACTGATATTTTGTTAATACATAAACATGTTAACCAAGTAAAATTCTTAAATCAACTTATTTTGAACTTTTGCATCGGTTTACTTTTAAAAATTAAGTAATAGATAACATCATAGAAATAAAGTTAGCCTGTTAATATAAAAAGAAACAAGCTGCTATACCCATGCTTTACAACGCACCAATGTACCCAATGAATATTTGAATAAAGGAGATGTGTGTGTGAAAAAAAAAACTATAATAAGTAGTAGTCAGCATATGAATCGCCACACATTTAGCCTTCTTGTAAGAAACACACCCTGAACTCTTCGCTACTACACCATTGGTGTGCTTTTGCCAAGTAAGCGAAGAATCTAGGGGCACACACAAAGTAATTTAACGGACTTGACATCATGACCATTTGCCTTAAGAGAAAACAAATAAAATTTAAAGAAACAAATGTACAAGAGAACAAACTTAGACAGAGGCACTGATGGTGGATAGTTCTTACTAGGATGACTACTTTGTTGAATTACCTTTCTGAAAGGCGGCCACTCGTCTTCCTCCTCTTCCACAGGAGACACGGGTTCGTCGTCACTCACCAACACGGAGGAGGAAGTTAGTTTGTACAGAGGAGCCAACGCCACAGTACCTCCCCTCCATACTCGCACACTACCATCCTCATGGCCAGTGAGTAGTAGGTCTAGGTGAGTAGGTGGGCTGTCTCTCAACTTGCCTCCGTCGATAGGCCACGGCTGCAACATGGAGCCGAGTATGATTATTTATATTTTAACTAAATTTACTAAATGTCTGCCAAACACAGGAGCTCTAGGCAATGGGTCAAAGCTGCAATGTAAAAGCTGTGTGAGTTTTTCAACTTTTTGCGAGTATTAGAAAAAAAGAGATTGCTAAACAGAAAGACTATGTTATGCTTCATGACTAAATAAAAAAAGGCTTTTTTATCCAGTTTTTCTTGGAAGATCCTGTTTTCAGAACAACTTCCATCTAAATAATTAACAAAACAAGGTATTATGTTACATTGAATCCAAATCCACAAAGTATCGAGAATTATGCATTTACAAAAAGCCACCAAAGAAAAAAGATGTTAAGAAATAAAAAATCTGAATTAGAATCTGAATTTATTTTTAAGGTGTAACCACCTAGGGGGAAAATTCTATTGAAGAAACACTATTTTAACAACTTTTACCCTAACAAAAAGTTATATTGGAAATGTTACAGTGACGAACAAATAACACCAAACTCACCGCGTCAGAGTATATTCCTTTGCTCTGAGCCTGACCGGCCGCCACTATCTGATCGTAGACGTCAGGCGTGATGTCACTCACATAGGTTGCACAAGTCACCGCGCTGGCGTGTAGGGACACAAGGTATGGGAGTTGTAGCATCCTCCAATCCTCCGACTGCAGGTCTATAGCTACCAGCTCTTCTTCTAGCAGCACCATCAACGCACTGACTCCTAGGTTAGGAAACATGTCTAAGCCAATCACAAACACAGAAAACGTACTACTATAACCCAGAATGCCAACCGAATGGTAAAAAGCATTAAGCGTTTTGAGAGAGCTTTGCCTGTCAATCCGTAGGCAGCGCCACCAGCGTTGCTATGCTGAGTGCATGGCATGGCATGCGCTGGTGGCGCTGCCTACGGATTGACAGGCAAAGCTCTCTCAAAACGCTTAATGCTTTTTACCATTCGGTTGGCATTCTGGGTTATAGTAGTACGTTTTCTGTGTCACAAATTTGATGGATCTTATACACAATATACAGACCTTGTATGAAAAAAAGATAATTTAATTTGATTTTGGGTGGACCACGGTGAAATAGCTTTTTGGGACCTTTCTTTATATACGGTAACGTGAAAATCTTTGGTTCTACTACTTTTTCACATTCTCAAATCTCCCTCATAAAGAGAATTCCTGGTATTTATGACTATCTTTTAGGACAATATAATACAAATACTGGTTTTACTGCATTTTGACATTCCTCCTTTAGAATAAAAACCTCTTCAAGTTTTTTGACCTTTCATTTGGAAGGAAAACTGATTAAGTTTTGGTAGACAAAAAAACATTGAACAAATACTCAAGCTGTTTTGGTTGACTTTATGGGATATCGCTTAAGTTAACAAGAAGAAAATGGCCAAACAAAATCTTAATACTGTGTTTTTGGTTTTTTTTTCTTATTTGTGCCATTTTGCTATATCTCTCTTTTAAGAAGTTTGTTGACTCTCTCCCTAGAAAAAAATCTCATATACCAATTCTGTTTTTACTACTTATTCAAGACCAAACTTAACACTTGGTGTTCAATAAGATATGTCTAATTTCACCATTATTATTATTTATAAGTTGGTTGTAGTACCGGCCCAAAAATCAAGCAGTGATAACACATCAGAAAACTGAATTACCTTAGTACTGTCCTTGCATGGAGAACATTTAGTACTGCAAGCCATCTAAATAATGCATTGAAAGTGTTGGACACAATAAGACCAACATCCTGGAAACAATTAGTTCCTTTCTTATGATACTTAAACCAAAATTTGATGAAAATGCGATTTAAAAATTAAAACTGCACTTCATAAGTAAAGAAACTCACCTTTCTGGTCCCCTGTGGCCTGGATGGTGAAGAAATCAATAACTCGGGAAGTAAAGTCAAAGACTACATGTTTCTTTGCGTGTTGCGCTGTGATGGTGTGTCTATCACTGAAGCTGGCACGAGGCATCCCTCCAGCATAGAGTAATAGGTCATCACTGTAAAAACCATGAGTGATTGATTAAACGTTTGTTTTTATTTCTTGGACTACACAATGCATCTTTTGATACTTTTGTTCAAAGATTTTTTTAACTTGATTTGCTAGACTAAAGTGTCAAACGTTACTCAAATTGAATTATCAAGCAAACATCTCATTCCTTATTTTAATTTTGAGCCATGAAATTAGTAGCCAGGAATTAGTGTTGAAGTTCTCACATCCTTATTTGTAACTTAACTTTTGACACATGAAAAAATGTTATTGGTGTTAAAAACACTAATTATGGTTACTTTTGAGCAAAAGTACAGCTAAATGTAATACCTGAGGATAAAACCCTAACGCAAAATTAACCACGATACTTGTTTTAGAAAACTTACTATTACACCATCAAATTTAATCTATAACTAGTGTTACAAAACACAATCTTCGTATTCGGGTCTTTTTCAGAAGAGAACCTCCACTTTTTACTGTGGAATAATCTCAGTTTAGGTTAGGTTAGGTTACCGGTACGTTATTTTATAGTTTCCCTCCCCTTTTTTATTTACTGAACAGAAACAATCACAACAACTCAAAAATCACCTAACCTATACTGTGGTTTTTCTACAGTTTAAATAGTGGCATGTGGCGGCCCTCTTCTGAAAAAGACCCAATTATTTCGATAGACTAAAGATAAAGTCCTGGAGGCAGCTCAGACTCGTAGCTAAAATATCTCCAAAAAGAACTTACTATCCTAGGCATGGTATTCAAAAATTATCAAACCCAATTTTAATCCCCTTTGTCACATTCTTCAATTCTAACACCTAACCCTTTGACTCTAAATCCCTTTAATCACAACTTCCCTCACAAATTCTGTGGGAAACATTACCTAGCCTAATGAACCCTGACATAAGTTAACCCAACCTAACAAACTCTAAATATAACCTATCCTAACAAACCCTGACATAACTTAACCTAACCTCCTTGACCAACTTACCCCTCAGCCTGGGTCCAGATAAGTTTGGTGATACTCTTGCAGGGGAAGGGTCCGTAGGGCGTCGTGGGTTCACCCCTCGGCTCCCCGGACTCGGTGTCCCATGAGGTGTGACTGCCGTCGTTGTGGGCGGACATGAAGTTAGTCCCAGCCGCGTTCCAACACACACTCTCCAGCTGTTGGGCCCACACGTACGTCTGCGGCACAATGCACAGTAAACCTAGCAGCCTTCCAAACTCTATTTAAGGTTAAAGCTAAACTAATACATATTGATGGATGTTAGCCTCCAGATTACTGTATAATACTTTAGATACCTGCATTCAAGTAATCTTATTCGTTGCTTTATGTTGCAACTGGTTTCAACTCCAAGGAGTCATCTTCAGGCTTGCAAGGATATAATTTGTCACTTCATTTGAATGTCGTCATAGTTAAAATAAAAGAATAAACACTTATCACAAACATTGAACATTGAGCACTGACGTTTAACATTTAAAAAACACACAAGAAATTACTGAGAAGGTGAGCGACGCGTACCGGCCGGATGTGAAGTCTAGACTAGCGCAGTTAGTACCTAACAACTGGAGCTAGCCTAGCCAATGAGTTGAACATTAAGCAAAAATTTCTAGTAAAATAGTAAAACAATTAAGCTTAAAATATTTGAATGTTATGAACTACTAGCTGGCCCAGCAGACGTTGTCCTGTCCTAATGTGGTTTTATGTCAAATGCTCGTTCATTTTTAAGATGAGCTCGTTCGCATGGCTCAATCACGTCCTGGTTTAAGTTCGTTCACTACGCTCACTCGCCTCCATGTTGAAGTTTGTTCGCTATGCTCACTCACCTTTTGGTTGCAAATTAGCTGTTGTCATAAATTTAAAAAATAATATAGTAGTGCTGCACCCTGTTGGTAAATCTATTAACTTTTTATTCTATTGAACATCACAGAATCAGATAGTTTAGTTGAACCAGCTGTTAAGATTCTTTAATTCCATTTAAATATGAGTACTCATAAGGTTAACATGGGAAACTCCAGAGCCACTGGGGTGGAGCCCTTTTGACGAATCTGCACCAAACTTCACACAAACCATCCTTGAATAATACTTAATAATGCCTGAAAGTTTCATTACAATCTGTCGAGCGGTTTCGGAGTTCATAAAGGACAAACATACATACAAACAAACATACATACAAACAAACATACATTGGATTTTATATTATATAGATTTCATAACATACTATAGTAAACTAAAATTACTAAATCATAACATAGAAATAATTTGATCCCTAAATCTATGTGAGAAATAAACCAATCCCATTATAGTATGAATTCTTGCCAGTTTTTCCAATAACTCGGCACTCTTTCGATCCACATTTTTTCGGTTACTATACTCAATTTCCAAGCCCAGTGGCTGATAAAAGAGTTTGTTTGGATCTAAGAAAATAATATAGTTATTATACATTCGATAAAATATCTCAGCCTAGGACTTCAAGGAATAAATAAAAGAGAAGTTTTGCCTCACCTGCAGAGCACTGTTGGTATTCCTGTTCCACAACACCATCAGTCCTCGGTTGTATCCAATCAGCAGATGTCCCGGATGTCCTGGTTGAGGCTCCACACATTCCACTGCTCCGGGATTGATCTTGTAGTCCTCAGGGACACTGTGACAGGATGAATCAGAGTTAGGCCACAGCTAGTCGGTGTTAGGTTGGTTGCTTCATCTGAATACCGTACTGAGTTATATTTTAATTACTTCTCTTCTACCAAAATGTATTTATTGATTCAAAGAATTGTGGTAAGTCACTTTATAACCAGACATAACATATTACATTCCAAGTTCACCATTCAGTTAGCGATACTAGTTGTCCTAAAAGCATCAGGACACACAATATGCTCTTATACATTTGACATTCTTCTTATATTTTTAATACTAATTTTGATTACACTAAGTTAAAACACTAATATCTTAGTAAAAAGAATAAAGGTAAAAAAATCAGTCAAATGTACTTAAGCATTTTCACAAGGTATGCAAGGAGAGTTGACAACCCGCACGGGGAACCTCTTTTTCTCAAGAACACATTTTCAGGCTTTAATTTTTTTTTTTCTAAAACCCATAAAGTATACATTATGTTTTTGTGTTTTTTGTTGCTGGAATTAAAAATATAATTTCAATAAAATGTTCCTGGTTGCTTAATAATATTTAATACTTAATGGTTTCAGTACCTCAAGTTCTAGGCCAACCTGATCTAACGCTCAAGAATTAGTATTTCGATCAACACAATTAACACTAGAGACATTACCGGTATCCATTTATGACCAAATAATACAGTCTAAACATAATTCCCTTGCTGAGAAATGCCAATTATTTTATACTGAATTAATATTATAATTCTATTTATTTTTTTCATCAAGCCAAGGTGTAATGAGTGATACGGAAGTAAATCCCGGGAACAACAATGAATCACATAACACATGACTGACACACATTATGGCTTATCTAAATATGAATGAGCTACAAGGCTGAAACGACTTAACAAGCTTTTGACACTGATGATACATGTTTCTGAGGAATTCATACCAATTATAGTCAGCTTTTATCTCGATGTCTTAAGATAAACAGTTGAAGAGGAAAATTCAAATTATTCCATTGAATAATGGAAGTCTAAGTTAAGCATGCTAATTTGCTTCAAAATCAGATTTAAGGTAAATGAAATGAAATAATATCTTATTTACCAACTGAAAAATACAATTCATGTTATTTACATTAAAAATTATACAATCCTTGTACTAAAAAATAAATTACACAAGTATCTTATAACTAAATGGCACAAAAAGAAAAAAAAACACCTATACAAATTATATGGAAAAGGACTACATAGGCAGGGGCCTGTGCGTAGACATGAGTGGCGGGTAATTTATTTTAATGGGAAATGAATTCTTGGAAATGATTGTTATCACGTTTGGATATAAATTTTGTCTTGCTTGGAACTAAACTACCAAATTCTTCTAAAACTAAGAAGAATCTGAAGTGCTTCTTAGAAATCATGTGATAGGTTGAGTGGAGCGGAGTGGTGAGTGGTGTATTAGTTAGTCACCACCTTACATTTGCTTTTGTTCACACTAAACAAAACTGTATGTATACAATGTATAACTAACGCTATCGACTACTCACTTCTGCATGACTGCGTCCTGGTATATGATGCTCTCTGATATGGAGAACGTAGCGGTGTTGAGAGAGTAGATGTTTCCACCCTCGGTACCCAGCAACAGAGTGGAACCGTCTAGACTCAGCGAGGAAATCTTCTTTAGCCTGGACAAACCAACCATCAAAAATTACTTTTACTTGGGTAACACCATTCTTTCAATCCCTTGGTGTTACTGAAAGAGAGTAAGCCATGCTTAACCTTCCGTTGGGCGGATTGATTTTCAAACACCAGAGGGCGCTCACGGAAGTTACCTCCGGGAATACAAAAACTATACAATGAGGAGTAAAAAACATTTTAATAACAATAAAACTGAAAAAAAGTTATTACACTATTACCGGTACTTAAGTTGTAGGCCTATATAAAATAGAAAATGTTATAATAAACAATAAAAATATGTAAGTTCTGTGGATAAAAAAGACTTACCTTTTGTACATATACAGTACTATCGTATAAAATTAGAAAAATATTGCAATAGTGTATGACATAAAACACCTATGGACATATGGAAAAATCATTTGGTACAAGGACAACTCATTTTGTCAAAGCTCTTAGACAAAAAGTGCATTATTGTATGACATAAAACACTTAGATGGTCTTATGGAAAAAAAATCATTTCATACAAGGAAAACTTACTTTGTCAAAGCGATTAGAAAAATTGCAATGGTGTATGAAATAAAACACCTCTGGTCTCATTAAAAATAAATTATTTGTTTGAAGGAATACTTATTTTGTCAAAGCTCTTTTTCCCAAAAAAAAAAAAAAACTTTCCTGCCATTTCAACTCTAGCCAACAATCGTACAATTCGTTCTTCTTCGTCCATTTTATAATATCACAAAATAAGGTCAAACACAAGGGCACACACAGAATTAGGCTCCGGGAAATCTGTTACATCACATCTGTTGCTCACGGAAGCGACTTCCAGTAGTGAAGTGAACCACTCCCCAAGGTTAACTGACAACTGGGAAAGGGGTAAGACTAGCCGAAACCGATTCCGCGAAAGAGGTGTGTGAGGTACGTCAGGCAACAGCCCTGCCAAACGCAAACTATGGTTTTTGTAGCAAAAAATATAGTGACCCGGAGGTAACAAAGTTAAGGACTATGCTGCAATTTCAGCCAAATGAGGCAGTGTACGCCAAGTGTTTGGTCTTCATTGATACACAACAGATTGTGTTGCTTTTCCCTGTACAGCTGGCTTCTTGTTCAGTCAACGATGAAGACTAACAATTCTCTCTTCATCCTAACAAGCCACCAATTTAGCATCAATTATGCTGCGATGTATGCTGATGTTATGTGGCTCATCTAGATGCGAGTACTGAAAAGATGAGATACTCACTTTCCCTCCAACTGGATGCTCTTGGTGTCCTCCAAGGTCATGTCATTCATCTCCCAGAGATGGAGAGTGTTGGTGCTGCTCAGAGATACCAGACGACCCTGTAAACAGATCAAATCACTGACCATCCATATTCATACATGGACTAAAGTTCATTAGAATGCAAGTTGAGGGTAAGTTCCCACACCACTTTTTTTGCTTAATGTATGTTGCAGCTGATTTGGCAAACCTCAGCTGTTGAGCAATCTTTTTAATGTAGGACCAAGTGGAAGGGATAGATTTCCTCCCCTACAACCACCTACATTATGTGAACGGAGTATAAATAAGTAGATATACTTAGATCAAGTAATAAGACGTGGAAAGATATATTTTTAATGCCTTAGGAAAATCTTTTAGAAACGTTCTTATATCCGAAGAAAGGTACGTTCTTAAAACAGTAACACATGTTTAGAAGCAAATTTTAAAATTAATATGAATGCTGGTTGAATATAAAATGGAGTAAGATGTTTTTTGTGGTTTTATAAAGCTGTGTTCACATTCAAACCACCAAAAATCTACTTGTCTAAGGATGAATGGTAACCAAGTCATCTTATTGGACAAAATTAGGAAAATGAAATCCTCAACAAAGTAACGTGCAAATCAAAAATATAATCACAGATGATGAATGCATGACTACAATAAAATAGGATAACAAGCTATCGTCAATCCACTGTGTAATTATTTGTTTATGCAGAGTTTTGTTATTCGTGGCCACAAATGTTCGGCAATTATTGAAAATCGAGTAATGAATTCTGAAACTAATAATTTGTGAATGAAAGTTTATTGACAAGACACGGAACGTAACCTATTATCGGTATTATTGTACAAAAATGAATATAATGCATGTTTATTTTGTAAAATTTACAAAATTTAATTTTGACGGAGTATATAGGCAAGCCATAATATTACCTCATTGGGGATGAATATCAGCCTGGTGATGGCAGTCTCTGTAGTGGGAAGATGTCCGTAAAACTCCACGCCTGGTTGTCCAACGCTAAACTGTGGTTAAGGAAACTTTAACAAACTCTTACATACTTTGCTATCCACCACAATAGAATGTTACATGGAGGAGTAATGTAACTTCTACAATTTAGTGAGTCTGAGTAGTGGGCCAAACTACAAATCTAAGTCAGCAATGTGGCCTAAGTAAGTATCTAAGTCAACTACTGTTGCCGCCTATTCAGTACAGTTTGCTCTCATACTGTACTGGCTCACCCCCTTCGCTTGATGCATTCCACGCACGTAGGCCTAAGGCTCTTGGTTGGAAAAATGAAGGGAAAAATGAATGAAGAGTCTAGCGACCTCTAAAAAGTAATAAATAAGTTTGTTTGATCTTTTAGGATAGCAGAAAATTTTTTTAAAACTTGGATTCAATTGTGAATGTGGCTAGTTTTATCCAGAACATCTTGCTTTTGTAAACAGCTGCCATGTGTCACTGGAAGACAATTTCTAACCAACATCAAGTGTATTTTTTTTTAATTATATTTATTAATTTATTTTTATTTTTCAAATAAAAACACAAGAGAGTTCAATACTATCGCCAGTTAAACTTATCATTACATACTCTGAGTGATGTCACAACCAAAAACAGTTGAACCAATGTAAAAGACCTTGACCTCGTAGTGAAATTTGTTTCATTAGCGAGTAAAATTTACATGACAGCTTACAATGATGTAGGCCTATTCCAATTGTTAGTGATAAAATAATGTAACAATTATATGTCATGTTTAGTAATTCTCAATACAGTATCAATAGTCCTATTCTATTTCTTAATTTCGGTTATGGTATGTAAAGAAAATTACTATAAATTCTAACTTGTTTAAAAATAATAAAAGTCGGTTTACGGTCTGAACTTAATGTTATATAAAAAAGATAAATATCATATAAATGACTTGGTTTTAAACATTAAAGGCTTGTAGGACCTTGTACTTAAATGAACATGCTTTAGTAATGAAACTCAGAAAACTCATTAATACTGTATGTACTGTGCAAATTCCGGAGCTATTTGACAGCTTTTTATAATAATTAATTAGCCTATATGAGCTAAATAAAAAATTAATCATACAATGGATTTTATTTTATGTAAATTGCAAAGTTCTTCAGGTCACTTAAAAAAAGGCGTCTTGGGCTCCTGAAAACTCAAATGAAACCAAAAAGCACTGTGGTCCCATTACATCCCGATCCCACAATGAGAATCAGGTAAATACCAGGGTATAGGCTGAGATGAATTCTTTGTAGCAAAAATGCTACAAACTTTCAGACATCTGCAGCAAAAATATTATTCTTTAAGCATTTAAAAAAAAATTCAGTAATATTACATGTTTGAACATTACAGGTAAATGCAAATTTCTTAAGGAGAAATTTGCTGAAAATATTAATGTAACAAACAATCAGTAGATCAGTACTTGGTACGTTAAGGATACACTTTGATACTACCCGTAGCGGTGCCGATAGCCATAAGTCGCAGCTCCGGGTCCCATGCGACACAGGTAGGCTTGTTGGGGAACCCATGTTGTACAGTCTGCAACAAAAATTACGTATTACTGTATTAACACAAGAAGTTGAAACATAACTGTAGAACGAACGAAGCTGTACAAAATGGTTTCATACTTGTGTACATAGTATATAAATTCAGTTGAGCAAACTTCTAGGATCTCTGGCTGTCTTTATATAACAGCACAGAGTAGTAAGAATGACAAGTAATAAAAGGAAAATAAATTTCAATAGTGTTAGATTTTGAAACTACAACACAATTAGTAAATCTTTATTATTCGTTGACCATGTAGCCTACTTAGAAGGGTAACAGAGGCTAAGTTACAACAGCTCAAATATAGGCACACATTAGAGGCCCACCCGACCCAACGAAGCGGCAAATGAGTGCTTAACAAGTCTTTGACATTCGAGGCGGGCGGGAACTGTCTCTGATATTGATTCACACTTTGTCGTACCACTCAAAAACACTTTGATATTTACTTCCTAAAATAATCCCTTGTCTGCACAATTGTTAACAAATAACATAATGAACTACAACTACAGTGTTCTACATCCATTCAAGTAAAAACACATAGAAGAGAAAATACAAAATTGATGCTAAAACATATACAGGGTGTCTCAGACCACCCGGCCGGCTTGTATAGCTCCAATATGAAAGCAAATGGAAACCTAATTGCAACTGGAACCCCCTATTTTGACCCCAAGGAATTCAGCTAAATTATTTTCAACCCCAAAAAAGCACCCCAAAGGGCAGATTTTGGGGGGTGGGGGTGGTTTTTGGGAAATTTTCAAATGTAAAGGGGGGTCGTGTTATACCTCTTTTTAAAGGTCCTTTAGTCCTGAGTATTTTAGTGGAAAAAGATTTAAATTATCTTCATCCCTATTTACAGGGTGTTCAAAAACGTACAAAAAATAGACCTTTGAACTACTTTTCACTGTAAAGAGGTGGAATTTCGTGGGGGGTTCAAATTTTGATAACACTTTAATTAATAAATGAGCTTTCAAAAAACTCTGGTTTCAACCCTTTTGCTATCTTTTTACTTATGTTACGCATTTTCAAACTTTTTGAAGTTTCAAAAGCTGTTATCTCAAAAATTTCAAATGGCAACATGGGTTTCATTACAAACCACATTGTAGCCCTTAAAATTTGCTATAACTTTTGTATTTAATGTTTTTTGGTATCTTCATTGGTTAAAGAGATATAACGAAATTAGTGTATTTTAATGTTTTATTAAATGGTATTCAAAGTGTTTGCTGTTGCAAATGTACACCACTAGGTCTCAATTCAAACAAAATCTTGTCTAAAAAATAAAATAGTACTCAGATTGTTGATCTTGGAAGATTGATAAAGGAAAGAACACAACTGCAAATATTCTTAGTTATTTTACAATTTTATGGCTCTAATAGTGCTTTGAATGAATAATTTGTTTGAATCAGCATTAATAGCCTACATACCGATGGACTTCTACAAATGCTTAAATTGCCTTCAATTTTGTTCCATGCAAACCCCAACTCTGTTTATGCACGTAGTACTTCTTCTCCACTATTATGGTACTGTATTGCTATTTTACTACCGCAGGTGCATTCACCTCTTTTACAGATCCAGTAAGTTCCTTATAATTTGTTTTATCTTATCAAACGTGACCAGTTTCACGCACACGCTCATTGATTTCGTGATGATTTTTTTTATTTACCAGTAGCATTTATAGACAGTATTCATTCAAAGCAATTAGAACTTTGTAATTGTAAAATAACTAAGAATATTTGCAGTTGTGTTTTTTTTCTTTATTAATCCTCCAAAGTTTAACAATCTGAGTACTATTTTATTTTTTTAGACAAGATTTTGTTTGAGTTGAGACCTAGTGGTGTACATTTGCAACAGCAAACACTTTGAATACCATTTAATAAAACATTAAAATACACTAATTTCGTTATATCTCTTTAACCAATGAAGATACCAAAAAACATTAAATACAAAAGTTATAGCAAATTTTAAGGGCTACAATGTGGTTTGTAATGAAACCCATGTTGCCATTTGAAATTTTTGAGATAACAGCTTTTGAAACTTCAAAAAGTTTGAAAATGCGTAACATAAGTAAAAAGATAGCAAAAGGGTTGAAACCAGAGTTTTTTGAAAGCTCATTTATTAATTAAAGTGTTATCAAAATTTGAACCCCCCACGAAATTCCACCTCTTTACAGTGAAAAGTAGTTCAAAGGTCTATTTTTTGTACGTTTTTGAACACCCTGTAAATAGGGATGAAGATAATTTAAATCTTTTTCCACTAAAATACTCAGGACTAAAGGACCTTTAAAAAGAGGTATAACACGACCCCCCTTTACATTTGAAAATTTCCCAAAACCCACCCCACCCCCCAAAATCTGCCCTTTGGGGTGCTTTTTTGGGGTTGAAAATAATTTAGCTGAATTCCTTGGGGTCAAAATAGGGGGTTCCAGTTGCAGTTAGGTTTCCATTTGCTTTCATATTGGAGCTATACAAGCCGGCCGGGTGGTCTGAGACACCCTGTATAATGGATGCAAAACCAGGAATTTCAAAAACGGAACCGAAACTTTAAAATTCAAACTCTAAATCTGTAAATCTAAAGGTGGGTTAAGCTTGAAAAAAGGGAAAACCGCTAATAATAATATAATATTTCTCATGCAGTTAGAACTTAAGGAAATTTAACTCCTGACCCTGACATAATAACATGAACAACAAGGATAGTTTAGTATTGAAATTTATTGACGGTGGTCATTATACCATGTACATAAAGACGTTTGAATATTAAATATTATATCTTGAAAATAGCATACGAATCTAGATTTTCCAAAACACTATGGTTCAAATGCTGTACAGTATTCTTGATGTAGTGTACTATTTAATAATGCAAATATGGTAAGTCAGGCCTGAAAGTGCAGCCTACCTCTAATAACATTAGGCCTATTTGCACGCCAATGCATGTAATCTTATTAGGCCTACTGTGGATATGCCACAGTAAATGTCAAGGCATTAAACTTACATTCATTACTTTGACATCTTGTAATCAACAAATCAGTTAGTTACACCCTTACACAATCAGATATCAAAAGCACTACAAATCAATTTTTGCCTTCTCACAAGATCCAAGTCAATGCTTTGTCGTATTGTTGGAAAAGAAAATCAGTCGGATTTCTTGATTTTTCAATACCTATTAATAATTGCCAAAATCAAGGCGAGGGGAAGAAACGGATAAAATATTTATTTATTTCTAGTTTCTAGAATGAGTAACATATGGTTCAAGACATTTCAACAAGTGAGCAGATAAGAGTTTTTTTTTTTATTTTGGGATTAAAACAGTAAGCAGGATACAACAGGATTTTCAGCTCTCATGATAGATCTTTTAGCGAATTTCCCTATAGGGAAGTAGCTATTACCGTAGGTCTCATGGTAAGACCTAAGCCCGGGACCGATTTACTTTTTCATTTTGATGTCCCCAGAGGCCAAAAACACCATTCGTTCAAATTTTTATATATCTATATATAGAGATATATATATATATGTGTACATCCGCACGATAACTTGAGTAATTTTTGTCCGATTTTGATAAAATTTGGTTTGAAGGTGTAAGGCAGGATAAACTTGAATGAGTTCGCGAACCAGCATGATCGGACTATGGGAACGGGGGTTTATGGGGGGTTTTATGGGGTAAAAATAGGTTTTTCCCATTTTTGACCCTAAAAACACAAAATTTCACAATTTCTTTTTAAACCATTTTGTAGAGCTTAAAAAAACAAATAATTTAGTATATTGAAGCGTTATTATGCGCCTAATTGTTACGGAGAAAATTTAAAAAAATTGTAATTTTAAAATTCCCATGTTATTCTTATGGAGAATAAGTCAACTGTTGTAGTTTGCTTGTTTATGAACATATTTTGATCAAATTTGGAAAATACATTAATTTCTTACTAAACCATAGTACCTTTTAATATTTTACATTAAAAAAAACTTTTTTACCCTCCCTGTTGCAGCAAACCTAAGTACTCATTAAACTAATTCTGTTTAAATAGGGAATAAATGTGATATTTTTAAGGAGACAATTTAGTTTAAATCTAATCTGGCAGATGGAAATTCGCTAAGTCTGCAGGTTTGCTGCGGCGGGGGTATTTCATATTGCTTTCAAGATAAAAACTAACCCAAATTAATAAAATTATTCCAGACAGGGTTGTAAAAATTAAAGACCTATTTAGACATGAGACTTCTTTAGGAACACTTGGGATGATACGGGAATATTAATACAGGATAAATTAGGATTTTCATCACAATAAAGCGAGATAAAATGATAAAACGTGATTTTCTCGACCTGGTAAGCGAGATTTTTGTTTTGATCGCTTTTCCTTTGAATTGTGTTAGTAATTTCTTAACTTATAAAATACTACATGGAAACTATAATCAAAGAGTGACTTTACTTGGGATCAAACTGGCAACTACGTGATTGGTAGACTATCCAATACAGGAGCACAAAAACAGAGACTTAAACCATCTTTCAAACTTATTAAGCACAGTTTGTAACACACTTTAAAATTACAAGCCATAATTACCCCAGTTGAGATTTTTTTCAGAAATATACCATCAAAATAATTACAGTATGTTCAAAACACTAAATAACTGTCTTAGGGCCTCTTTTAGTGCACAACTTTATTAAAAAAAAAATCATTAAAATTTTAAATAGGCTAATGTTTTTTTTTTTTTTTATTAAATTATATTTTGGGTACCTTAGACATTTTAGGTTTGTGTACTAATTTAACTAATCAACTTATCCAACCTGTTTTGTCTAGATAAACTCAATTTAAAGCGTATCTTAAACCAATCGACAAGTTTAACCGGTTAAAAGCGCTACAGTCAGTTCAAACTACAGTCATGGGTCACACAAGACACTTTGTACAGTCAGTGTCTAGCCACAATTGACCTACAGGCCAGGAGGCGTTGCTAACTTCCACTTTCACCATAGAAGCCCCTCTGTCCCATACCTTGACATATCATATTACCCTA